TTTGGCTGTCAATTTTTTTCTACACTTTTAGGTGTATTTTGTGCAAGAAATTGCAATAAAATAGTCTGCCTAAGAAAAATTGAATTTTTTTGTTATTGTTGTTGACTTAAGGGTGGTAATTTATGTCTTCCGCTACTTGTATCGGGCAGTCAATTTTTTTCTACACTATTTGTTGTATTTTGTTTAAGTATTTGCAATTGGGGTTTATTCTAGTCTATAATTTATAATTTTTCCTGTTTATTTGATAAGTAAATAAATAATTTTAAAATGTAATTTTAAAATTGAGGATACATAAATGAATTTTTGTTTAAATATATTTTATTTTATTTTTTTCAAAAATTTAATTTATCTAAAGTTGATTTTTTTTTTTAATCTAAATTTTTTTTTCTTTATTCTATTTTAGTTTATAGTTAATGTTTTCATTTTAACTCAATTTTTCCATGTGACGTACGGCGTCTTTTAATTTATGCAACAAATCTTGCAATTGTTGTAAAGTACAGGTGAATTTTAAATATTTCGTCTCTCCATGCTTTATCGTTTGAAGACTAATCAAATAAATTGGCATTCCATTTGAATCAGTTGTGTTCGACTGAAAATGTAATTATTACGTTTTCTTTTAATAATTCTTTTGTTTTTTATTATTATTATTATTATTATTATTATTATTATTATATGTATTTATTAATTTTTTAGATTTATAAATATTTATTTGTTATAATTAATTCAGTATAATTTTTTTTTATGCAAAAGATGAAACAGCGAACCAAAAAAAGTGGAGCGGTCTGGGAGACTGCTATAGTGGTTTAAAGATCAAAAAATTGTTTGCCAAATGAAAAAAATAAAAATTTTTTTTGCTGCAGAATAAAAAAAAAATAGCGAACCTTTATGCAATAATCCAATTTCCAATTAACATCAACAAGATGTGGCAGTCCACCGCCGATAATTTGTAATTTTCGTTGAAATTGATCTCTATTTAATTCATAGGCATCGCAAATTTTACTGATTTGTTGTCCATTTAATTGAGAATTATTTAATGAGGCCGCTAATTTTTCCTTATCATATTGTTGTCTCGTTGCCTCAACAAATAAACTTGTTAATCCAGCGTATGCATTTTTTACAGCATCCGGTTTTGAACCGTAAATTTGTGACAAACCTAATGAAAATTAAAGAATTACCAAAAAAAATCGAAAAAATTTTTTTTATTTTCATTTCATTAGAATTTAAAACTTATTTTATTTTTATTAAATCAGTATATAATAACTAAATAATAAATAATAATAATTTTTTATTAAAAAATAAAATAAAAAAAATTTATTCAACAATAGTTATTTTTTAATTTTTTTATATTTATATTTGTTTTGTTTTTTTATATAGTATTTTTATATTTATTTTGATTTTTTATATTTTCTTAATATTTACTTTTATTTTTTATTATTTCTATATTATATATTTTTTCAAAATTATTTATTTTATTATTTTTTAATTTTATTTTTATAATACTATTTTTCAATATTTTTTTTTTTTATTAATAATTGAAAAATATTGCATTTAACAGTGGCGTAGGAACCAAGGGGCTTTTATAATTTAAAAAAACACCTATAAGGTTTTGCCCCCCCCCCCCAGAAAAATAACTGTTCCTACGTCCCTGGTAATTTATAGAATAATTTCAAATTAAATATAAAATTAAAATTTTCACTCAAAAATATTTGCAAATTAATTCTAAAATCATTGGAAAATAATTGCAATAAATAATTTAAATAAATCGTAAATAATTAAAAAAATTCAAATCGTATAAATATTAAAAATAATTACTTTTCATATACAATTTCCGAAAATTATTTTTTATAAAATACGAAAAAAATAAAAAAATGATTAAATATATTTTTTTCTTTTAGAAAAACAAAATTAATAAGTAAAAGAAGTGAACATAACCTATTTTTTAATTTTCCCATTTTTTTTTTTTTCTTTCCATTAAATACATACTTTTATCCGTAAATTCCTCACTAATTTGCAAAACAGCAAATTCTAAAACTTGATCAAATGTCTCATTATTTAGTATATTAATTCCATGATTATTAATTAAATTTTCAATTAGATTACTTTCCAACGACATTGTTATTGTTATTATTTATCAACGTTACCAACCGCAACCAACCAGTTTGACAAAATTGACAGATTGAAAATTTTGAGGTTATGTTCTCCGCGGCGACGTCAAAAAAATTTTTATGAAAAATTGCATTGCGCGGAAATCACGTGTTTTTTCAATTCATTCTACATACTCGCGATCACGATTGGTGAAAATAATAATAATAATAGCAAGAAATATAGTGGGAAAAAAAATGAAATTAAAAATTTGATTTATTTTAAATATATATATATATATATAATTAAATAGTGTTGTGATAATATAATAGTGAAGTCTGGTTAATTATTATATATATGTGGAATGAAAAATAAATGTTTATCAATATTATGTTTTGTACGTGTATTTATATATATATATATATATATAAAACAAAACCATCGAAATTTTAAATTAAAACTTGTTTTTATCTGATAAGAATAAATGATACCGCACTAATAGGGATATAAATAGGTAATTTATACATATTACAAAGTCCATAACTATCGCTTTTCTTTTTTACCTTTCTATATATTTTTCGATTCTAAATTCTTTTTTTCCAGTTTAAATGTGTTTTTAGTAGTAAAAAAAAGATTTTTTTTATATATATGATTCATTTGACAATATTTTTCAATTATTTATTTGGCATCAATAAACTTTTTTTTTGCAATTCTATTTATTACTTATTATTATTTTATAATTATTATTTATTTTTGTATAATTTAACATTTTTTTTTATTTTCTTAATTAAAATTATTTATTTATTTATAGAAATTTAATTTCCGTTTTTTTTTAAATATTCAAAATTTTTTCTGTTAAGTCCGTTAAATTAAAATTTTTATTACGATTATTTTTTATCGTTATTGTTATATTTTATACCTACATAATTTAAAATTTTATATAATTTATTTTATCCAAATTTTTTGTTGTTATTTTTATTATTATTATTATTTTTTTTTTTTTTTATTATTATTATTATTATGTATTTTTTATTTATTATTAGTTTTATATTTTTCTTTATGATTTTAAATTTTAACATTGAAAGATTATTTTTTATTTTTCTAAATAGTAAAAACAAAAATTGTGGAAAATATATTGAATAATAATAATAATAATAATAATAATAATAATAATATAATTAGCGAGCAAATATAAAGTGATAATATGAAATTTTTTTTTTTTTTTTTTTTTTTAATAAAAAGTGACAAGAGAAATATTGACGAGGTGAAAATGCTGAGTAGTGATTTTTACTTTTTGATTTTAAAAATATGTACTCACGAACATACAGTTTTATATTATGAAAAAAAAAAATTTTTTTTTCACTCACTTTACGTTTGTGCGCGAGAGAGGTATTTTATAACCGTGACCTTAAATTATTATTAAGTCAATTACTAATATTCTCTGTCTCTCACTAATAATCTATTATTTTCCATTAAGATCAATTTGCGAATGAAAAAAAAGAAGGAGAAATAAAAAAAAATGAATAAAATTGTTGAATTGACGAATAATGAAACGATAGAAGAGAAAAAATTGGAAAATAAAAATTCAAACACTGAAAGCAGGTAAATTTTTTTCTTTTTTATATTTAAAAAAAAAAAAATTTCAAATTATTTAATTAATTTTATATTTATTTGGTTTATTTATATATTTGTTTATTTATTTATTTATTTATTAATAGAATTTCATAACAAAAAAATTTTTTTTAAAGCAGGAAAATTAATTTTTTTTTTAATTTCCTTTTTTTAGAATTTTCCAAACTTTTTTTTTATGTACTATTGTTTCCCCCCCCCCCCAAAAAAAAAGAGAAAAATAATTGTAATATTTTTCCTTAAAAAAAAAGGAACCTAATTAAAAAATTTTATTTATTTTAAAAATTGCAAATTATTTTCTAAAATTAAATTTTAATTTAATTTTACATATTTACAAAAAAAACGAGATTAATAAAAAAAAATTCTAAACAATAAAACAATTTTTCAATAATTGAATATTTTTTTCAAAACTTTTTAATTTTTTTTTTTTTTTAATTTTAAACATTTTTTTTTTTTTTTAATTCTCTAAAGAAAATTCCAAATATTTTCTGAATATTAAAATATGTTTTATTTTTTAATTTTTTAAAATTGTATTTATTTATCATTATTATTATTGTTATTTTTTTTTTATTTTTATTTCAAAAATTTGAAAAATTTAATCATTTTCGTAATTTTTTTTTTTCTAAATAACTAAATTTGGAAATAAAAATAAAAAAAAAAAATGCAGATTCGATCGTTATGAGAGAAGGCGATAAAAAAAGGTTTATGATCCAATTTTTTATATATATAGTACAAAATATAAAACTGTTCATATATATATATATATATATACTCTAAATAAAAAAAAAATACAAAGCAGCCATTCACAATTGAAATACATATTCAAGGTCATTAATTGAACGGATTTAAATATATTAATTCCTGCATTGTAAAGAGTAGTTTCCCTTGGAAAAGTACATTTCATTTCCTGATAAATTTTTCATATATTATTATATTTATTCTAAAAAATATATATATATATATATATATATATATTAAATTAAACAAAATAAAAAAAATACATTTACCCTATATTAAATTTTTTTTCGTCTTCTCTTTTTTTTTTATTTTCGAATGAAAAATTTAAATATAATATCATAATTGTGTGTAAAGGAGGGAGAAGTTTTTATTTCTTGTCTCTAATAGTTTATGTATTTATGAAGAATTGCAATAAATTGTGAATTATTAAATCTCCACACGTTCTATTATAGTGTTCGCAGCATTCTTTTTTTTTTTTTTTTTTTGTATAAGATTTAGAATTTTTTTATAATTTTTTTTTTACATATTAATTATGGAAATAATTGAATTCTTCTATTTGGCAAATTTTCAAAATGTTATTTTTATTACATAAATTTTTTTCCAGTCATTTTTTGCCTGAAAAGTACAAAAAAGGTGTTACCGAAAATATCACTACCAAAGATGCCATTCCTCAAGTGAGTTTTTTTTTATTTATTCTTATTTATTACTTTTTTTTGATAATTAATTTATTTTATAGATTTTGTTTGTTTTTTAAAATTTATATAATAGCTTAACAGAATTAAAAAAAAAATTGTTTCTTTGTTATATAGAAAATTAATTATTTATTTAAATTTTTGAATGATAATTTTTTTTTGAATTTAAAAAAACAAAAAAAAAAGATTTTTATTCATAAATTTTTTTAAAATTTCTCCTACAATAATTATTTTCTTATTTAAAAAATTATTGTTTAATTATTTTTTTTGTTTTATAACTCAACGCCTTATTATTTTTTTTGGCTAATTTCAAAAAAATTATTTTTTGTCTAATTTTTAATAAATTATTTTTGGTTAAATTTAAAAAAAAAATTGTATTTGTTGAATTTTTTTTTTACGTATTTTATTTAATTTCTTCTACAATTATTTCCCTTTTTTTTTTGAAAAAATTACTTTTTATTATTATATCTTTAATAATTTATTTTTTGGTTAAATTTAAAAAAATTATTTTTGTTTTTTTTCTCAATTTTTTAAAGTTTTTTTTTCGAAATTTCTTCTGCAAATTATTTATACTTTTTTTTAAAAAACATTATTTTTGTTTAATTTTATAAATTATTTTTGGTTAATTTTATAAATTATTTTTGGTTAATTTTATAAATTATTTTTGTTTAATTTTATAAATTATTTTTGTTTAATTTTATAAATTATTTTGGTTAATTTCTCTAAAAATTAATTTTTTCTTGATTTTAAAAATTATTATTTTTTTTTTAAATTTGCTTCTATGTATTTATTTTATATTTAAGAATTTTTTTTAAAATTAAGACATTAAAAAGTTTATTTAATTTTCAAAATAAATTTTATAAGTTAAAAAAAAAATTTTTTTTCTAGATTTTTGCCAGTTGTCTGGCCCATTGCATTGTTATTCAAGTTGGAATTCATATGGCTTTTAGTACAGTTTTCATCGAGGATTTTAAACGAACCGGAAAGATGACAATAGATAAACATCACGAATCTTGGATAAGTAAGTATCGATTTTAGAAAAATAATAAAAATAATAATAATAATAATAATAATAATAATAATAATTTTTCTCTTTAATTTTTTCTATAAAATTTCATTCACGTAATTATTATATTTTAATTAAAACTTTAGTATTATTTTTTTTATTTAAATATTAAATTCGAAAAATTAAAGAAAAGTTCAAATTCCACCTTCTGAAAGAAAACAAAAATTTTTATTTCCACTTTTCTGTAATTTTTTTTTTTTTTTTTTTGAGTTTTGCTATATAATTATTAATTAATAATAATTAATTAATAATTTTTTTTTGCAGCTAGTCTCATGACAATTGGCGTTCCAATTGGATCGTGTATCGCTGGACCATTAATGGATAAATTTGGAAGAAAAAAAATTTGCCTCTTCTCATGCATTCCACAAATAATATCATGGCTATTATTATTAACGGCAAATACAATAAATTTAATTTATATATCACGTTTTATTGCTGGTTTTTCATCGGGATTAACAACTGTTGGATTAATTTATGTCTCAGAAATAACACATCCAAGAATAAGACCAATGATGCTATCGTGTAATTCAGTTTTTGTTTCATTTGGAATACTTATAACATGCTGTTTACCTGTGTGGTTAAATTGGTTAAATATGGCAATTTTATTTTTAATTATTAATTGTTTAACATTTATTGGATTATTTTTTATACCCGAGAGTCCATATTGGAGTTTGTGCTTTAATAAAATGAATAACGAAACGGAAAAAGCACAATTACAAGCTGAAAATAGTCTCAAATGGTTGAATCGACGAGAGAAGGTATTTCTTTTTTTTTCAAAAATAATTAATTATTTTAATTTCAGTAGAACTAAAAATTTTTTTTTTATTTTAACTATAATTTATTTTTTATTTAACACAAATTTCAATTTAACTGAATTTTTATTTAAACATATTTAATAAAATTTGTTTTTAAATTTTATTTAAAAATTAAATTAAATTTTTATTTAACACAATTGTTAATTTAATTAAATTTTTATTTAACACAAATGTCAATTTAATTAAATTTTTATATAACCAAATTTAAATTTAAGTTAATTTTTATTTAACCAAATGTCAATTTAACTTAATTTTTATTTAACCGAATTCTAATTTAATTTAATTATATATATATATATTTATATTTATTAAAAATAGATTTTAGCAGAATTTTCATTTAGCCAAATTTTAAGAATAAAATTTTTTTTAAACTACATTTCTTTTAAATAGAATTTTTTCCTCGTAGAATTTTTAAACATTTAGCAAATTTTTAGGTATTTAAATCATATTTTTAAAAAATTTCAGTTAAATAGAAGTTTTTATTTAGCCAAATTTCCATTGAACAAAATTTTGCCTAATGATATTTTTTATTTAGCCAAGATTTAATAAAATTTTGCTTAATTCTAATTTTTTTAGCCAAATTCCAATTTAACAAAATTTTGCCAAATGATATTTTTTAGTTAGCCAAGATTTAATAAAACTTTGCTTAATTCTAATTTTTTTGGTTAAATTTCCATTTACAAAATTTTGCCTAATGTTATTTTTTATTTAACCAAGATTTACATATAATAAAATTTCGCTAATTCTAATTTTTATTTAGCCAAAATTTACATTTAACTTTGTTTTATTCTAATTTTTTAGCCAAATTTCCATTTAATAGAATTTTGCTTCTAATTTTTATTTAACGGAATTTTTAAATTTAACATAAATGTTTATGAAGCTGAATTTCCTTCTGAAAACTTTTATTTAGCACATATTCTATTTAACAAAATCTTTCTATTCACTTTAAATATAATTTTTTTTTATTAAACTAAATTTTCATATTGCAGTTTTCATTTAGCAAAATTTTTGGGGGAAAAAATTTTATTTAACTAAATTTTGCATTAAAATAAAATTTTTACTTCTATCAGAATTTTTGAGTAAACTTTCATTTAACTGAATTTTTATTTAACCGTACCTATTTAACTGAAGTTTTATTTAACCGTATTTCATAAATTTTTTATTTAACCAAATTCCAATGCAATTTAATTATATTTATTAAAAATAGAAAATCTTTATTATTTAACAGAATTTTTAATTTAAACGATTTTTTAAAATAAAATTATTATTTAGCTAAATTTCTTTTTAATAAAATTTTTTAGAGAGAATTTCCAAATATTTATCAAATTATTATATGGCCAAAACACAATTTCAAAAAAAAATTTCACTTAAATATAAGTTTTTTTTTAATAAATTTATATTGAGCCAAAATTTACATTTAAGAAAATTTTGCTTAATTCTAATTTTTTAGCCAAATTTCCATTTAACAAAATTTTGACTAATGGTATTTTTTAATTTAGCCAAGATTTACATTTAATAAAATTTCGCTTAATGCTAATTTTTATTTAGCAAAATTTTTTACAAAACAAAATTTTCATTCTGTACAATTTTCATTTAACTTAGTATTTAGTTAAAAATTTTAATAAATGCTGCTAAATGAAAGTTTGGCATAATGAAAAATTTGTTTAAAAGGAGTTTCGCTAAATTTAACAAAGAAAGCAAGTTTTGTTGCAAAAAAAATAATTGAAAATGAAAATTTTTCCAGTCACATATTTGCCAAATAGAGATGCGGCTAAATAAATTTTTGGCTTAATAAAAATTTAGTGGAATACATTTTTGGCTAAATATAAAAAAAATTTAGCTTCAAGAAAATTTTTTTTCTTAAATAGCAAAATAGAAATAAGTTGAAACACGAATATAATATAAAAAATTCGGCTTAATATGGCTAAATATTTAGCTGAAAATTTTTATTTAAAACATAAAAATAATTTACGTAAATGAAAATTTTTCCAGTGGCATATTTGCCAAATAACGATGCGGCTAAATAAATTTTTGGCTTAATAAAAATTTAGCAAAAAATTTTTTTTGCGAAATAAAAAAAATTCAGCTACAAGAAAATTTTTTTTCTTAAATAGCAAAATAGAAATAAATTAAAATTTGAATATATGTGAAAAATTCTGCTTAATATGGCCAAATATGTTACTAAAAGTTTTTATATTTGAAAAAAATAATTGAATAAGTTAAATTTTTCAAGTGGCATTTTACCCAAATAGTGGCACGGCTAAATAAAAGTTTGGCCTAATAAAATTTCAGTTAAATAAAATTTTGCTTAATACTAATTTTTATTTAGCAGAATTTTAATACATAACAAAATTTTCATTCAGTACAATTTTCATTTAATTTAATATTTAGTTAAAAATTTTAACAAATGCTTCTAAATGAAAGTTTGGCATAATGAAAAATTTGGTTAAAAAGATTTTGGCTAAATTTAACAAAAGAAACAAGTTTTGTTGCAAAAAAATAATTTTTTTGTTTGAAAAGCAAAATAAAAAGAAGTTGTAACATGAATATGTGAAAAATTCGGCTTAATATGGCTAAAAATGTTGCTAAAAATTTTCATTTAAAACATAGAAATAATTTAGTTAAATGAAAATTTTTCCAGATGTATTTTTGCCAAGCAGAGATGCGTCTAAATAAAAGTTTGGCTTAATAAAAATTGGTCGCAATAAATTTTTGGCTAAATATAAAAAAATTTAGCTTTAAGAAAATTTTTTTTCTTAAATAGCAAAATAGAAATAAGTTGAAACACGAATATAATATAAAAAATTTGGCGTAATATGGCTAAATATTTGGCTGAAAATTTTTATTTAAAACAAAAATAATTTACGTAAATGAAAATTTTTTCAGTGGCATATTTGTCAAATAACGATGCGGCTAAATAAATTTTTGGCTTGATAAAAATTTAGCAGAAAATTTTTTTGGCTAAATAAAAAAAATTATCTGAAAAATTGTTTTGGCTAAATAAATAAATTAAAATTTGAATATATGTGAAAAATTCGGCTTAAAATGGCTAAATATGTTGCTAAAAAGTTTCATTTAAAACATAGAAATAATTTATGTAAATAAAAAATTTGCCAGTGGCATATTTGCCAAATAGAGATGCGGCTAAATAAATTTTTGGCTTAATATACATTTGGCGGAATAAATTTTTGGCTAAATATACAAAAAATTTAGCTACAAGAAAAATTTTTTTTTCTTAAATAGCAAAATAGAAATAAATTAAAATTTAAATATAAATTATGAGAAATTCTGCTTAATATGGCCAAATATGTTGCTAAAAGTTTTTATATTTGAAAAAAAAGAAATAATTGAATAAGTTAAATTTTTCCAGTGGAATATTGGCCAAATAGTGGCACGGCTTGATAAAAATTTGGCCGAATAAAAATCGGTTAAATAAAATTTGGACAAGAAAAAAAATTTTTTTTCAAATCCAAAGAGAAATTAATTGAAATTTTGAATAAATATAAAAAATTCGGCTTAATATAAAGCTAAATAAAAAAAATAATCTCTTATTTTAATCAATTTTTTTTTTGCTTTCAGATTTTTCAAAGTGAATTAACACGACTAAAGACAATTTCAATTGATCGAAATGAAAATATAATTAAATCGAAATTTGGTGAAAAATTAAAAAATCTTTATCATGAATTTTGTAAACCAACTGCTTATAAACCATTGGCGATAATTTCAATTTTTTTATTAATTCAACAACTCTCGGGTTGTTATGTTGTGATATTTTATGCTATTTCTGTGTTTAAAAATATTGACATGAACAATAATAAGAATAATAATAATAATTTAGAAAAAATTAATGAACACAATTCAACTGTTTATGGTGCATTAGTATTACTTGGTATTGTACGTTTTTTCATGAGTATTGTCACAGCTTATTTTAGTAAAAATTATGGACGACGAATACTTTGTATAACAAGTGGTCTTGGTATGGCATTTTCAATGTTTTTCTCAGCAATGTATATGTATTTAACATCATCATTGGATAGTGAAAAATTAATGGATTATCAACAACAACAACAATCATCGGCAACAGTAATGTTGGGACAAAAATGGATTTTAATTGTTATTATATTATTTTATATTTGTATGAGTGCAATTGGTTTTATGGTAATACCATGGACATTGGCTGGTGAATTATTGCCAATAAAAATAAAAGGTTGTGCAAGTGGTTTTTTAATTGCAATTGCATATATTATTATGTTTGGCGTTATGAAAGCATATTTATATGTTCTCGATGCAATTGGTACGCAGGGTATATTTTTTTTCTTTAGTTTTATTTCATTAATTGGCACGGCTTTTGTTTATATTTTTTTACCCGAAACATTAGGCAAATCATTTGCCGATATTGAACAGTATTTTGTTAATAATAATAATAGGGAAAATTTTAATAATAGTAAAAAACGTAATCAAGTACAACGATTGCAAATTCGTGATAATGATGAAAATTTGTCAGTTTAATTGAAATAAAAAAAAAAAAAAAAAAATGTATAGGTAAATTAAAACAATTTTTCTTTTTTATATCAGGTTTGCCACAAATTAGGGAGAAAAATAAAAGAAATTTCTAAAAAATGTTACTGAAAATTATAATTTTTGAAATTTTCAATTTGTAAAAATTTGCAATAGCAGAGAAAATTAAAAAGAAAATTGTAATTTAAATTCAATTTCAAATTTTTTTACTATTTTCTCAAAAAAATTTTCGAATAGTTGTATCATTTTTTTTTTTTTTTTTTTTTTTTTTTTAATTTTTTATTTCAATTTTTACTAAAAGTGTTGAAAAAAATTTAATCAAAATACTAAACCAATTTGTCGAGAGAAATAGTAGAAAATTATTTTTAATTTTTGCAATAAAAACAATTTTTATACATAAATAATAAATTATAATAAATATTAATAGATTAAAATTTTTTTTATAAAATTAAATATTCCTGAAAAAAATAAATATGATTATCACAAATTAATAAAAATATTTTTCCTCATCACGATGATTCAACTGAAAATAATGTTGAATTAAACAAAACATTTAGAAAATAAAAAAAAATTTTAAATTAATTAAATAATTAATTATCTAATTATTTAATTAATTTAAATTAATTTAAATAATAATTTTTTTTAATTTAAGACAACATAGTGACAAAACAAATTTAAAGACAGAAATAAATTAGTAAATTTTCACTGGTACTCCAGTTACTTGTTTTTTACTTACATTTTTTTCCCCGATTTCCCTACCTACAGCTATATTTAAAACGAAAATAAAATTTTTCCTACTTTTTCCGCCTATATTTAAAAAAAAAAAAAATTTCTTTACTATTTTTCCCGAATTCCCTAACTTATATAGATTCGAAATCGAAACGAAACTAATATCGCCCAGGTGCAAAATGACCTACACTAGGGTTAACGTCCCGAGACGTAACCGTCACCTGAACGATCTTTTCTGAAAGGAAAACATATAATTAGTCCATCATTAAAAAAGAAAGAAAAAAGCTTTTAATTTTTACTTTTCAACATGTATTATAACTTTTTAAGAATTAATTATGAAAATTGTGCAAAAATTGAAAAATTATTAAACAAAATTAATTATTAATTAAATAAAATAGTTAATAATTAATAAAATTTTATTTTAGTTTAAATTATCATTAAAGAAAAAAAATTAATTTAATTCCACCAAAAAAAAATTACTTTGAATAAGAAAAATTACAAAATATTAAAAATATTAAATATATACAGTAAATAAATAAAAATATAAACAATGAAAAATGAAAACATTGCCAATATTATTAATTTACATAGTATATTAAGAGAGTAATCTCCAAAAAGTGTAATATTTTCGAATAATGGAAAGTGTGAGAAATTTTTCAGGGGGGTTATAAATTTCCGAAAATATCACAAACTTTTTGTTGTTTATAGATTACCCCCTTAAAAAAATACTAGAAAATAATAAATTTTTGCCAATGCTGTCACTATGTTGTCAGAATTCCTTCCCTGTTTTTTTTATTTTTTTTTTAAATTTCAATATATTATTTCAATCAATTGAATTTATATTTTAATTTTAAAATAATATTTTATTATATTTGGTATCATTTTAATAATTATCTTTTTATTTTTTGTATCTCTTTTTTATATTTTTTTTTCTTAATTAAGTAAAAATTTATAAATTAATATATAAAAAAAATTAATTTTTAATTTTTGAATTGAATTTATCAAAAAAAAAAAAAATTGTTTTAAACAGGGAAGAGGTTAAATAAAAAACGACTCATCGATCGGCGAATCATCCCAACGTTGGGGCAATAACGTCATCGCCACTTCTCGAGCGCTTCAGGCCAACTCCCAAAGATCCCTCGCTTCATCGCACTTCTGCGAAAGGTTGGGAGCCACAAAAAAAAATTTTTATAAAAAAAAAATAAGAAAAAAAAATTTTTTAAAATTGTATGCAGGGACCACTTTTCTTCTTCCACATCCTTCCCAGTCTTTTTAGATATTTGCAAAAAATTTGAAATGGACCTGAAAAAATAAATAAGAAATAAAAAAAATTAAATTATACAATTATTTTCGCAAAAAATAGATAATAAAGGAAATTTTAATATTTTAATAAAAATAAAGAAAATTTTTAATGAATTATAATTTTCAAAATTTTGTATAGAAAAATTAATAATTATAATATATTATCGAAGAAACACACCTGTATGAGGAGCTTTTTGCCTAGTGTCAGAAATACGATGACAGTATAATATGATTTTTCATAAAAGGACAAATCTCTCTTCTTCTGGACCCGACTATCTGAAAAAAATAATAATTAACATTTTTATATGTTAAATAAAATAAAAAAATAGCAATAAACATAAAAAATAAACAGCAATGCAAGATCTTCTCCAGGAGCAGCTTCACAACAAACACTCATCCTTCACATTTATTGGACACTCTAAAAATTTTGAGAAAAAAAAAATATATATTTTTTACATAAAAACATAAAATAAAATTCTTCAAAATAAATTTAATAAAATAATTAATAAAAATAATTTAATATTTTTATTATTTCTTAAATTAATTTTAATAAAAATTAAATCTTTTTTTAATGTCAATTTTTTCAAAATTTAATATTAGGTAATTAACAATATTTTTGTTATTAATTAATAGAATAATTTTAAGGTAATTTTCATTCGAAAATAAATTTTAATCTTTGTAAACGATTTTAATAATAATAATTATTATTATTATATAATAATAAAATGCTTGGTCTGTCTTTCAGTCCTAATTTGAAGTTGGCCTTTTCTGATTTCGCGTGTTTTTTTGAATAGTAATCTTATCACGTGTCAAATTTTGACAATTCTTTTTCTCATTTTTGCCAAAATTGTATAATTGTGTTTCCAAATTTCGGAATAAGTTTCTTTAAAATTCCAAATTCGAAAATTCAATTCACGAAACTGAAGTACACAACGTTTATCAACGAAATTTTTTTTAAAAGTTGTATATTGATTCAAAAATTTGTATACAAATACAAAAAATTTATGATGAGAAAAAAGATGCGCCAGGAAATTTCGTACAAGATAGTAATTTGAAAAAAATTTATTTTTCAAAATTAATTTTTATGGTACCAGGGGCCAAACAATATCTATTAAATATTAATTATAAAAACACAGGCCTCGAATCAACTTAAAGACACAAAAAAGTCGTTTTAGTCGATTTATATTCCAAAAAAAAGTGGATTTGTTTTTTATTTTAACAAAAATATTTTACAGATTTTTAAATAAAAAAATTTTTTTTTTAAATAATAATCCTTTTTGAAGGGTTAAAGTTGAAATTTTTAGAAATAATTAAATTTCAAAAGATATATTGTTAATTTTCAAACAATTATTAAATTTTACAGAACTAAAAATAATTTATCAAACAATTTTTGGAAAACATTTTTTAAAAATTGAATTTTCAAAGATTTAAAATTGAAATTTTTGAAATTAATTGAAACTTTAAGTGTTTTGTAATTAAAATTTTAGATGATTTCACTAAAAATTTATTAAAAAATTGCGGACAAAATAAAATAATTTGAAAATCATTTTTAATTGAAAAATGGTTTCCGATAGTTGAATTTTCAAAGAATATTATTAAAATAGTTAAAAATAATTGAATTTGAGTTATAATTGAAATTATTAAATTTCAAAAAAAAAATTTTTGATGGAAAATTTTAGAAATAATTAAATTTTAGATGCTTTTAAATTCAAATTATTGAAAATTCAATTAATTTTGATTTTAAATTTAGAATATAATTGAATTTCAGTTCATTTTGAATTGAAATTTTTGGGAAATAATTGAATTTTAATTGAAATTTTGGATAATAATTTAATTTAAGTTCATTTTTGATTGAAAATTTGGATAATTAATTTTGAATAGAAATTTTAGAAAATAATTGAATTTTATTTCATTTTAAATTGAAAACTTGGTAAATAATTAAATTTTCAATTGAAAATTTTGGATAATTATTGGATTTTTAATTTGATTTTGAATTAAAATTTCGGGTGATAATTGAATTTTAGTTTAGTTTGAATTGAAATTTTTAAAAAATAATTCAATTGTATTGTGATATTTTTTTTTTAAATTATAAACAATTGTTAAATTTTATAAAAATTTTAATTGAAAAATAATTTTGATATAATTGAATTTTCTTAGAGTTATAATTGAAATTATTAAATTTCAAAAAAAAAAATTTTTGGATGGAAAATTTTAGAAATAATTAAATTTTAGATGCTTTTAAATTCAAATTATTGAAAATTCAATTAATTTTGAATTCAAATTTTTTGAGAATAATGAAATTTAATTTTGATTGTAAATTTAGAAAATAATTGACTTTCAGTTCATTTTGAATTGAAAATTTTGGGAAATTTTGGATAATAATAATTTAATTTAAGTTCATTTTTGATTGAAAATTTGGATAATAAAATTTTGAATAGAAATTTTAGAAAATAATTGAATTTTATTTCATTTTAAATTGAAAACTTGGTAAATAATTAAATGTTAAATTGAAAATTTTGGATAATTATTGGATTTTTAATTGATTTTGAATTAAAATTTCGGGTAATAATTGAATTTTAGTTTATTTTGAATTGAAATTTTTAAAAAATTATTCAATTTTATTGTGATATTTTTTTTTTAAATTATAAACAATTGTTAAATTTCATAAAAATTTTAAATGAAAAATAATTTTGATATATAATTGAATTTCAGTTTAAATTTTGAAAAATAATTGTACATTAGTTGAATTTTAGTTGATTTTGAATTGAAATTTTCGAAAATTATTGAATTATTATTTAAAAAATAATTGAATTTTAGTTGAATTTGAATTGCAAATTTTGGAAAATTATTGAATTGAAAATTTTAAAAATAATTTAATTTTAATTGATTTTGAATTGAAATTTTCGAAAATTATTGAATTGAAAATTTAAAAAATAATTTAATTTTAGTTGATTTTGAATTGAAATTTTCGAAAATTATTGAATTTTAGTAAATTTAGACATGATAATTTGGAAAATACGTGAATTTTAGTTTATTTTGAATTGAAATTTTTAAAAAATTATTCAATTTTATTGTGATATTTTTTTTTAAATTATAAACAATTGTTAAATTTCATAAAAATTTTAATTGAAAAATAATTTTGATATAATTTGAATTTGTGATGTATTTCATTAAAATTATTAAAAATAATTAATTTAGTGAAGAATCATTTTAGTTGAAAATTTGTTAAATAATTGAATTGAAGAAGATCTGAAGAAGATCTATATTTTATACTAAAAAAATGTATTTTATTTACATTTTCTTTTCAAATGTAAAAAAAAATGTCGCATTTCATTAAAATAAGTCGATAAAAGTCGTATTTTTGAAAAAAAAAGTCAGAAAAATTCGTATAATCCGAGGCCTGTATATAATTTTCATTATTATCATTTAATATGTAATAATATTCTAATAAATTAAATTATTATTGATAATATTAATTTTTAATTTCTTTATAACAAACAATTAAATACTCAATTTGGAGCGCGTTTAATTTTACTAGTAAATTTAATAAAATAATTGATAAAAATAATTTAATATTTTTATTATTTCTTAAATTAATTTTAATAAAATTAAATCTTTTTTTAATGTCAATTTTTTCAAAATTTAATATTAATTAACAATATTTGTGTTATTAATCAATAGAATAATTTTAATGTAATTTTCATTCGAAAATTTATGTTAAATTTTAAACTTTGTAAACGATTTTAATAATTAATAAGTAAAATAATAATAATAATAATAATGATAATAATAAAAAAAATAATAATATAATAATAATATAATAATAATAATATAATAATAATAATAATAATAATAATAATATAATAATTATAATAATTATTATAATAACAATATTAATAATAATATAATAATAATATTCTCTATCAATGGCAGAAAAATAAATATTTACATAAAAAAAAAGAGAAAAACATATTTTTGTTCTTTTTCTTTGACACTATTTTTTTGAGTCCTATAAATTGAAATAAAGAAAAATTAAATAAATATACAATACTATTTTTAATATATTAAATTTTCCTTTTAAATTTTGTCTCTAAAAATACAACGGACAAATATTCGAAAAGAAATAGAATTGAAATGTGAAATTGATTGTGTAGTAATTTTTTAGGTTATAAATTCCCCAACGTTATCAAATTTGACAAAAACGATAAAAATTTTTTTTTTTCGATATTTACCAAGAAAAATTAAAAATCTTGATCATGTTGATTAAATTGAATTTTAATTATTAAAATATACTTGTAATTTATATTAAGTTTTTTTTTATTTTTCACGAAATATTCTCTTAAACTTTCGCAACCGCGCTTTCAACAATGTCCGCAGCACACTATAGTGAACAGTACTGCCAATCTATAGGGAAAAAATAATTACCAACCACACTCCTACCAACTTAGAAATTTGTTTTTCTATCTACTTTTTTGAATTGTATTCCTCTTTTTTTCAATTTTTATATTAATAATTACTTAATTATTTAATTATTATTGGATAAAGTACCGAATTATTTTCTGAAATTTCTAATTTTTATCAGTTTAAAAAAAAAATGCTAGCTACGGTAATGCGAAATTATAATAACAAGTTATGCCAAAATATTTAGGTTATATATATATTTATTGACGAAAAAGTTTTACCTATATTCTTCTTCTTTGTCTGGCTGCTACAAAATTTTTATTCATTTTCGATTATTTATATAAAATTCTACTTAATTACCAACAAAATTATGTATATAATAAGCGTTATGATTAAGAAAAAATACTGAAAAGATTAAATTTTAACTTAAAAAAACTGAATCTCCTAGTTTTCTGACGTCGCCATTTGCAATGAGCAGTGACGCCAATCCAAGAGAACAAAAAACTAAATTTTTTCATTTCTACCAACATGACATTTTCGATATATCGAAATTAATTATTATTATTATTTAATTATTATAATATATTATTATATATTATAATATATAATAATTATTAATATAAAAAATAATTATAGAAATTTCCTCTAATGCAAATTAAAATAGATGTGTAAATACAGAAAAAAATTCTAAATTTCAAATTTCGAGCCCCTTGAAATATTTGCTACGCACCTGCCACATCCGGCCAGTCCGGAATTTAAATTTTTCTGGACAATTTTTTTTCCACCCCACACACACACACACACCATCGTATGAATAAACAGCTGTTTCTATATTCGTTGTTGTTAATTTTTCTCGCAAATATAAAATTATATATAAAAATAATAAATAATAGAAAAAAAAATTCCCCCCTCAATTTTTTTTCTAACCTCTCGTGATTGGTAAGAGTAAAAAAAAAAAAAAAAATAATAATAATTTTTGTCGTCCCCTCTACTTTTTCCTTTTTTCCCGCTGATCAACCAATATAATTCTGACGTTCAACTTCCTGTTTCGCGAGAGACAGACAAAGATAGACATACACAAGAGATTGCTGGAAAGAAAAGTGAAAAATAATTTTTTTCTTTTTTGACACTCTCAGTGCTCTCGCGAATTCTTAATAAACAAAAACAAACAAAAAAAAAAAAAAAAAGAAAGACATCATACAATAAACAACACGAAAGGTGTTTTTTATTGTTGCATATGAAATAAATAAACGACAAAGAAAAGTGAAAGAGGAAAATCAGTGAAAAAAAATAATAATTTTTTCCCATTAGTGTATCTGTGTGTGTGTGATATTTTTTTCTTCTTTTCAATTAAATAATTTTTTTTTTTGTGTGTATATTATTTGATTAAAATTTTTTTCGCGAGTGTAAAACACGTGACATAATTATTAAAAAAAAAATAATAATAATAATTGAAATAAAATTCGTGTTTTTTTTCGTGTGTTATTATTTTATTTTTATTTTTTTTTTGTATGTGTGTGCATTAAATGTGATTTTGTGAAGCGAAAGCATGGCTGGTGTATTTGATATTGAGCTTCACGATGAAGAGACAAATAAAAATACAAATCAAGATGAATCGGACGATGATGTTATCGAAGCGAGAGAGGTAAATTTTTGGTATTATTATTATTTTTTTTTTTATTTTTGGATTATTGTTTTGATAAATTAAAGAGCAATTTTTGTATATTATATATATGTGTGTGTGTATATGTGTCTATTTTCTATACACGTCCACGTAGATGCTTGTGAAATAAGATGTTTTTTTTTTAATATATATATAAATAAAAACTTTCATGCGACACACGATTATTTTTTATAAAAAAGGGAATTTTCTCCTTTTTTTCAGGGGGAATATGACATGAGTCCTAATCTTAATTCCATGCTCGAGTAAGTATTTTTGTTTTTTAAAAATTAATTATTTTCCTGCGCATCAATTTTTTATTGCGTTGATTATATTTCCTTTTTTTTGAGGTTAGGAGGTGTCAAATATATATATATAGCAAATCGTAAAACCTTGAATTATATTCGGAACAAAGATTTTTTTTATGTTTCGTAAAAACCGAATAATATTAATTTAATTTTATTAATGAATTTTTTAATTATCTTAATAATTAATAATTAATAATTTTTTTTTTAATTTTTCGACTATTTTTTTTAAATATTTATTTATTTTGGTTTTGTTTTTTATTTTTAAAAAATTGTGTTTTTTTATTATTTTTTTTTATTTATTTTTTAATTTCAATTATTTTTTAATATTATTTTCTTGTTATTGTTTAATTAACAATTGTCATTTTTTTATTTTTCGTTCTATATTTAAAAAAAAAAAATTTATTCGAAATCTTTTGTTGGCTTTTTTTATATTAAATAAATAAAATATTAGTAAAAATTAATTAACAATATTAGTTTATAATAATAATAATAATTATTATTAGGTATTATTATTTTAGAAAATCATTGTAATAATAAATAAATAAATAAATAATAATAATAATAATAATAATAATAATTAAATAAAAATTAAATATTAAATATAAAAAATAATAAATAATTATAAATAATAATAATAATATTAAAAAGAAGAAATAAATTATAATTTAATTATTATTTATTTATTTATAATTATTATTATAAATTCAAAATAATATTAAATTATTTTATTAATTAGTTAATAATAATTTAGGAACTTACAGGGAATTTATAAAAAAAATATAGTAAAAAATTAATTAAAAATAAATAAATTATTTAATTAGAAAAAAAAATTAATCATAATAATATTTAATTTATTAACTTTTTTAAGAAAAAATGTATGGAAAATAATTTCAAAAATAAAACAAATAGCCACAAAGATAAGACAATAGTAAAATTATGACATAAAAATAAATAAACATAAAAAAGTGCCATAAAAAAACGAAGAGAATAATAAAACTTACATTCTATTCCAAAAAAAAAAATTGGAAAAGAAAAAATTTAAAGAAAAAAAAAAAAATTTATTTTTAACAATATTAAATTTAAAATTTAAATTTAAATTTCTAAAATTTTTATTTAAATATTTTATTTTATTTTGTTTATTTTTATTTTAATACTTTTTTATTTAAAAATTTTTATTTACTTAATTATTTATATTTATTTTCAAAATTTTTATTAAATTAAAAAAATTAAAAAGAATATTTAATAAAAATTATCTGATAAATGAATTAGTTATATTTAAAATTTTTAAATATAATAAATTTGTTATAAAAAATTTTTGTAAAAAAAAAAATTAAAAATTTCTATATGAGATTACGTTACAAAGTCCAAGGTCAGGAATACGTATTTATTATTATTTTTTTTTTTTACTTTTTTTATTTTATTAATAGAAAATCATGTGGAAAGTTATGTTGTAGATTAAAATATTTTTCGTTTTTTTTTTTTGCTGATAAATTTATATTAACATTTAAAAAGAGAGAAAAAAAATGTAATTTTCAATTATCCTTTTTTATTTTATTTATAATTTAAAATTTAATTTTTCCTAAAAATTTCCTAGATAGGGAAATTATTTTTGCAAAATTTTTAACAGGAGCAAAAAAAATTAATTAACCAAAATCCATTTGAAAAAAAATCATTAATATTAAATAAAACAAACAAAAAAATTTGAATCAAGTTTCCGAACTTTTAATTAAACGAAAAATTTGTTTTCGTTTACAAACGAAAAGTTTATATTTTTAACTTCAAATTTTAATATTAAAAATATTACTTTTTTGTATGGAAAAATAAATTTAATTGAATGAGACAAATAAATGTTAATTAAATAAAATTAATTAAACATATTATTTAAATATATTAAATATATAAAATTAAATAATAAAATGAATTGAATTAAATAAAATATTTAATTTAGATAAAAATTGTTTAAAAATAAATTTTTTATAAATTTTGAATATTACAGATCCGAGAATGTTGAAAGAGTTCAGCTATCGGAGCAAAATGTTAATCCTGGACAGGAAAAAACGGGACCTCAAGATTTTGAATTGTGTAAAATTTTAGGCGAAGGCGGTTATGGAAAAGTATTTCAAGTGAGAAAAGTCACTGGCAAAGATAGAGGCAGCATTTTTGCAATGAAGGTAAAAAAAAAAAAAAAAAAAAAAAACTTGTATAAAATTTTTTTCATCCGCAAAATATTAAAAAACAAAACAAGGTTTTTCAAATTTTTACATCAAATCTGAATTATTATTATTATTATTTAATAAACTATAATTAAATTTTAAATTAAAAACAATTCATTTAATTATTTACATAAAAGTAGATTTTTACATTATTTTCTATAAATAAATAAATAATAAATTTATAATTTATAATTTATAATAATTTATAAATTATTATAAATAAAATAAATAATTACTTAAAAATAATTTAATTAATTCTCAATTAAAAGGGGGCAAAATTGGAATTAATTTTTTTTTTTTTCGATTTAGGTTTTGCGAAAAGCATCGATTATTCGAAACCAAAAAGACACAGCGCATACCAAAGCAGAAAGGAATATTTTGGAAGCTGTAAAGGTAAAGAGAAATATTTTTTTGTACAAAAAAAAAATTAAATTTTACGAATATTATGAATATTACGAATTTTATGAATTCGATAAAAATTACATTTTTTAAAAGCGAGACGAGGAAAAAGAATTTTTTTTTCACCCTAGGGAGTAAAATAATTTTTTTTTTAAAATTCTAACAAAAAAAAAAATAAATAAAAATAAGTACATTAATAAATATTCTTTACTGAAAAATGTGGCTCATGAATTTCTCATAAAAATCATTAATTAGAAATTTTTTTAGAAATAATTATTTTTTATTTGAAAAATGAAAATTCGTCTTAAAAAAATAGTTATTTTTATATAAAAAAAAAATTCTTAATAAAAATACTAATTTAATGATTTTTATGGGATAATCATGAACCTGAAAAAAAACAGGAAATCACGTTGATTCTTTTTTTTTTTCTTTCAGCATCCATTTATTGTTAATTTAATGTACGCTTTTCAAACTGGTGGAAAATTGTATCTTATTTTGGAATATCTCTGTGGAGGTGAATTATTCACATATTTGGAGCGTGAGGGCATATTTCTCGAGGACACTGCGTGGTAATTTTTTTTTGCCAAGCACAAAAATTATTATTATTATTATTATTATTAACTAAAAAGAAAAAATTATATTTTATTATTAACTAAAAAGAAAAAATTATATTTTATTATTAACTAGAAAGAAAAAATTATATTTTATTATTAACTAAAAAGAAAAAATTATATTTTATTATTAACTAAAAAGAAAAAAAATTATATTTCATTATAATACCATAGTTTTTAAATTTAAAAACAAAAATAATTTTTAAAAAATATATATTTTTCCCTTTTTAATTCACAGTTTTTATCTATCGGAAATAATTCTCGCCTTGCAACATCTTCACAATCAGGGAATAATTTATAGGTAATAAATAAATTCTTTTTGGAGCAAAAAAAAAAAACAATGTCAAGTAAAAGAAAAAAAGGATTTTTTTTTCGTTAAAAAAAGGAGAAACTATCAAAAATTCCTTTTTTTTTCTTTTATTTTTGTTTTACTTTTTATCAGGGTATATGTAAATTTGAAAAAATTTTCTTTTTTTTTTTATTTCTCCAATTACAGAGACTTGAAGCCGGAAAATATTTTATTGGACAGTGAAGGACATGTGAAATTAACGGATTTTGGTCTTTGTAAAGAACATATTCAAGAGGGAACTGTAACGCACACTTTTTGCGGAACTATAGAATATATGTGAGTTTTATAAATTTTTGTTTCTTTTTTTTTTATGAAAAAAAAAGAAAAATTTCCTAACAAAAGTTTTGGAATTTATTTTTTCATTAAAAAAAATTAATATTTATTTATTTATTTTTTTTTTTTTTCATTGAAAAAAAGGAAAATTTATGATTTTGCTTTTTTATTGAAAAAACAGAAAATTCATTTTTGTTTCTTTTTTCTCTCTCTCTCTCTCTCTCTCAAAAATAAAAAGAAAAACTAATGGAAAATTTTGAACAAAGTTATCTACGGAATTTATTTATTTTTTTATTTATTTATTTATTACTATATAGAGGAAATTAATTTATTTTTTTTTTCGCAGGGCACCGGAAATTCTAACGAGAAGTGGACACGGAAAAGCAGTCGATTGGTGGAGTTTGGGTGCCTTGATGTTTGACATGCTCACTGGAATGGTAAGCAAAATTTATTTTCGCTATTTTTATTTTAAATTTAAACGAAAAAAATCACTTTCTTCGTTTTTATTTATTTTTTATTACTATTTATATATTATATAATTTATTAATTATATTTACTATTTTTTATTTATTTATTTATTATAACTTCTCGGACGTTAAAGATTTGATGAATCAAAAAAAATTACCTTTTTGTATTTAAAAAAAAGAACTATTAATAAAATTAATTAATTTATAAATTTTGTGATTATTATTAATTATTATTATTTTTTTTTTTTGCAGCCTCCTTTTACTGGCGCGGACAGAAGGAAAACGATAGAGAAAATTTTAAGAGGACGTTTAACTCTTCCACAGTATCTTACATCGGAAGCGAGAGATTTAATTCGCAAATTATTAAAAGTAAGTAAAAAGAGAGAGGAGGTGACAGTAAAATTTTTGATAAATTTAGTTCATATTTTTTGGAAAAATTAATTTTAATTTAAATTAATTTTAGATAAAAAAAAAATACCAAAAATTATCTATTAACTAAAACTAAATTTGAATAGAATTACCAAAAAAATATTACCTTGTAAATTAAAATTTATTTTAAAATAAAAATACAAATTAACCTATTAAAATAAAAAAATCAAAATTTGAAAAAAAAAAAAAAATTACTTTTTGCAGAGACAAATCATTCAAAGGTTAGGCTCAGGACCGGAAGACGCTGAGCAAATAATGAAACACAATTTTTTCTCTCACATCAATTGGCAAGATGTTATTTCGCGAAAATTGGAGCCACCTTTTAAACCGTCATTGGTAACGTATACATAACATTACATAAACTTGTGCAATTTTATGAAACATCGTCCGCATAAGGAAAATCATTTTCCTACTATTTTTGTAATTTATTCAGTTATACTTTTTTTTTATAATTACCTTGAATTTTATTCTTATTAAAATTTACAATTATTATTATTCATTAAATTCAAAATCTTTTTCATTATTTTCTTTCAATATAATTAAAATTTATGAAAAATTTTTTGCTATCAATCTCGACAAACTTTTTTTTTCTTTATTTGCAAATTTCGATCTCGATAAACATGTTTATTTTTGCAAAATTATTGCAATAAACTATTTTTCAAATTTGATCTCAGTGAATGTTTTATAAAATATATTCTAATTGTAAATTATGTTTTTTTAATTTAAAAATATTTAATTTGTTTATATTATTATTTTGTTTTTTAATTATTTAATTTTATTATTATTCAACTACTTTTTTTTTAAGTTCAACAGTTTAAAACTAAATTTTTTAAATTAATTTTTAAATAAGTTTATTTATTTATTAATAGTAAAAAATTAAATTAAACTAATAATTGAATTTAGAAAAACAATTATGTTTCTTTATTTCTATTTTTTTTTTTTTATTAATTGAAAAATTATTTTTATTTAATATTAAATTAAAAATTTATCGTTTCTGTTTTTTTTTTTTTTTTGTTTTTACAGAAAAGTGCAGATGATACTTCACAATTTGATGAACAATTCACAGCGACAGTTCCTGTTGATTCACCAGTTGAAAGTACATTAAGCGAATCAGCAAATTTAATATTTCAAGTTAGTAAATTAATTAAAAATTTTAACCATACAATATTAAGAGAATTAAGAAAGGAAAAATTATTTTTTTAACGATAAAAAAAAATCATTAATTACAATTTAATTTAGAAGTATTTTATATCAGAAATAATTAATTTTTAAATAAATTTTCAATTTTTGAATTAAAATTTATTCGAATTGTTTACATTTATAAAATTTTTAGTTAGCGAATTTTCATTTTGTCCGAAATTACAAAAATCGTCAAACAATCGACAAAAATATTTCGATTTTAAAAGATTTTTTTAATTTTATTATGTAGAAATTTGTATAAATATAAATTCTGACAAATTTTAATTCGAAAATTAAAAATTCGTTGCAAAATTAATTATTTCTTTAAACTAAAGGGAAAGTTTATTTTTGTTTTTTTTTTTTTTTTTAAAATAGGGATTCACTTATGTGGCGCCGAGCGTTTTAGAAGAAATGTACACACAACAACCGCGAGTTGTTCACGCCCGAAGTCCACGAAGGCCATTTCTTGGAAGTGGAAATAGCGGAAGTGTTCACAGTTTCTCGCCAAGAACACCTGATGCTCATCTTCGGCCATCGGCTCAATTTTATCAGCACAGGTAGGAAAACAAACAAAAAAAAAAAATATTAATTTACCAAAATTTCACTTTTCAATTCCATTCAAAAAAATTGCAGTATTTTCTAAAAAAAAAAAAAAAAAAAAAAAAAAAAAAAAAAAAAAAAAAAAAAATGAAAAGGTAAACAAATTATTAATTAATTAAATTAATTTGAAAAGTTGTCGCTTTTTTCGAATTTCTAAAATTTTTATTCTGCAAATATATTTTTTTTAAATAATTCAATTTTTCAGTTTTAAATTAACTTTAAATTTAAGTTTAATTTAAAATAATTTAAATAAATTGGACAATTGAAAAAATTATCGATAAAATTATAATTAGATAAATTTTTGAAAATTCGTTCCAAAATATTTTTTGTGTGTTCGAACATTTGCTTATTTCAGTCAAACTTAATAATTATTATATAATAATAAAATGCTTAGTCAGTCCTTCTGTCGTAACTTGAAGTTGGCCTTTTCTGATTTCACGTGTTTTTTTTTTGAATAGTAATCTTATCACGTGTCAAATTTTGACAATTCTTTTTCTCATTTTTGCTAAAGTTGTCTAATTGTGTTTCCAAATTTCGGAATAAGTTTCTTTAAAATTCCAAATTCGAAAATTCAATTCACGAAACTGAAGTACACAACGTTTACCAACGAAATTTTTTTTAAAGTTGTATATTGATTCAAAAATTGTATACAAATACAAAAAATTTATGATGAGAAAAAAGATGCGCCAAGAAATTTCGTACAAGATAGTAATTTGAAAAAAATTAATTTTTAAGGTACCAGGGGCCAACGAATATCTATTAAATATTAATTATAAAAACACAGGCCTCGAATCAACTTAAAAACACAAAAAAGTCGTTTTAGTCGATTTATATTCCAAAAAAAAGTGGATTTGTTTTTTATTTAACAAAAATATTTTACAGATTTTTAAATAAAAATTTTTTTTTGAATAATAATCCTTTTCGAAGGATTAAAGTAGAAATTTTTAGAAATAATTAAATTTCAAAAGATATATTGTTAATTTTCAAACAATTATTAAATTTTACAGAACTAAAAATAATTTATCAAACAATTTTTGGAAAACATTTTTTAAAAATTGAATTTTCAAAGATTTAAAATTGAAATTTTTGAAATTAATTGAAACTTTAAGTGTTTTGTAATTAAAATTTTAGATGATTTCACTAAAAATTTATTAAAAAATTGCGGACAAAATACAATAATTTGAAAATCATTTTTAATTGAAAAATGGTTTCAGATAGTTGAATTTTCAAAGAATATTATTAAAATAGTTAAAAAATAATTGAATTTCCTTAGAGTTATAATTGAAATTATTAAATTTCAAAAAAAAAAAAATTTTCGATGGAAAATTTTAGAAATAATTAAATTTTAGATGCTTTTAAATTCAAATTATTGAAAATTCAATTAATTTTGAATTCAAATTTTTGAGATTAATGAAATTTAATTTTGATTTTAAATTTGAAAAATAATTGAATTTCAGTTCATTTTGAATCGAAAATTTTGGGAAATAATTGAATTTTACTTGAAATTTTGGATAATAATTTAATTTAAGTTCATTTTTGATTGAAAATTTGGATAATTAATTTTGAATAGAAATTTTAGAAAATAATTGAATTTTATTTCATTTTTAATTGAAAACTTGGTAAATAATTAAATTTTAAATTGAAAATTTAAAAATTTATTTAAAAATAAATTTTAGTTGATTTTGAATCGAAATTTTCGAAAATTATTGAATTTTAGTAGATTTAGAATTGAAAATTTGGAAAATAATTGACTTTTAGTTTATTTTGAATTGAAAATTTTGAAAATAATTGAATTTCAATTTAAATTTTAAAAAATAATTAAATTTTTATTGATTTTAAATTAAAAATTTTAAAAATAATTGAATTTCAGTTCATTTTGAATTGAAATTTTTGGGAAATAATTGAATTTTACTTGAAATTTTGTATAATAATTTAATTGAAGTTCATTTTTGATTGAAAATTTGGATAATTAATTTTGAATAGAAATTTTAGAAAATAATTGAATTTTATTTCATTTTAAATTGAAAACTTGGTAAATAATTAAATTTTCAATTTAAAATTTTCGATAATTATTGGATTTTTAATTTGATTTTGAATTAAAATTTCGGGTAATAATTGAATTTTAGTTTATTTTGAATTGAAATTTTTAAAAAATTATTCAATTTTATTGTGATATTTTTTTTTTAAATTATAAACAATTGTTAAATTTCATAAAAATTTTAAATGAAAAATAATTTTGATATATAATTGAATTTCAGTTTAAATTTTGAAAAATAATTGTAGGGTCAGTCGGGGTAAATCCGAACGGGGGGTAAATCCGAACGCTAATTATTTCAGCTTAATTAAAATTTTTAAAAATAAGTTCGATATGAGAATTTTTACCTCAGATCCTCTTGAAGAGATTCTAAGTATTATCCCATTTTTTGTTTGTTAATTGGCAACAGCATAAACAAAGATAACAAGTATTGCAAAAAAGATTGAAAATCAAAGATGACACTCTTTCAGTATTTTGTCTCGTATTTGAAGAAAAAGAAGCTAAAAATTCATTTTATTATTTATAATTGTTTGTTATGAATACTAGAACAGAAACTATTTTTGATTTTTGCCTTCTGTAAAATTTTATTAATAATATCAGACCGTTCGTATTTACCCAAAAAAATTGGAAAACTGGGGTAAATCCGAACGGTATTTTTAATAATTTTTTTTTACATCAAAGCCACACAAAATTGTTTTTATTTGATTACACTATTATTTTAACATTATAAAAGTACATAGAAAAAAGTTTTTCTTTCTATACGTATCCTCGTTAGTAATTAATAAGCAGAAACTTAATCTCTGTTCTCTCGAAGGAGTGTTCCACTTTTTTTTGCCAAATGGTTTGTTGAAAAAAGTTTTTCAGGATCTTAATAAAATTTGGTATTCTACGGTTTTTGGGGTCGCTAATTACCAATTTGAAGTCAGTTTTTCAAAATTCAAAATGGCGGACGAGAATTAAAAAATTCATTGGATTCGCTCGAAAATTGTTACTCGGGGGGTTTCAGGATTAGCAAATTTGATAATTTTTAAAAATAAGTTTTAGGAAAGTACGCCATTTTGAATTTAAAAAATTTGACTTTAATTTTTGTATTTACATTCAATCACTCCAAAATACTTTCTGTAGCAAGTTTTGCAAAAATCCGTTATGATTTGATAAAGTTATTGAAGGTTTTAATTGTGTAATGCATTTTAATTTTTAACCTGTTTGATTTTTGTATTTATATATGATGCATTATTACATAATAGGTTTATTATCGTATTTTTTTTGAGTTTTTATATAAGTTTAACAATTGCAATACTTTAAATTTATTTTCCCTAAGATTTTTCTGAAATACAGTGGCGTTCGTATTTACCCCCATATTTTAGGAAAGTTGCAAAGTATCGAGGTAAATACGAACGCTAAGTTTCCTGCGATTGTAATTTATCAAAAATTTTTTCTACCCCATAAAATTGTTCTATGGAAGTAAAGTAACAACTTCATGCACCAGAATACCGGAAGTATTTTTTTTTTAAAGAAAAAACTTATGTTATTGTTGAAACTTACTAAAAGCGTTCGGATTTACCCCAGTTGACCCTACATTAGTTGAATTTTAGTTGATTTTGAATTGAAATTTTCGAAAATTATTGAATTGAAAATTTAAAAAATAATTGAATTTTAGTTGATTTTGAATTGAAATTTTCGAAAATTATTGAATTGAAAATTTAAAAAATAATTGAATTTTAGTTGATTTTGAATTGAAATTTTCAAAAATTATTGAATTGAAAATTTAAAAAATAATTGAATTTTAGTTGATTTTGAATTGAAAATTTTGAAAATAATTGAATTTCAATTTAAATTTTAAAAAATAATTGAATTTTTATTGATTTTAAATTAAAAATTTTTAAATTAATTGAATTTCAGTTTATTTTGAATTGAAAATTTTGGAAAATAATTGAATTTTAATTGAAATTTTGAATAATAATTTAATTTAAGTTCATTTTTGATTGAAAATTTGGATAATTAATTTTGAATAGAAATTTTACAAAATAATTGAATTTTATTTCATTTTAAATTGAATACTTGGTAAATAATTAAATTTCAAATTGAAAATTTTGGATAATTATTGGATTTTTAATTGATTTTGAATTAAAATTTCGGATAATAATTGAATTTTAGTTTATTTTGAATTGAAATTTTTAAAAAATAATTCAATTTTATTGTGATTTTTTTTTTAATTATAAACAATTGTTAAATTTCATAAAAATTTTAATTGAAAAATAATTTTGATATAATTGAATTTGTGATGTATTTCATTAAAATTATTAAAAGTAATTAATTTAGTGAAGAATCATTTTAGTTGAAAATTTGTTAAATAATTGAATTAAAGAAGATCTGAAGAAGATCTACATTTTATACTAAAAAAATGTATTTTATTTACATTTTTTTTTCAAACGTAAAAGAAAAATGTCGCATTTTATTAAAATAAGTCGATAAAAGTCGTATTTTTGAAAAAAGTCGGAAAAAGTCGTATAATCCGAGGCATGTAAACATATATAATTTTCATTATTATCATTTAATATGTGATAATATTCTAATAAATTAAATTATTATTGATAATATTAATCTTTAATTTCTTTATAACAAACAATTAAATACTCAATTTGGCGCGCTAGTTATTAAATAAATTATTACCATTTTTTGAATTAATTAATTTTTTTTTCGTTTTATGTTTTGTTTTTTTTTTTTTAATTTTTTTCAGGCACCATAATACCGGAAATGACAGTACGGAAGATATGGAAATGGACGTGAGTCATGCACCCGGACATTTATAGTGCTCAAAGTACAGCTCAACAGAAGTCACCAAAATTCTCTAATTCTCATAATAAAAAAGAAAAAAAAATAATTGATTTAAACAAAAAGAAAAAAAGTAAAACAAAAACAATTTATTCAAATTTAGCTCCAGTCAAGAAACTTTTCTTTCTGAAATAAGAGAAATATTTTTGGTGGCTCAAATTAGTTAATTTATCACGCAGAACTGATCCCTTTATCTTCAAAATAATGAAATTTAGTCAAATTTCGATTGAGAAACAAAAAATTGATGATAATGATGATGATGATGATGATAATAAATTCGGAGACGAAGGAATCGGCTCTGATTTGCCAATAGGATACAATTTTCCGACCTAAAAAGTCGATGAGAAAAAAAAAATACAAATCGTCTCTCACAATAGTCGAGAGGAAAATTAAGACGTTAAAAAAAAAAATATGAAAAAGAATTTTTGAAAAAAGAAAAAATGAAAAAAAAATACAATTTTCTCTATTCTTAATTATGTATTTCTCAAAGAAAAAAAAATTAATATTCACTGAAAATTCAAAATAGTGAATTAAAAATTGTAAATTAATTAAATTTTATTCATTGATTTTTACTTTGTTTTGTTTGAATTTATTGATTAAATATTGATTTAAAAAAAATATGATTGAATATTGGTCAAAAAAAAGGAATTGAATATTAATAAAAAAAAGTCGATTAAAATTAAAAGAAAAAAATAAATTAATTTTGTATTTAATTACAATGAAAATTTATAAATTAAAATGAAAAAATTTGAAAAATAAAATAAAATTTACAACAAAGTTTTCCCAATAAAAAAATTTAGACTATTATTTTGCAAATAAAAAATAAATGTTTCTAAAAAAAAAAATGGAATTTGGAAAAAATATCAAAAAAAAAAACGTGCTTAATTAATTTTCAACTATTGGAGGGACAAAAAATAAAATATATAAAACAGAGGTTTAAAAAAAAATGATTTTCAAACTGAAACACACAATGCTTTGTAAATAGTCATGAAACTGAAAAATAGTCTTTTTAAGTTTCAATAGTGTTGGTCCAAAGTTCGAGAAGATAAATAAATAATTAAAGAAAAAAGAAAATTCATTAATTATAGAAAGAAAAAAAAAATATATATATATATGGTAATAAGGCAATCGGAAAGTTTATTTCTGATTTTATTTCAGAAGCACCCGGTGTTATTATTTTTGGGACGCATTATGAATATGTTGTAAAAATCAATTAGAATTTTTGATTTAATAGATATAATTTACATTGAGCCCAAATTTTGATTTTTGCGAAATTATTATTTTGCAGAATTTCGTATTAAAATGATTTTTTCTATTTTAGAGAATTTTTATATAGTCAGTTATAAAAAAAAAAAATTCTCTAATACAGAAAATCGATTTAATGTAAAATTCTAAAAAATGATAATTCGAACAAATCAAAATTCGATTCAATGAAAATTATATCTAAAAAAATTCTATTAAATAAAAATTCTAACTGATTTTTTAAAATTAATGCGTCCCTTAATTTTTTTTTTTTTGTTTTGTCTTCGGTAGAATTTCGAAAAAACTTTAAATTTTGTCAATTATATATACATATATATATAGTATTTGTTAAAAATTTTACTATTTTCAATTTTAGAAACGTCCAATAATAATTTGTAAAACTTTTACTTAACTCTCGATAAGTTTAGTGATATAAGTAAAAAAAAAAGAAAAAAAAGAATGTGCGTGGCATTTAATTTAATTGTGTATATTCATTATATTATATATATTATTATATATATATAGAAATATTAATTGAATTTCCGATAAATTTAATAATCGACGAAAAAACCAATTTACAGGTGATTTTCTTTAAAAAAAAATAAAATAAGCAATGCGCTGCCAAACGAGTCTCTTTGTAAAATAATAATAATATTCAAATTTACTCTATATACAATTTTTTCTCGACATAGTTCGTAATTGATTTTTATTTCAATGGAAAACTGAAAAATTTCGCAATTTTCAAATTTTTCATTAACATTAATTTCTTTTCAATTACTATTTTAGTTTCCCTAATTTTCTTTTTATTATTATTATTATCTATTATTATTTTATTTTCAATTAATATTTTCAATTTCGTTAAAAAAAGTATTAAAAAAACAAAATTTGTTTACACGAAAAAATTTTTCATTTTCATTGAAAAAAAAACCAATTCGAAATTAACGAATCTAAACAAAAAATCCTGTTTTATTTAAAAAAAAAGAAATTTAGAAACACAAAACTATAAAGTTACAACAAAGAAAATATTCTCTAAAAAAAATGATCTAAAAAAACATGTATCTAAAAAGAATATTCTCTAAAAAAAAAAAAAAAAATATCTAAAAAAAAATATATCTCGATGTTTCGATTAAAAAAGTTTCTATATCAGCACTGTTTTTGCACACTCGCCGTTTGCGCATGAATTATATTGTAGAAAAAAAAATAAGCATGATTAAAAAAAGAGAGAGACCCATAAATAATAATAATAATAATAATAATTATTATTATAAAAATAATATATTTAAATGCAAAAAAAAAGGAATCCAATTCAAATATTGTACTTTCGCGTGTGATTTATTCAGATTCTCAGACTGCCCAAGTGTTCACAAAAAAAAACAAACAAACAAACAAAACGTAACCGAGTTTATTGTTATATATAAATAATCTTATATAATATTAATTATTACAAGAATCAGTTTTAAAAAATAAATGAAAAAAAAAATTATGAACAATTTTATTTATTACCTACGGAAATTTAGTCTAAATTTTTTAGGCTGAATTTAGTCTCTTTTTTTCAGGAAAAAAGTTTACACAAAAATCATGAATTATCATGAGGCTGTGAATGACATAATTGGCATCAAAGTAAGATGCGGTTCAATACCATTTTCGAGTATTTTTTATAGACAATAATTGTCATAATTTGCATCAAAATAAGATGCGGTTCAATACCATTTTCGAGTATTTTTTATAGACAATAATTGTCATAATTGGCATCAAAATGAGATGCGCTTCAATACCATTTTCGAGTATTTTTATAGACAGTAATTGCCATAATTTGCATCAAAGTAAGATGCGGTTCAATACCATTTTCGAGTATTTTCCATAGACAGTAATATTGTCAATTTATAAGTAGTATTTTTCATTTTATTTATAATATAATATTATATTATATAATAATTTTTTTTGTCTTTTGCTTGGTTTTTGCTAATGAATTAGATGAAAAAATTAATAGTATAACTGATTTATTTTATTGTTATATATTATTATAATATATGTATAGATATAATAATTTTCATATTAATAGTAAATATAATATATTGTAATAATCAATGTTAAATTATTTATAATATCGAAAATATTAATTAATATAATATATTAAAATATCAATTAATTCATTCAGGAATTAATAATAATAATCATATATTAAAATATTTATAATATTAAAAATCAATAATTAAATATTTGTAATATCAAAATATTAATAAGAAATTATTTTTAATATTGAAATATCAATACAATGTATTTCAATATTTATTTATTTTAACGTTTACGTGTATAAATATTTAAATAAATATTAAATTATTTAAACAAATAAGTATTTAAATAAATAAATATTTAAATAATTGAATGCTTATTCGTTTAATTAGTTAAATATTTATTTGTTTAAATATTTAAATACTTATTTGTTTAAATATTTATTTACTGAAATATTTATATATTTAATATATTCAAATACTACAATAAACTTAAAAATTGCATTGAATTTTCAAGAAAAAAAATTATTTACAAGTTCAACATATTTTTTTTACGACCAATAATTATATCAATTAAACAGATTTTGTTTTTTCTATTTTTAGAGTGTTTCCCATTAAATAGTGGGAAGTTTTTCTTTTCTTCTTTCTTTCTTTTTTTTACAGATGAATTATGAAACTTTCATTTATAAAAAACAAAAATGTTTCCACTAAAAATTGTAAAATTTACACTTAATTTCTGATTATTCAAAAGAATTTAAAAAAAAAATGTTTTCTTTCTAAATAAAAAATTTTCAATTTAAAAAAAATAATACAAAGTATTTACAAATAATTTGGAAAAAAATTTTGATTTTATAAAAAATTCCCTCATTAAAAAGAAACAAACAAAAGTAAACAAATATTGTTTCTTTTTAGAAAATTTTCTATCTACGAAAAATGTTTCCAAATAATTTTTGTGAAATAAATAAATAAACAAAAATAAAAAATACCAGAAAAATTATTTACGAAAATTCAATTTTTATATCTAAAATTTGAGATTCAAATTTTGCTCTTAAATTGAAAAATGAAATTCAAATTCGAGAAAAAAAAATTTTTTATCTTCTTTTTGGAATTTAAGATTTAAGTTTCGCTCTTGAATTGAAAAATGAATTTCAAAATCGAGAATTAAATTGGCAATTATAAAAATAATTAGTACGGAAAAAAATTTGTTTTCAACTAAAATTAGAATAATTAAATTAAAAATTAAAAAAAATAAATAAATAATTGCCTAATCGTGTTTTCGTCGTTTCTCCTTACGATCGCGTCGTCCCTCATCATCAGAATCGTCGGCACGTCTTTTGCGTCGATTTTTATCCTTTGATTTATGATTTTCCTTTTCCTCTTTAATACGCGCCGCTTCTTTTTCACGTCTTTTGTCCCGTCGACTCGACGAATCCGATTCAGAATCTGATTTTCGCGATTTCAATTTTTTCTTTCGTCTCTCATCCGAACTCGATTCACTCGAGTCACTTGAACTTTTACTTGACTTTCGCAATTTTTTCTTCGATTTTCTACTCTTCTTCTCCAATTTCTGAAGTTTCCTGCAAAAAAATGAAAAAAAAGAAAATATTATTATTTTTCTTCCGAAAATTCTTAAGAAATTTAATTTTAATTTAATTTCTAATAAAAAATTGTTAATAATAATAAAATATTTCTAATTAAATTTATTGAAAATAAAAAATGGACTTTTTAGACTTTTCTTGTGATGTAAATTCACTTTTTTTCTTTTAAAAATCGATCTGAAGCTCTACAATTATAAAATTTTACAATAATTTTTATAAGCTTTGTGAATAGAAAATTTCAAAAATTATAATTTTTAGTAGCATTTTTTCTATTAGAAATTTTGATATATTTCCAGTAATTTTTATAAAATTCCCTGAATTTTTTTCCTCATTTCCCTGATCAGTGGCAATTTTGATTAAAAATAAAAATTAACACTTACTTCAAAAGTTTTTTCTTCTCTTTTTTTGAAAGAGATTTCAAGAAGGAAACCTCCTGCTCTTCTTCGTCCTCGGAAACCATTAAATGTTCGTTGGTTGGTACTCGTAAATGTTGTTGAGCATCAAGTGCAGATCTAGTAAAAGAAAAAATATATATATATATATATATTCAATTTTTCTCATTTTCAAAAATTTATAAAAATTGAAATCTAATAAAGTTTTGATTTCAAATGTGAATAAATTAAAATTTTCTGTACACAATTTACATTAAAACAAAAAGAAAATAAAAATTTCAATAAATTCAATTTTAAAAAAAATAAAAGAAAAAAAATTATAATTTATTTTTTAAAAAAGGAACTAAATGGTTTTTTTTAAAAAGGAAATAAATTATAATTATTTTTTCTTTAAAAGAGGAATTTTTTTTAAAAAAAGAGAAACTAAATATTTAATTTTTTTTTTTTTTAAAGAGGAACTAAATAATAAATTTTTTTTTTAAAGAGGAACAAAATTAATTCAGCAAAATTAATTAAAATTTAATAGAAATAAAATGTAATTAACTAACTTTTTAAGTGCCAAACCGTCTTCTCGCATTTGTTGAACTAATGTTAATGCGTCAAGAGATTCTTGATTTTTATTTTCGCTATTAATGACAACGCTCATCGACTGACAATAAAGAGGACATTCCTTATCTGAAAAAATAAAGTTTTGTCAATCTTCTATTGGAATTTATTTATTTATAAATACAAATACCTTATTTATTACAATTAATTTATTTATAAATAAATAAATAAATTTATAACTAAATAAATTCATTTAGAAACAAAAATTTAAAAGCAATTTCTCTTAATTATTTACAGTTTTCAATTATTTATTTCAATTATTAATATTTATATATATACAAATAAAAAAAATATATTTATAAATGTTTTCACTCCAATTTTTTCTATCCAAAATCAACTAAAATTCAATTATTTTCCAAAAATTCAATTTAAAAGCTTCTAAAATTTTTTTAATAATTTAATAATAAATAATTAATAATAATAATTAATAAATTTAATAATTTAAGAATTTTTTCAAAAAATTTAATTATTGTCAAAAATTTTAATTAAAATTCAAAATTTTTTTTTTTTTTTCAAAATTTTCAAACCAAAATCAACCAAAATTCAATTATTTTCCAAAATGTCAATTGAAATTCAATTTTTTTCTAAATTTTCTATTTAAAATTAAAACTAAAATTCAAATATTTTCAAAAATTTTAAACCAAAATGAACCAAAATTCAATTATTTTCCAAAATTTCGATTGAAATTCAATTATTTTCAAAATTATTAATTCAAAATCAACTAAAATTCAATTATTTATAAAATTTTCAATTCAAAATCAACTAAAATTCAATTATTTATAAAATTTTCAATTCAAAATTAATTAAAATTCAATTATTTTTAAAATTTTTAATTCAAAATCAACAAAAATTCAATTATTTTTAATAATTTCAATTAAAATTCAATTATTTTCAAAATTTTGAAACCAAAATCAACCAAAATTCAATTATTTTCCAAAATGTCAATTGAAATTCAATTTTTTTCTAAATTTTCTATTTAAAATTAAAACTAAAATTCAATTATTTATAAAATTTTCAATTCAAAATCAATTAAAATTCAATTATTTTCAAAATTTTTAATTTAAAATCAACAAAAATTCAATTATTTTCAAAAATTTCAATTCAAATTTAATTATTTTCAAAATTTTCTATTTAAAATTAACTAAAATTCAATTATTTTTTAAATTGAAAATCAACAAAAATTTAATTATTTTCAAAAATTTCAATTGAAATTCATTTATTTTGAAATTTTTCAATTAAAAATTCAATTATTTTCAAAATTTTTCTATTTAAAATTAATTAAAATTTAAATATTTTCCAAATTTCTGATTCAAAATTTATTAAAATTAAATTATTTTCCGAAATTAAAAATTCCAAATTAATTAAAAATTTAATTATTTAAAAAATTTTAAATTCTGAAATAATTAAAATTAATTTATTTTCAAAAATTTCATTTCAAAATCAACTAAAATTCAATTATTTTCAAAATTTTCATTTCCAAATTAATTAAAATTTAATTATTTTAAAAATTTTAAATTCTAATGTAATTAAAATTCAATTTTTCTTTGAAAATTTCGATTGAAATTCAATTAATTTCTAAAAAATATAATCTGTTAATTTTCAAAAATCAATTATTTCGATACATTTTCAAAAAAGTACTTACCAATAATTTTTTAATAATTTAATAATAAATAATTAATAAATTTAATAATTTTTTCAAAAAATTTAATTATTTTATAAAATAAATAAATAATAATAATTAATAATTAATAAATAAATGAATAAAAAAATTTCAAAAAAATTTAATTATTTTCTAAAAATATAAACTGTTAATTTTGAAAAATTCAATTATTTTGAAAATTATTGTTTTTTTTTTGTTTTTTTTTTTTCGTCATAAAAGAAACATTTACCAAAAAAAGTGTTGTTGATAAAAAAAAAAATAAATAATAATAATTTCAAAATGTAATAAAATTGTAATGAAAAATAATTTTTTTTTTTTTGTTTTCAACTCACCAGTATTGATGTGGCCCCATTTGTGACATTTTATACAACGAACATTTCTCACTTGAATACCAAAAGGTTGATCACGAATTTCACTATCGCCTTTACAATAACTTTCTCTAGGCGCATTATATTTACGTTGCCATTCAAATTTATATTCTGGTTCGTTATCCTCTTTTTCACGTTCTTTTTTTGCTCCCGGTGGAGCTTCATACATAAAATTTACACTAAGCTTATCCTTACTCTCCTTACTCAACAAAGCTCTAAAAAAAAAAAACAAAATTTAAAATTCACTTTTTTTCCCGCCCAATTAATTTATCGATTAAAAAAAATTATATTCACCACAAATCATTATTTTATTATTATCATTATAAACTATTAAATTATATTCTAAATTTTAGAGAAACAATTCTTAAAACAGAAACAATACCTCAGACATTGAGATCAATATTTCTCGAAAAAAAAATTATCAATGGCGTGAACCTAACCTCAAAATATATACTCACTTATTGTTATGAAGATCCTGTTCTTTTTCATATTGAACACGAAGTTCCTCCTGTTTCTTTTTATAAGCATCGGCTTGTTGTTCTGCCATCCATACCTGAAAGCACAAAAAAAAAAGAAAAAAAAACAAATTTTAATTTTTCCCCAATAAAGGAAAATCTGTCAAAAAAAAAAAAAAAAAAAAAATTCGCAACTTACTCTCTTTAAATTATCCCTCGATGCAGGATGAAAGAATTTTTTACACATATAATTATTAAAACCCTTCCCCATTTTTGTGAAATTAAAATAAAAATAAATCGAAAAAAAACACGAAAAATTTAGAATTTAAAAAAAAAAATTTTTTCTTGCAAAAGAAAAATACACTGCAATTGCGACCAAAGTTCGTCCATTACTATTTTTCTCCTCTCGCTACGTTACTACTACGCTAGTTTTTTTTCTCCTTCTTTTCGTTTCTTTTTTTTCCGTTTTTCGCATATTTTTTTTCATTTAAACGCGCCAATTTTAATTCACTTTTTTTATATTTAGGTAGAAAAAAAAATGGAATTATCTCTAACTGACAATAAATTTGTATAAATTTCGATTTTTTAACTTTATTTTTATGTTTTACAATTAATATCCTATATTGTTATTTAGTTATTGTTATGACTTTGGAAAAAGAGGAAAAATGTGTATGTGTTTATGTGTGTGTCAAAAAGTGTATCAAACATAACCTCACTTTATGTTTGATATAACAGCTGATTTCGAAACTCTGGAATTAGTGTATAATATATATTCTAAAAAATAGTAAATAATTAATAGTAGAAATAGAAATTTTAATTTTTAACTGTAAATAAAAGCTAAAAACTAAAAACTAGTGAAATAAAGTGAAATAATTAGTGCTAACAAGTGCGACAAGTGTGGAGGGGAAATATTTTTAATATTTATAATTATAATAAAAGTGAATTTTATATATAATTTTTTTTTTATTTACAAAATGAAAATAAATGAAAAAAATATGATGGCATTTGCCACATCGGCAACTCCTGTTGATCGTGAGGGTTGGTTAAATAAACGTGGGGAAGTTAATCGTGGTTATCAAAGAAGATGGTTTGTTCTTAAGGGTAATATTCTCTTTTATTTTGATCGTCGAGGCGATAAAGAACCAGTGGGAATGATTGTCCTCGAGGGTTGTACCATTGAATTGGCCGAAGATGAAGAACAATTTGGTTTTAAAATTGTTTTTCACGGTCCAAATAATCGTAGTTATGCACTCGGCGCCGAATCACAGGTATTATTATATTTATTTATTATTTCATTCTTTTTTTCTGAATTTTAGAAATTTTATATATTTAAAACAAAACAAAAAAATAAATCGCGAAATAGAAATTATATATGCAATTATTTAAAATAACGAAAATTTGAAACAAAAATTAAAACGATTTTCGTATAACATAACCTAAAAATTTGCAAATATTTATATTTTTTAAAGAAAAAAGAATGGCATATATTATTTTTTTTTTTTTATCTACTTTTAGTAAAAAAAAAAGTTTAGTTTTCATATTTTAAAAATTTTGAAATAATTTTTGTCTTTAAATTTGCTCGGAAAATGAAATTTTAATTTTTTGCTTCAAAAATAAATACAGGCCTCAAATTATATTTTTTTCAATTTTTTCGCCTTTTTTCGACTTATTTTAATAAAATGCGACTTTTTTTTACATTTAAAAAAATTTTTTTTATAAAATACCTACGTTTTTTTTTTTTAGTATACAATGCAGATCTTTATTTCAATTATTTAACAAATTTTTAACTAAAATTCTTCACTAAATTAATTATTTTCAAAAATTCATTTATCTGAAAGCAATTTTTTAAATAAAAATTTTTGAAATTCAATTTTTTTCTATGATCTCTTATAAATTCTTTATCAACTACTGAAATCACTAGAAATTTCTCGAATTATAAGTATTGTCTGAAATTTAACACAATCATTTTAAATTTAATTATTTTCAAAAAAAATTTCAATTCAAAAGATTCCAAAAATTTAATTATTTCTACAATTATTCATCTAAAATTTTTTGAAATTCAATTATTTCTAAAAATTTCAAATCAAAATCAATTAAAATTCAATTATTTTCTAAATTTTTCAATTCCAAATTAATTAAAATTCAATTATTTTCCAAATTTTAAATTCTGAATTAATTAAAATTCAATTATTTTAAAAATTTTCAATCCAAAATCAACTAAAATTCAATTTTTTTCAAAATTTCGTTTGAAATTTAATTATTTTCTAAATTATCATTTCAAAATCAACTAAAATTCAATTATTTTCCAAAAATTTCAATTCCAAATTAATTAAAATTCAATTATTTTAAAATTTTTGAATTCTGAATTAATTAAACTTCAATTATCTTCTAAATTTTCAATCCAAAATCAACTAAAATTCAATTATTTTCAAAATTTTCGATTGAAATTTCAATTGAACTTCAATTCCAATTCAATTATTTTTAAAAAATTTAATCCAAATTCATCTAAAATTCAATTATTTTTCAAAATTTTAATTGAAAGTTAATTATTTTCAAAATTTTTAATTCAAAATCAACTAAAATTTAATTTTTTCAAAAATTTCAAATTAAATGCTTCTAAAATTTAATTATTTCTAAATTTTTCCAACTAAAATTTTTATGAAATTTAATAATTGCAATTAAAAAAAAAATTTTAATTCAATTATTTTCAATTATTTTCAAACCAAAATCAACAAAAATTCAATTATTTTACGAATTTTCAATTGAAATTTCATTGTAATTCAATTATTTTTAAAATTTTCAATTTAAAATCAATTATTTTAAAAATTTTGAATTCAAAATCAATTAAAATTCAATTATTTTTACAAATTTCAATTCAAAATCTACTAAAATTCAATTATTTTCCAAAATTTTCAATTTCAAATTAATTAAAATTCAATTATTTTCAAAATTTTAAATTCTGAATTAATTAAAATTCAATTATTTTCTAAATTTTCAATCCAAAATCAACTAAAATTCAATTATTTTCTAAAATTTTCAATTCCAAATTATTTAAAATTCAATTATTTTAAAAATTTTGAATTCTGAATTAATTAAAATTCAATTATTTTCTAAATTATCAATTCAAAATCAACTAAAATTCAATTATTTTTCAAATTTTTCAATTTCAAATTAATTAAAATTCAATTATTTAAAAAATTTTAAATTCTAAATTAATTAAAATTCAATTATTTTAAAAATTTTCAATCCAAAATCAACAAAAATTCATTTATTTTGCAAAATTTTCGATTGAATTTCAAATATTTTCTAAATTGTCAATTCAAAATCAACTAAAATTCAATTATTTTTCAAAATTTTCAATTTCAAATTAATTAAAATTCAATTATTTTCAAATATTTCAATTTAAAATCAACTAAAATTCAATTATTTTCAAAATTTTCAATGGTAATAAATTAAAATTGAAATTCAATTTTTCGAAAATTTAACTATGTGAAATCATTTTTTTTTTCTAAAACATAAATTATTTTCATTTCTGTAAAATTTAATTATTCTCAAAAAATTAACAAAACCTTTTGAAATTCAATTATTTCAAATAATTTGTTGATAATATTCTTATATAGAGTTATTCTCATTACAGAATTAATAAAATGAATTTAATATCTAATAACATTAGTTATTTAAAGTAAAATATTCATTAACCAATTAAATTTTGTTAAAATTGAAAAAAATCGACTTTTTTCGAAAATAAATCGACTAAAACGTCTTTTCTTGTGCCTTAAAGTCGATCCGGCGCCTGTAAATAAATAAATAAAACAATTGAAGTTAAATTAATTAATTAAAGAATTTAATTAATTAATTAATTAATTAATTAAATTAATTAAATTAAATGGACAATTTTTTTGCTTTTTATTTTAAAAACTTCCTATTTTTATCAGCACAGTTTATTATTTATAATTTGTTTTTTGTTTTTTTTTTTTTTTTTTTTGTGGAAATTAATATTTTTTCATTACTCGACAGGAATCAATGGAACAATGGATGAAGGCATTGGCTTGTGCAAGTTATGATTATATGAAATTAATGGTCGCCGAATTGCAACGGCAATTGGATGCCGCTGAAGAGGAAACAACAATAACAACAACGGCAACAACAACGACAACATCGTCAATTACACAATCACAAGAATCGCCAAAAGCACCACCGCGACAAAGGCATAATCCATTTAATCGTCCTGAATCACATCATCGTTCACAAAGTGTAAGATCGGCGCCTGGACGAACTGAAAATGTACCAAGAACGCGTGTCTCATTCAAAGAATTACACAATTTATATGGTCGTAAAATATTGTCCGATCTCAATGAATGGAGACACGCAAAACGAACTGCCGAAGCTCCGCTTATTTATCTTTAAAAGAAAAAAGAAATAAAAAAGAAAAAAAGAAAGAAAAGAAAAAAAACGAAAAAGTAAATTATAATTATTTAAAAAAAAAAAAATTATATTTATTAATTGAAAAAAATTTTGCAATTAATTACAAAATTTTATATTATTCAATATTTTTTAATTCTTGATGGAAAATTAAAATTTAAAATTTTCAAATCGCTTTGTTTATATAGAAATTATTTTTTTAATTTTCAATATAAGTGCCTGAAATTTGGAAATTATTTTTTAAACATTGCAATTTTAAAAATTCAACAAATTTAATTGATGATTTAATTTATTTCAAACATTTATAAGTGTTAGAAAGCAAATTAAATTTTTCTTTTCAATAATATTTAAACCAAAGGATTTTTCTAAACCTGTATATTCATATATATAAAAAAAATAAATAAATTTTAAAAAAATTAAGTTTTTCATTTTCAAAAAAAAAAAAAAAAAATATGAAGAAAAGACACTTGAAACTTTCATTTGATCCAATTTTCATTTATCACATTTTTTTCTTGGAATCAGATTTAATAAAAAAAGAAACAAAATTCGAAAATTATCAGGGGAAAAACGCAAAATATTGTCTGAAAGTCAGAAAAAATTATAATGTATTTTTTTACGGTAATTTTGAATTATATTATAATTATTATAATTAAAAATTGAAATTATAGAAGATAAAGTAAATAATTAATTTAGAAAAATAATAAATTTCATTAAAAAAAGGGAAATAATCGAATTCAATTAATATTGATTAATAAATAAATAATTTATTTATTTTTAACCCTATAGACTTAGAACTCAAACGAAGTGACAAGAGAAAAAAAAAGCGAAATTCCTTTCGATTGAGTTTCTAATTCTACAGATGAAAAAAACAGCCAGCTGTTCTATAAATTATGCTCTAAAAAAATACCATCTCTCTCTCTCTCTCTCTCTCTCTAATTGTTTTTTTTTCATTTTCTTTTTACAAAGAAAAAAAAATTAATTATCTAATTAATTAAATTATTAATTATGAATAATAAATTAATTATTCATTAAAACAATTTTGAAAATTCTATAAAATCAAATTCACTATTTTCGATATTCAATTGATTAATTAATAAATCAATTAATAATAAAAAATTTATTAATAAATTCTAATTTCTATTCTATTTCTAATTAATTGAAATAGTTTTATTTTTTACTTTTTTAGTTAATTAATTTTAATCCAATTAAATAACAATAATTTTTAACTAATTACGAAAAAAAAAAATTTGACGTATTTAGATGAATAATTAATTTATCGAATATTTTTTTTTTGAAATAATTAATTAATTAAAAAATTAATTGCACGTACTTTTGAAAAAGAAAAAAAAAAGAAAAATTTTTTATTTGAATTTGAATCCAGTTTTTTTCTTTGACTCCCCAGGAAGATGTCGTGCTCCAAGCAATAAACGTGCTTTATCCTCTTCCTGAGGCGTTGTCTCCTCCTGTGGTCCACGTGGTTTAATTTGCAGCTTTTGTTTAATCGCCTGACTAAGTATAACACGTCGCGAATCACTTTTCATTGCCAACAAAAGATCCAACCACGTCCACGTGACATTATGATATTCAAGTGTTGGTATCACTAGAGCAAAATCTCTCACGTCCTCAAGATTTTTCTCCTTATTACCCTGGAAAAAAGAAATTCAAAAAAAAAAAAAAAATTAACATCAAATTTAAAAAATATATTTCAATTTTTTAGTAAATTTAAATTTGTAACATATGATTATTATTATTATTATTTTTATTTTTATAATTTCAATTGAAAAAAAATAATTAAAATAAAAAATAGAAAATAAAGTAAAAATAAAAAATAGAGAAAAGAAAAAAAATTCCATAAAATTTAAAAAATATTTTCAATTTTCTAGTAAATTTAAATTATAAAATATTATTATTATTATTATTATTATTTTTATTATTATTATAATTTCAATTGGGAAAAATTATGAAAAGAATAAATAGAAAATAAAGTAAAAATAGAAAATTTTTTTAAAAATAAAAAGAATTTTTTGTTTAATGAATTTTTTTTTTTTTTTTTAGATTTCTACCTTGTAAGAAACGCGAACGGGCACTTCCGGTATTTTAATATAAATAAATAATTTATTTTTATCAGCTCTCTCTTTCATTTTATCAACATCATCTTTTCTTTCCATTGGAACATAAAATGAAGAATCTCTCTGTGGTGCTGTTGGTTCTTCAATTCCGTCTGGATCACGTTCAGGAAAACAAAACTTCAGCATGGTATTGAAAAATTTTTTCGTCAAACCTTATAAGAAAACAAAAAAAAAAAGAAAATAAAAATATTTTGTAATTATTTAATTTTTTTTAAATTAACAGAATTTTTATTAAATTAAATTAATTACAAAAAAAATTTTTCTAGAAGATTTAATTTCTATTTCATTAAATTTCTATGTAGAAATATTTTTCAATTTAATAATTCATTTAATAATTTATTTAATAATTCATTTAATAATTTATTTAATTATTTTCTATTTAACCGAATTTTCATTTAGCAAAATATTTAATTTAACACGCAGAATAATTTCTATTTGATAGATTTTTTTCACTTTCAAATTTTTTCTATCGAGTTACCACTCTATATACTGTCGGTAAAGTAGATAATAAATTTTTGAGAGCAAAATTTTAATATTTACAAGCAATTTAAATTACACGCACAAAAATGTCCATATATTTACTTTATATTTAACAAACATTTTCATTTAACAAAATATTTAATTAACAGAATTTTCATTTGGCTGATTTCAGTGGCTTTTAATTTTTTTTACCATTGAGTTACCACTCTATATAATGTAATTTTTTTTACCATTGAGTTACCACTCTATATAATGTCGGTAAAGTAGATAATAAATTTTTGGGCGCGAATTTTAAATGCTTAAAACTAATTTCAATTATGTGCATAAAAATTTATAATCTACTTTTCTAACATTAATTAAATTTTTATTTAACAAAATTTTCATGTATCAACTAAAAATTATTATTATTATTATTATTATTATTATTATTATATAAACTGTATTTTTATTTAAAAAAACATACTTTCTATACAGTCGCAATTTCCAAAATAACAGAACTGTACAGATTTCAATTTTTTTTTCCACTGAGTTTCCACTCTATGTACAGTCGATAAAATAGATAATAAAATGAGGCGCGAAATTTAAAAACTTACAAACAATTAAAATTGTAAGCGCAAATTTAATAATCCACTTTACTTACAGTACGAAAAAAACAACACATTTTACAATTAAAAATATTAAATTTCCAGTCAAGAAATGTTTAATCAATTGTTAAATTCCGTTGAATAAAAATTTGATCAAATGAAATATCTCTCATTTAAAAAATATAAAATAAATTATTGTTTCGTAGTAATATAAAAAAAAACTAATTATTTTTCAGTTTCATTAATATGATTCCTACTGTACCGACTGCTGGCACTTAGTAATAAAGCCATTTCTACAATTGTCGAAAACTTTTACGATTTAAGACTGGTTTCCATTGTCCTTACTCGCCAAACTTCCCACACTTGCCATTCGTCATAATTCTTGTCAAACTACTGCACCCTGCTCTAGTAAAAAATTTAGTGACTCTATTGTTAAAATTAAAAATTACCAAATTTTTACTAGAACAGGGTGCGGTAGTTGACGAGAATTATGACAAATAGGGATTTTGGCGAGTGGAGACAATGGAAACCAACCTTTTGGTATCTACTTAACCGATTGTACACAGATTGGAAACTCAGTAGAAAAAAAAGGTCGAAAAAACTCAATTTTCTATCTAATTCACACAAGATTAGTGAAAATTATTTATGAAAATGAAATTATTGGCTCGATTTTCGATTTAAAATTTAGAAAAAAAAACTTACCAATTGTTAGTGGAACGACATTAATTTCAAAATGTTCCTTCACCGAAATCCCAGCAACTGGTGCTTTCTCTCGGCAAAAAACCCTCAGCGCTCTTTGTCTATCAACCGGCATATTACTTTGAAGTTCCGTTGGTACCAAAACCACAGTATAAATTTGATTTGGCAATAAATTTGTCATTCTCACATAGCCCAATTCCAATAAATGTTCCACCGAATCATCAGTCTTACTTGTTTTAGTATACAAAAAATTTGTCAATTTCAAATCGGCAATTCCCAATAATCCATCAGCGTCCGTCAATCTCCATTGTGCGTGTTTAAAACATATTTCCGCTGCTCTTGTAACAGCCGCCGATTTATCCTTAAGTGTCGCCGATGCCGTAGCAGCTGGTGTTGTTGTCTCCTTATAACAACTCAACATCACATCCAATTCATCAGCTCGTAAATTCAATTGCTCCTTACATTCAAATACTCTCAATTCCAAACGTTTCATTTCCGTTTTCAATTCCTCACTATGATCATCAGCAAGTGCTTTATGCACCAAATAAGTCTCCTTCTCTAAACGTCGTAATTTAGACACCAAACCACGAACAATATTCTGCAACTGTTGAATTGGACGTTTTTGATCCTCGACTGACAATTGTAATTGAAATCTCATTCTTTGAAGACGTTCGAGTGCTTCTTTTCGTCTTGGTTCAACGCAAAGAAGAAGATTATTAACAATATCAAGTATCATTGCATACTGAAGGGAATTGGTACAAACATCAAGATCATGATGCATTAGAGTAAAAGCATCGGCCGCTGAAAGTTCACGACGTTCCCAAAGTGTTACCTCCTCGCCTGGAGGCGGTGGTACTTCATCAAGAAGATCTGCATCCAATGCCTGACCATAGCCAACGTAGAAGAATTCACATTTACAACGTGAAACGATACGTTGTAGCTGATGCTGTAATCCACTACCACCACCAACTGTTTGACTAACCACACCGCCCACACTTTGTCCCGAACCAACCAAAGCCGGAACATCCGGTAAACCCGAAATTACCGTTGAATCCTTCTCTTGAATATTGTCAAGCGTCAGCCACATGATATTATCAATAATATTACCATCAGTGTTTGCACTAACTGTCGCATAATACTGCATACATTCCAATGAACCAATCCAAGTTGTTTTCGACACAAGTGTTCGATCCTTCCAAACTGGTCTGTGAATCCTTTGAAGAATTTCCGCCTTCGCTGCCGAGAGGATAACATAACCTCGAGTTTCAATTCCCTTCAATAGAACTTGACTGTTAACCAATGCAATTAGCCAATTTTTATGAAGAACCCCATCCTGATGACACGCGGCAAGTCCTCGTAATTGTTGACCTCTTGTTTGAACCGACATATCGTCACTAAAAGCCACGGGTTTATTGGCAGCTTCTGCAATTAATCGTTGAAGCATTTCGGCAGCTTCGCCCTGTTGCGGTGGTTTTGATGACGAAGACGACGACGATGATGATGAAGACGGTGTCACTTGTGTTGGAGTTTTCGAATTTTGATTACGATTCTTGTTCGGAGTCGCCGCACTCTTCTCACGATGAAAGCCTTTTAGTCCAAATGTTGAGAGATTCTTCTTGAGCTGCTGGGTTTTGATGAACGAATCAAAGAGAGCAAATGCAACATCACGATTTGTCACCGTCCAAGCGCCTCGTAAATCATGAACGACGAGACGGTGGGTCGGTGTGTCTCCACTAACACCGGCTACCATTGCCTCTCTTCCGTAGCTTACCTGATAAAGAAGATGCTTAAATTCGGATATTTGAAACTCTTACTCAAAATCAATAAGTGGAATCTCCCAATCGTCGGAAAGTGGAGGAATTCTAGTTTGGAAGTGTGCTACGATCTCAATTCGGGAAATCTACGTTCCTATGTCGATGTCGCTGAACACCCTGAAGCATTATTAATTCTCACACCGGGGATCTATACTATTATGTGTGTTTATATTTACTTTCTTATCAATCTTAGCCTTGATATGGTTTGGTTCCGAGAAATTAATAAGTTCAAAAATGTGGTTGAATGACCGTAAACATAAATGTTTAGATAGTGATCACCTACATTACGTAAGTTTATACAAAAGAAAGAATGGCTATTGTCTAAATTTAAAGGGACATTGTATTTTCAAATTTAATTATTTGATACAATGAGCACGTGCCAGCTATGTCAACAGATATGATTGTAATTATATAATGGAATAATTTAAATTAGATCAATCCTTAAATTTATTATTTCTATAGATATATTTGAAAGAAAATACTTATTTTATTTTTAGAAAAAATGTTGCTTGTTTACCAAATTAGAGGAATCTTTCCCATAATTATTCGGCAGATCAGCTGTTTATTTTCTTATTCACTTCTACTTTTATACATGAATTATTAATGTCATATATCGTTTTGAAGTTGAATATTTTTACTTTACAAAAAAATAAATATTAATTATTAATAAAAAAATAAAATATACAATCAATCATATAGTATAATTATTTGTTGTTTAAGTTTGCATAATTAATTGTGAGTTCGTTCTGAATGAAATTAAATGAAATAATCTTATTAATTAACTTAAATTTTTCAACCTTTTTGTCTGATTTCTTTCAAACAAATTTGCTTTTCCTCAATTGAAATTGAAAATTAGCTCGTAGGCTTATCTATTTAAAAAAAATATATAAAATAAAATTTCAACGAAATAAAATAAACCTGTCAATTCCTATCAACAATCAAGGTCAAATTCTCTATTCCCTAAATTAGTTAACCTATCATAAGTATGCACTTTTACGTTTTTAGAATTTCTATATTAGTGTATAATTTAGACATTCATATACACGCATATATATTCGTTCTCCTGAGTGCAAGTGCACTCATGAAAACAGTATTTTTCTTTCTTATATTTTTCTTTACCCATGTATATATATATATACATATACCAAAATGAAACGTTATATTTTTGAAATTATATAGTACTCTACATTTTCCTTTATTTGCATATAAATAAATATAATCTTTTGACTATTGGAATAACTCTTCAACCCAGGATTTAAAACTCCTTGGGATTGCAACAACCGCATCTTGGGCGCTCAGCTCGTCCGACAGAATTGTAGCTCTCCTCCAAATTAAAGTCGTATTTTTAGAGGAAAAGAAACCTCTCCCAAGCACAGCCGGTTTATTGACAATCGAGTTATGAATGTATATTTGGATAATCATCACAAATGTAATAACGTTTCTAATAAAATCGAAAATTAATAATAATAATAATAAAAAACATACCCTTTCGACGCTGAGGCAGTAACACTTCTCCACAGGTTGGCTCAATGATTCACTCTCGCCCTCCTCCTGTAATGCGGATTTAAGCCAAATTTCCGCATCACTCAATTCACAATTCATATAAATCACCGACCATTCAGCACGTGGTCGATGAATTAAACCATCGTCAATTGGATGAAGCGATAAATTATGCTCCGAACTGCAACCAACTCTTCCGCCAGTCACTTCAAAACCCCGTTGCATTGCAAATGACATCCAATAACTCACGTGAAAACGATGAAAAGCCAATGTTAATCGAACTTTACGATAATGACGACTCAACTGTTTTTTTCTTGCTCTTGTATTCTTAAACAATGCACCTTTGCGCGTTGGCCTTGTTGCACCTGAGAGTATAAATTTTAAATTCTCAAACCATCTTAACGTACTGCCATAGAGTGTTGCCGTTGGTGCACTCGTTGAATTTGGTGATCCCGTTGGTTTTGTCTCTAACGACAAACGAACATTAAGATTTTGTGAACGAAACGCACGAAATGAATCATGCTCCTGATTACTCGAATATTCAGGTAGACGATCAGGAGCACACGGTATTGCTGCATGATGATCACGTGGATCACCAAGACAAACCCAAGCTAATTTCATACTTAGACGAACATTTGGTAAATGTAAAAGACGACAATCGTCATATTTACTTGCAGTACGAACATAAACATCAAGATCGCCTTTAACAATTATTTTACCTGCAACCGGTTAAAGTACCGTAATAAGATAAGGTCTCTCTAAAAAAAAATTAAACTCCAAATGTTTCACAAATTAAAACTCATACCATTTGTCCAATCAAGTTCAAGGCTAGACCAGGTTAATTCCATTTCCTCCGTTGTATTATAGGGATCAAGTGAAGCGTGCAAAAGCACCGTCAATTGTTTAACACACAATGTTAAACGACCGTGTAGCATTAATCGCATCTTATCCCAAAATGGTAGGGGAGGACTTGGATCACGCGATGGATGGAGAATTCTTTCAAAACTAAGATTACATTGAGCAATCACTGGCTCCCAACATGGTCCAAATGCATATTTATATTTATCAATATCCCAATTGAGATCGTGATAATATTTTAATGATGTCATACCTCTTTCGACCTAGGGAGAAATGGGATTTTAATTCGAAGACAAAATTATAAGAACTGGCAAAAGAAGTCTAAAATAAGGCTAAATTTCTAAACCAGGATTCCGTTTTTAAAAAAATTAATATCATACCTGAATATCCGGCCAAGGTGCTCCAACTTCAATTCGAACGGTTCTTCTCGCTCTTGGCGGTGCAAGTGCCTCGGCTCCCGCTAATCTTCCCCAAATACTTAATTCCTCAACAAGAAGCAGAGGTTGGGGAAAATCACGTAATTGCAATTTCCATTCAGCGCACTTCAGAGAAATTCCACGTACCCAAAGAATACTAAATTCCAATCCATCCTCAGGCCAGGGTGTTTCAAAATCCATTTCCTGAATTGCTTTCATCGCTCTCTCTGTACCATCAATTGATGGATCAGCCAATGCAAGAATTTCCAAATCCTGCATTGTCCATGCAAAAAGACGCGTTCTCGATGGTCCAGCACGTTGCATTTGCTTCCAACGTTGAACATAAATTTCCGCATTCTTTTTATCTAAACTTGTGTATAATTTTTCCACTTTCTCCTCAGGTAGAAGAAAATGCGCTCGACAAAGTTCCTCAACTTTGGCAGCAAGCATCGCTTGACGTTTCAAACTCTCTTTATACTCATCCTCAAGAAGCTCGTGAATATCACGTAAACGCACCTCAAATGGATCGTCACTCAATTCAAATATCCATTCCTTAATCTAAAAACATTTTTCTTTGAAGAATTTTCATAAATAGGGGGGGAAAAAAAGAAACTTACCTTAATAACCAAATCGCACGGAAGTGTTTTCTGATGTTTTTTACCAGTGGAATGAAGTTCCTTAAGCCATTTTCGTATGCTAAACAATTCATTTTGTATAGCTTCGGTAAATTGATGTTCATAGGGAAATCTCGCTTTTGCTGAATCAATATTCAATGCCCATGTTTCATTCCACTCGAGTTGAAATCCTTCGTTATTTTGTCTCTCCAAACGTACTTCTTTACTATCTTTTAATCGTTTCAATTGTAAACCTTCAATGGTTATAATATCCGCCATATCGAGTGAGGCTTTTAGATAATTTAATTCCCATTCACCCTGTGACAATCGTAAACGATCTGAACTCAATTCAAGAAAATGTCGCGGTGAAATATCAATTGCCAATGTTATACCACCGATTGCTAATAAATCAAAGGTTCTCTTTACATCCATTTTATCTAAAAAAGAAAGGAAAATTTACTATATTTCCCTAAACAGATAAAGATATTTTTTTCAACTTTACCCTCATCGATGGAAACAATTGATTTTCTAAACACTATCGAACGAAAATCAGCGGATTCAAGCCACAATTGTCTTAAACGAAGATGTAAATTTGGACTCCAGGCGAGATTAGTTCCATCTAAACTGACGCTAATTGCTTCGTTGGTAATTGCAGTTTTACATTTTCTCACAGCCAAAAATGGATGATTTTGTGCTTGCGCATCCTCACAAATAATTGTATCATTTTTATTTAATGTTATTGCACAAACTCCCTCGGCAACGCCGACAAATCGTTTTACACTGTGTTCCAAATTTGCCAAATCCAAACGTATCATTATTGACACTGTTCAATGAATAAAAAAAACGAAAATTTAATTATAATTAAAAAATTAAGAAAAACCTAACAAAAAGCTTACATTCATTTTCGGCAATGAAGAAAAGATTACAATTGCACATTTTGCAATTTAATTGAAGTGATCTATTGGATTCTTTTCGTTCCAACGATTTGCCAACATGCTGATTGTAATATCTAAAAATGAAAAAACATTTTTTTCAGCTGATTTCTGTTTTAGATGATTTTTTTTTCATCACACAAAACTTACGTGAAACCTTGTTCGAGAAATTTTGATAATTCCAAACTCCATTCAGTGCGTAATGAATCGAGAACAACGCCAACGCCATTTTTACATGCTTTCGCAACAAAACCACCAACGGTCAATGGATTTCCCCAACGATGTGCCATTTCGGGAATACTTGTGTCAGTTCCATTTAAACCAGAACACAATGATTTAATCATTAATTCTGTATTCCATTCATCGGTCCTTTCTAGAAGGAAAGACAAAATCCCTTTAGCTATAAGCATTTTCGGCAAATTCTCCGGAGTGCTCTAGAGAATTTTTTGATTTGGCAAGCCTCCTTACTACCTAAGTGAAAAGAATGCTAGGAAAGTGCTCCTGGGAATTCCCGCCGGAATTCTTATTGGAAATTACAACTGGATTCCAGTTGGAATTGGAATTTCAATCCCGTTCGCATTTACAATAAGAGTTACGGCAGAAATTTCATGGAGCACTTTCCTTGAAATCTTTCCATGTGGGTACCAATGCTTCGGAGAGGGGATGGAAAAATTGCCACTATAAGGCCTTAGGACCCAAGAGGCCTGGGTTCATATAAGGACTACAGTCCCGATGTTAAAGCAATATCTACTTTTTAGCGAAAGCACTACATGACGTAGAGAAACGGCACTGATTTGGCAAGACTCCTTACTACCGATGCTTCGAACAGAAGCGGGTATGGAAAAATTGATGCTTTAAGGTCTTAAGAGCAAAGCGGAATTAAGAAGACTGAGTGACCTTCCAGGAGGAGAGGTTTAACAATGTCGCCCTTCACCCTGGCAAGATTCAAGAATCTTAAATCGTATTTGAAGTACACCATTTCCGTTTTTGGTCTTTGACAACTGGAGGCCGTGTGCAACGCACCATTAATAGACTGTATCAACAACGTTCTGTACTCTCCCCTGGAGACTCCTTTGTGGAATCACCAAAGACAATTACCGTCAAGTCATTTGCATATACTGCGAATAAATTGTGGAACGAGCGCCCCTCCAGACGGTTAAAAGGAAGCCATTGTCCCTATTCGCCGTTTGTCATAATTCTCGTTAACTACCGCACTCTGCTCTAGTGAAAATTTAGTGACTTTATAGTAACATTTAATTTTAACTATAAAGTCACTGAATTTTCACTAGAACAGGGTGGGGTAGTTAACAAGGATTATGGTCAAATTGACAATAGGGGAACAATAATCAACCGTGGGTAGTACTTGAGATACACCATTTCCGTTTTGATCTATGACAACTAGAGACCGTTTGCATCACACCAATAAGAGACTGTATCAACAACATCCTGTGCTCTCTCCTGGAGACTCCTATTTGGAGTCAACAGAGAAAATTTACCGTCAAGTCATCCGCATATACTGCGAATAAATTTTCGAATAATTCCTCAAGGGTCTCTAGGAGACCGTGAAAGACGCTTTAAGGTCTTAAGACCGAAGCGGCATTAGGCCCGTTCCACAATGGCATCGACGCAAGGCAAACGCAATGCAGACGCGATTCATCCCAATGCTAATCAAATAGGAATGTGTCGCGTCTACGCTGCGTTTGCCTTGCGTCGAGTCCATTGTCGAACGAGCGCCCCTCCAGGAGTAGACGGTCAAAAGGAAGCCATTGTCCCTACTCGCCGTTTGTCATAATTCTTGTTAACTACCGCACTCTGCTCTAGTGAAAATTTAGTGACTTCATAGTAACATTTAACTTTAACTATAAAGTCACTGAATTTTCACTAGAACAGGGTGGGGTAGTTAACAAGGATTATGGTCAAATTGACAATAGGGGAACAATAACCAACCGTGGGTCGTACTTGAGATACACCATTTCCGTTTTGATCTTTGACAACTAGAGGCCGTTTGCATCGCACCAATAAGAGACTGTATCAACAACATCCTGTGCTCTCTCCTGGAGACTCCTATTTGGAGTCACCAGAGAAAATTTACCATCAAATCATCCGCATATACTGCGAATCGTTTTTATTGTTTACCTTTATTAAATTCTAATGCAAAAAATAATAAAAGCATTTTTTATCCACTCAAATAATTCTACAATATTGATAAAAGTGTTTTATTATTATTTAATTTCCCAAAGAGAGAAGAAATAGAAACAAACTTACCCTCTGTAAAGAAACTATTGACTGAACATTTAACAAATTCAAGACTACATGAAGCTTCTTGAACATCTGGCAATTTTATTGTTAAAGAACCTTCGCGAAGTTCAGTAACGGTTCTTAATTCAATCCATGGTAATTTTCGATTTGAATCTATCGCAACATCCGGCGTTGGAATATCTTTGGCACCACTTGACAAAATTTGCTCCCAATCTTTATGATCGTAAATCATTGAAAGACAATTTAATTGTGTCATTATTTCTAAAACTTCATCCTCCAACTGCCAATTAAAGAAAAGGGAGAGAATAAAAATTTTTTTTTCATAAATAATAATTAGTCAATGTACAAAAGAAATTACTTACTTTAGCCTCAATCGATAGTCGTCGAAGTGACAAAATTGGAAGTTGTCCACGTAATGACAATCCATCTAAACTAAGACCAAGATGAAGTTGCGGACCATCTGGTTGAAATCGTGAATTTACCTGTAAACCGCCAATTGTGCATTCTAATCCCGATATCATTCCATCCTCACGTCCAGCAATTATTGATGAACTTCCCAATTTTAAAGCGAGATTCTATTTTTATAAAAAGAAAATTTCACACATTAAAATGAAATCTTATTTCAAAAAATATTAAATTTCTTAAAGTATCATCAATTGCAAAATAATAGACACATTTTTTTAATGCTAAAAAATTATTCCTCTGATTAAATAAAGGAAAAAAAATAAAGTGGCAAATTGTGCTTTTTCTTCAAATTAATTGAAAATACCTTTGGTAATATTGGAGCTATTCTAGATAATAAATCGCCAGTTGATTGTTCATTTAAATTAGAGTGCGGTGCAGTGGGTGTCAATGATTTTCTATCCCTCAGGAACCGAAGGAGTCCAGCTCCTCCGGAACCCTCGGTTTGCGTGATTCCAACGTATAATTTCTATGAAAAAAAAAAAAAAAATTATTTTTGCATGCCAAAAAAATTTTAATTAAACATTAAAATTCTCTCTCACTTCCACAGAAAGTTCGCCTTGGGCTTTAAGTGTTGCCTCAATACTACCGGCGAAACTAATTTGTGCAAGACAAGCGTCTGAAGCGTGTCTCAATAATTTCATTGAACCACCAACAACAGTTGCTGATGCTAAAAGTGTTCTTGCTCCATGAACAATACTTCCATCGAGACTTAAATTTTCTGCACTTCCATTGGCTAACCAACCATTGCCAAGAATTAAAAGACTCAAATTTTCTACATTCACAGCCATAAACTGAAAGAAGAAGAAGAAAAAAAAAGGGAAAATAAATTAAATAAACAGAAAAACTTGTAATTATCTTGAAAATTACAATTTTTTTTTCAAAATAATCTAAATAAATAAATGTAAAAATTCTCATACCTGGACAAAAGTGATAATAATGGGTGGAATTTTTTTTTGTCGAAAATCTAATGGATCATTGTAATCCTTATTTTTTTGACAATAAGAAATTGTTGGTACATCTTTATTTATTCTCACATCTCTCATAACGACCGCCAATAATTTTGCAACATCGCTACTAAATAAACTTGAACGAATGCTAATTTCATCAATTTGCTGAAAATAAATTTAATTAAATTAAATAGTAGATAATAAAAATATTATTATATTTATTTACTAATTTTTAAGTAATTTTTTATTTATTTATTCGCTACTTTTAAATATTTATTATTTTATTTTTATATTTGCTACTTACCACGGTGAATCCATTTTTTGTAATATTTACATCACGCAAAATAAAATATGGAAAACGAATGTAACCAACGCGAAGATCAATTTTGTATCGACTTTTTACGTGCCATGCCAAAAGTCTTGGAATTACCCTGAAAAACCAAAAAATAAAAAAAAATGTTCAAAAAAAAAAAGTACAATAAGCAAATTTTTCTTTTAGAAAATAAATCTTTTTAAAAAAATTATTTCTATTATTAATTATTATTTATTATTAATAAATTTAACTAAAAATTAAAAATTTCCCAAAATCATTAATAAAAAATTTGTACAAATTATAATTTCTTAATTTATAGTTAAATTATTTTTACACAGTTTGAAAATATTATTTATAAATTTATTATATTATAAATGAATTTTTTTTTATATAATGATTATTACAGATAATTATAACATTTTAACTTATAATTATTATTTTTTTCATTATTCATTGTTATTTATTATTTATTATTATTTATAAATTTATTATAAATATTTATTATAAATAAATTTTTTTTAAAAATTAATTTTTAAGGTACCAGGGGCCAACGAATATCTATTAAATATATTAATTATAAAAACACAGGCCTCGAATCAACTTAAAGACACAAAAAGTCGTTTTAGTCGATTTATATTCCAAAAAAAAATGGATTTGTTTTTTATTTTAACAAAAATATTTTACAGATTTTTAAATAAAAACATTTTTTTTTTAAAATAATCCTTTTCGAAAGGTTAAAGTTGAAATTTTTAGAAATAATTAAATTTCAAAAGATATATTGTTAATTTTCAAACAAATATTAAATTTTACAGAACTAAAAATAATTTATCAAACAATTTTTGGAAAACATTTTTTAAATTTAATTGAATTTTTTCAATGATTAAAAATTGAGATTTTTGAAATTAATTGAAACTTTAAGTGTTTTGTAATTAAAATTTTAGATGATTTCACTAAAAATTTATTAGAAAATGAGGACAAAATACAATAATTTGAAAATCATTTTTATTTGAAAAATGGTTTCAGATAGTTGAAATTTCAAAGAATATTATTAAAATAGTTAAAAATAATTGAATTTCCTTAGAGTTATAATTGAAATTATTAAATTTAAAAAACAAAAAATTTCGATGGAAAATTTTTAGAAATAATTAAATTTTAGATTCTTTTAAATTCAAATTATTGAAAATTCAATTAATTTTGAATTCAAATTTTTGAGAATAATGAAATTTTATTTGATTTTAAATTTGGAAAATAATTGAATTTCAGTTCATTTTTGATTAAAAATTTGGATAATTAATTTTGAATAGAAATTTTAGAAAATAATTGAATTATATTTCATTTTAAATTGAAAACTTGGTAAATAATTAAATTTTAAATTGAAAATTTTTTGATAATTATTGGATTTTTAATTGATTTTGAATTAAAATTTCGGGTAATAATTGAATTTTAGTTTATTTTGAATTGAAAATTTTGGCAAATAATTGAATTTTAATTGAAATTTTGGATAATAATTTAATTTAAATTCATTTTTGATTGAATATTTGGATGATTAATTTTGAATAGAAATTTTAGAAAATAATTGAATTTTATTTCATTTTAAATTGAAAACTTGGTAAATAATTAAATTTTTAATTGAAAATTTTGGATAATTATTATTGGATTTTTAATTGATTTTGAATTAAAATTTTCGGGTAATAATTGAATTTTAGTTTATTTTGAATTGAAATTTTTAAAAAATAATTCAATTTTATTGTAATATTTTTTTTTTTATTTATAAACAATTGTTAAATTTCATAAAAATTTTAATTGAAAAAATAATTTTGATATAATTGAATTTGTGATGTATTTCATTAAAATTATTAAAAATAATTAATTTAGTGAAGAATCATTTTAGTTCAAAATTTGTTAAATAATTGAATTGAAGAAGATGTAAAGAAGATATAAATCGTATTAAAAAAAAACAAAAAATTCTTTTTGATATAAAAACAAATTGTTTGCTTTTTTTAAAAAATTTTCAATTTTATTTTAATTTTTAATTTAAGCATTAAAATTTAAAACATTACAAATGTTTTTTTTAGGTTTTATTTTTTCAAAATTTTTAAATAATTTTTAATTGCTTAATACTTTTTAATATATAATTAATAATTTTCAGTTAATTTAATTTTTTTTTCGATTAAATAATTAATTTTTATTAATTATCAATTAATTAAATTTTTTTGAATAAAAACATAAATTTAAATTTTCCATTTCCATTTAGCAAAAATAATTTTTTTTTTGTAATTTTAAAAGATTATAAAAAAATCATCGAACATTGACTTTATCAAAAATATTTATTTCTAAAATTTTAATATTTATATTTTAAAATTTTTACTTAATTATAATTAGGCGAAAATTTCATTTAAATATTGAGGAATGTTTCACGCTAAATATTTATTTAATTGGGACATTTAAATCTTTACACAATTTTCACTAAACATTGCAATTAAATATTCCGAAAATTTCAAAAAAAAAAAAAAAAAAAAAAAAAATGTTTAGGAAATCTTTAGGAAAGTTTCGGTGCTTTGAGAGGGAATATTAATTAATTTTTTGAATTTTTTTTTTGTAGGCTTTATTAAGAATTATTTTATTTATTTTAAAAATCTTCTTTATTTATTTTGTAAATTTATTTATTTTGTTATTTATTTTGTTAATAAATAAAAAAAAAGAAGAATATTTTCAACATATAAAATCTAATCTAAATAAAATTAAAAACTATATAAGAAAAAAAAATTTTTTTAATTGAAATAAAAAATAATTATAAAATTTTTTTTATAAATAAATAAAGTTAAATAATAAAATAATTAATAAATTGTAAATAAAGTAAAAATAAATAAAGAAAAAATATTGTTAAATTTTTTCATAAAATAAAATTGCAAACAAAAGTAAATTAAATTTGAAAAACTAAAAGAAAAAAAAGAAATAAATTTTTTTTTTTTAAATGAAACTGAGAAAAAATTTTGATTATTGCAGATTTTTTTTTTTTTTTTGAATTCAAAAAAAATTAAGAATTTATGTATTTCCACTTTTTTAAAAATAAAAAATTTTTTTGAATAAAAAAAAATTATTTCGATAAAATTCATAACGAAATTCTTTTTTTTTTTTCTTCAATTGAAAAATGCAATGTCACAAATAACAATTAAATAATCTGACAAGTATTAAAAGAATGACGATAAGAAAAAAAAAAAAAAAGAAAACAAGTTTAATTATTTAATAACTCACCAGGAAAATATGAAATAAACGACGAAAAATGTGAAGATCACGGTGAAAAAACCAGTCATCTTTTTTTATTTTTCTTTTCTTTTTTTTTATTGCATATTAAATCACAACCAGATAATCTGAAATGAAAAAATTAGAGAAAAAAACAAATAAACAAAATTGGATCTTTGAGGTTAACTCTTAAATTGTTAGTTTTTTCTTTAAAATATTTTTTTTTTTTTTTTTTTGATAATAGAAAGGTTAGGAAATATAAAAGAAAATTGAAACAATATAATTATTAAGTTACTTACTGTGTAATTTTTTTTACAATAAATCACTTCTAAAAAAAAGAACACTAAATATTTATATAAATATCACGTATTTTCGCGAGTAAAAATTGAGGTTATGTTTAACATGATAATTCGCGCTCTTTATTTATATATATTTATATAAAAAAAAGAGAGAGAAATTAATTAATGATATTACTTTGAAATTTTGCATTTTTCACTTAAACTTTTAATATTAATTTGAAAATTTAAATTTTCCGATACGATGAAAATCATTGGAAAATGATTTTTCTTTTTTTGTAGTAAAAAAAAAACACAAATATACATGCACACAAACATTGCACTCACTATAGTGGAAGGTGGAAAATTCTTAATATTCTGTTTCAAAAATTAGCCGCAAACATACAAATGGCGCTGCTAATAGTCACATTTCAGATCTTCTATTGTAAATTCAAGATAATTTATATACAATCCATCTCTGTTGTCAAATTACCCATTTTTGACGTGACGTTTTAGTCGAAAATAAAATATATATAGTAAAATATATTTTTTTAAATAAATATATATTTTCATTTTGATATAAAATATTTTCAAACTTTTTCTATTAATTTTTTCAAATTTAGTTCTTATTTATACAAAATTATAATCGCTTAAATATTTGTGACAATTTTTTTTATAAAGGTTATTTTTTTTTTTTTATTGACAGTTGATTTGTCAACAATAAGAATAATAATAAATAATAATAATAATAATAATCAATTCAATAACAAACAGTGACTACGGAAAATGATTATTCACAACAGATATTTAAATTAGATTTCATTGTTTAGAAACAAAAAAAAAAAAAAAACGAGAAAAGTTTAGTTATGTAGTATATTAAAAGTTCATAATTTTTAGTGAATAGTGAAGGAAAAAAAAATCAAAATTTCCTCCCTTAAAAGTAGAAAAAAGGCGATTAAAATAATGGAAGGTAAGTGGATATTTCATTTATTGAATTTTTTTTTTAATTAAAAAATTTTGTTCTTTTAAATTAACGAAAAAAAAATACATAATTTAAAATTTTTATTTTAAAAAATTATTTGTGTTCTATTATTTTCAAAAAATAAATAATGAGAAACAATTAAATATTTTTAAATTAAAAAAAAAAAATTATTATAGTTACATTTTATTTATTTATTATTAATGAATCCATTTGTTTTCCAAAAATTAATTTAATTATAATTAATTACAAAATTAGTTTATTTAAATTGGTGGGAAAAATATTAATTATTTTTTTTTTTCTATTTTTAATTTTCTAGTTTTCTAATTTTTAGAATATGGAAATTAATAATTTTCTGACTTTAATAATTAAAAAAAAAAATAAATAAATAAACCGCTATCTCTCAATTTCGTTTCGAATGAATAATAAACAAAATTTTATTTTTTTATTATAAATAACAGAATTATTTTGAAAAAAAATACTAAAAAAAAATTCAAAAATCAGGAAATTTAAATTATTTTTTCAAATTTAAAACGTATTATATATATATATTTTTTTTAATTTTATCAATTTATGTCGAAATTATTTTAACTAAATTCAATTGTTTTTAAATTAAATTATTTTCTAACTTCAATTATTTAAAAAAAAAATTCAATTGTTTCTAAATTGATGTATTTTCTGAATTGAATTATTTTTTAAAAAGTTCAATTGTTTTTTAATTAAATTATTTTCTAAATTCAATTATTTAAAAAAAAATTTAATTGTTTGTAAATTTAATTATTTAAAAAAAAATTCACTTGTTTCTAAATTGAATTATTTTCTAAATTAAATTTTTTTTTAAAAATTCAATTGTTTCTAAATTCAATTATTTAAAAAAAATGCAATTGTTTCTAAATTGAATTTTTATGTAAAAATTCAATTGTTTTTAAATTAAATTATTTTTAAAAATTCAATTGTTTTTAAATTGAATTATTTTAAAAAAAATTTAATTATTTTCTAAAAATTCAATTATTTTTATTTTTTTTTAATTAATAAAAAAAAAGAAAAATTGAAAATAAAATTTTTCTTGTTATTTATTGAAAATTGATTCTATTTTATTTTTTTTTTTATTCTAGAAACAGCAAAAAATCAGATTGGAAAATTTATTCACGATTTGAAAGAAGCAACATTATCGCAAAATATTTATGATGATAGTAATATTCTTCTTATAACAGAAATTCTCGATTCTTTGGTTAACATTAGCAAAATTGATACAATAGGTAAATAAACAAATTAATTAATTTGTTTAAACAATTATTTATAAGTTAATTCGTTACATTTTAAAATAGAAAATTACACAAATTGTAAAAAATATTAAACAATATTATTTAATTACTAATTGATTTTCTAAACATTTTGTTTTTTTAAATGTCAATTACCTTTATTTTTTGGAAAAATTAATTACCAATTTTTTTCTTTTTTTTGTAATATTAATTATCGTTTTTTTTTTTAATGTTAATTATCTTCTTTTTTTCGTAAAATTAATTACCGATTTTTTTTAATGTTAATTATTATTTTTGTAAAGTTACCTATTTCTTTCGAATGTTAATTTTTTGTTTTCTGTAAAGTTAATTATCGTTTTTTTTATTAATATTAATTATCTTTTTTTGTTATGTGGCAGAAAGTGTAGAATTTATAAATGATCAAATATTTCTGAAATTATTAACAATAAATTCGGAAACAATTGCAACAAAGACTGCAAAAACAATAGCTGAAATCGCAAAGACTGAATGTGGAAGGGAAAAATGCACAAGGGAAGATTTAGTGAGAACGCTGATTGAATTATTACAATCGCAAAAATTGGAAATTCTAATTCAAGCCTCGAGGGCACTTGGAAATATTTGTTATGAAAATGGTAATAAAATTTCTAAACTATTTTTTTTATATAAAGCTAATTATTATTTTTAATAACCAATTATAACTAATTATTTATTTATTAACCACCAAAATTAAACAGCGCGCAAGCGCGCCAAACTGAGTATTTAATTGTTTGTTATAAAGAAATTAAAGATTAATATTATCAATAATAATTTAATTTATTAGAATATTATTACATATTAAATGATAATAATGAAAATTATATACAGGCCTCGGATTATACGACTTTTTCCGACTTTTTTCAAAAATACGACTTTTATCGACTTATTTTAATAAAATGCGACATTTTTTTTTTACATTTGAAAAAAAATGTAAATAAAATACATTTTTTAGTATAAAATGTAGATCTTAAGATCTTCTTCAATTCAATTATTTAACAAATTTTGAACTAAAATAAAATTAATAAAATTAATTAAATTAAATAATTAATAATAATATTAATATATTTATTAATAATAATTAAATTAATTAATTAAATTAATTATTTTTAATAATTTTAATGAAATACATCACAAATTCAAATATATCAAAATTATTTTTGAATTAAAATTTTTATGAAATTTAACAATTGTTTATAATTTAAAAAAAAATATCACAATAAAATTGAATTATTTTTTAAAAATTTCAATTCAAAATAAACAAAAATTCAATTATTATCCGAAAATTTTAATTCAAAATCAATTAAAAATCCAATAATAATTATCCAAAATTTTCAATTTAAAATTTAATTATTTACCAAGTTTTCAATTTAAAATGAAATAAAATTCAATTCTTTTCTAAAATTTCTATTCAAAATTAATCATCCAAATTTTCAATCAAAAATGAATTTAAATTAAATTATTATCCAAAATTTCAATTAAAATTCAATTATTTGCCAAAATTTTCAATTCAAAATAAACTAAAATTCAATTATTACCCGAAATTTTAATTCAAAATCAATTAAAAATCCAATAATTATCCAAAAATTTTCAATTTAAAATTTAATTATTTAACAAGTTTTCAATTAAAAATGAAATAAAATTCAATTTTTTTCTAAAATTTCTATTCAAAATTAATTATCCAAATTTTCAATCAAAAATGAACTTAAATTCAATTATTTCCCAAAATTTTCAATTCAAAATAAATAATACTAATAAATTCAAAATGGACTAAAATTCAATTATTTTCTAAAATTTCACTTAAGATTTAATTATTTTAAAAATTTTCAATTTAAAATCAACTAAAATTTAATTATTTTCCAAAATTTCAATTAAAAATTAACTAAAATTTAATTATTTTCTAAAATTTCAATTAAAATTTAATTATTTTAAAAATTTTGAAATCCAAAATCAACTAAAATTCAATTATTTTCTAAAATTTCAATTGAAAATCATTTAAAATTCAATTATTTTGAAAAATTTTAATTGAAATTCAATTATTTTCCAAAATTTTCAATTCAAAATCAACTAAAATTAAATTATTTTCCAAAAATTTCAATTGAAATTAAATTATTTTCCAAACTTTAAATTCAAAATCAATTAAAATTCAATTATTTTGAAAAATTTTAATTGAATTTCAATTATTTTCTAAAATTTCTATTCAAAATTAATTATCCAAATTTTCAATAAAAATGATCTTCAATTAAATTATTATCAAAAATTACAATTAAAATTCAATTATTTCCCAAAAATTTTCAATTTAAAATTAAATAAAATTTAATTATTCTCAGAAATTTGAATTCAAAATTAATTGAATTTTCAATAATTTGAATTTAAAAGCATCTAAAATTTAATTATTTCTAAAATTTTCCATTGAAATTATTTTTTTTGAAATTTAATAATTTCAATTATAACTCTAAGGAAATTCAATTATTTTTAACTATTTTAATAATATTCTTTGAAAATTCAACTATCTGAAACCATTTTTCAATTAAAAATGATTTTCAAATTATTGTATTTTGTCCGCATTTTCTAATAAATTTTTAGTGAAATCATCTAAAATTTTAATTTACAAAACACTTAATCTTTCAATTAATTTCAAAAATCTCAATTTTAAATCTTTGAAAATTCAATTAAATTTAAAAAATGTTTTCCAAAAATTGTTTGATAAATTATTTTTAGTTCTGTAAAATTTAATAATTGTTTGAAAATTAACAATATCTTTTGAAATTTAATTATTTCTAAAAATTTCAACTTTAACCCTTCGAAAAGAATTATTATTAAAAAAAATTTTTTTATTTAAAAATCTGTAAAATATTTTTGTTAAAATAAAAAACAAATCCATTTTTCTTTTGAATATAAATCGACTAAAACGACTTTTTGTGTCTTTAAGTTGATTCGATGCTTGTGTTTTTATAATTAATATTTAATAGGTAATCGTTGGCCCCTGGTACCTTAAAAATTAATTTTTAAAAAAAATTTATTTATAATAAATATTTATAATAAATTTATAAATAATAATAAATAATAAATAACAATGAATAATGAAAAAAAATAATAATTATAAGTTAAAATGTTATAATTATCTGTAATAATCATTATATAAAAAAAAATTCATTTATAATATAATAAATTTATAAATAATATTTTCAAACTGTGTAAAAATAATTTAACTATAAATTAAGAAATTATAATTTTTACAAATTTTTTTATTAATGAATTTGGGAAATTTTCAATTTTTAGTTAAATTTATTAATAATAAAATAATTTTGCAGCTAAAGGCAAAGCATTAATTCGTGAGAAGGAGGGATTGAAACATATTTTGAAAGTTGTTGAAAAAGGTATCGAATTCGGTGACAAAGAGGGCGCCGATTTTTTAAGAAATGTTGCCGCTGGATTTTTGTTAAATTTTCTCGTGGACCAAAATAGTATCGATAAAGAGGTGTGTAATTTATTTAAAAAAAAAAAAAAAAAAATTTACTTCTACATTTTTTTTATTCTAAACAAGAAAATAATTTACTTTTTATTAAAATTTATAAAATTTTATATTTAAAATTTTTTTTTATTTATTTATAAAAATATTTTATTTATTTAAAAAAATAAAAATTGTCTTAGATATTTTTTTTTCATTCTAAACATAAGAAAATAATTTATTTTTTTTTTAATTTAATTATAAAATTTTGTATTTATTTATAAAATTTTATAGTTTAAAAATTTTGTATTTATTTAGAAAATTTTATAGTTTAAAAATTTTGTATTTGTTTATAATTTATAGTTTAAAAATTTTGTATTTATTTAGAAAATTTTATAGTTTAAAAATTTTGTATTTATTTAGAAAATTTTATAGTTTAAAAATTTTCTATTTATTTGGAAAAATATTTTATTTGTTTAAAAAAAAAAAAAAAAAAAAAATTGTCTTGATTATTTTATTTTTTGATTCAAAAAAAAAATAAATAAATAAATAACAATATTTTTTTTGTAGGTGATAAAAAAAGAGGTGGTTACGGTAATTTGTAAAATTTTGGAAATTGATGGCGTTGCAACACGTGAAGCGGCAATGCAAGCGCTTTTAATTTTGGGAGTATTAAACGATTACGATATTCAATTTCTCAATGAGAGGCTCGCAAATATTTTAGTTGAAATTCTCAAAAGTGACAATTCTTCTGAATTTTCAGAAATGTGCTTAGAAGTTCTTCACGGTCAGGCCGATGACGGTAAATTTATTTTATTTATTTAAAATAAATATTATTGTTTTTTAAATATTTAAATTTTTAAATCACAAAATTACAGAGTAAATATTACAAAAAAAAAAAAATGTTATTACTTATTGTAATAAAAATTTTATAATATTTACATAAATAATAATATTTATTTATAAAAAATTGCATTTTATAATTAAATAAATAAATTTTGCATTTTTATTATATAATAAATATTTATTATAACTAAATAAAATATTTTTTTTTATTATTGCTATTATAAATAGCAATATATTATTATTATTATAAATATAATTGTGAATTTTTTGTATTAATATACAGAGAATGCAAAATTGCTTTTGGCTAAGGTTGGAGTTTGTGAATTACTTCTTAAATTATTGGAAAAACATGGCCCACGTTGTACAGATGAGGAAACAAGATCAGTATTGAAAATCGCTTGCAATTTAATTGTTTTAATTTTAACTGGAGGTAAGATTTTTTAATATTTGATTATATTACTAAATAAAAAATAAATTACTAAATATAAATGAAATAACAAAATTAAATTTATATAATCGAATAATTTGCAAAAATTTTAATTATAATTAATAGATGAAAGTATGAATCTACTATACAAAAATAGTGAGGGTTTTGTTTATAAAAAATTGGTGGAATGGTTGGAAAATTTAGATGAAGATCTTCAAGTAACAGCAGTATTGGCAATGGGAAATTTTGCACGCGCCGATAAACATTGTGAATTAATGGTAGCTGAGGGTGTTGATAAAAAATTATTAAAATTAATTATGAATAATAATAGCGATAAATGTGGTGATATTCGTTTTCAACATGATCTTCTTAGTGCAATGAGAAATTTAGTTATTTCACCAAAAAATAAATCACAAGTACTTGCCGATGGATTAATTCAAGCTCTTATGCCAATGCTTGATATTCCAACGTTTCCAGTTGTTTTTAAATTACTTGGAACATTACGAATTGTCATTGGTGGACAACGTTAGTATTTTTTTTTTCTTCTTTAGTAAATTAATTACAGGCCTTGAATTATACGACTTTTTTCGACTTATTTCCGTGGCTTAAATTAGAAATTATTATTTTTTTTAAGACGAATTTTTGGAAATGAAAATTGTTGTTAATTTGTAATAAAATATTTTAAAATAAAAATTCGAATTAATGATTTTTTAGGATAAAATTCTTTTAATAATTTTTATTTTTTATTATTATACAGAGGAGGCAGCGATATTGTTGGGAAAAAATTCAAGACTAATTGAAAAAGCTGTCGAATGGTCGGGAACTGAGGATCATCCTGGCGTTCATGGAGAGGCAAATCGTTTATTGGCTTGGTTAATAATTAATAGCAGGTTTAAAAACAAATTAATTATTTATTTTTCAAACTTTTTCTTTCATTGAAAATATAATTTAAAAAAAATTATTGTTTTTCAATTAAATACTTTTTTTTTTTTAAATACATATTTGAAAAATTGAAAGATTTTTTTCAATAAAAATTTTCAATAATTTTTAAATAAAATTTTTAAATTTCAAAATAATTTCTAATGAAAATATAATATTATTTATTTCTTATTAGAGACAAGGATGTTGTATTGACAGTGATAAATAATGACGGTGTGAAAAGATTAGTGAAAATGCTTAATTCAAAGCATCAATTAATGCAAAATGAAGCACTATTGAGTTTAAATATTCTCACAGCTATTTGTCTCTATGAATCGGAAAAATTTCTCATCGATTCAAAAATTGGTCTTGGATTATTTCGATTTATTAAAGAGAGCGCACCGACTGTTGAGCCGCCAATTATTTACAATTCTTTCTCACTTATGTTAAATCTCGTCAAATCAAGTAAGAAAAACAAAAAAAAAAAAAAAAAAAATTTACTGTTTAAAAAATTAAGAAAATTCTTTATTTTTTGCATTTTATTTTATATTTATTATTATTTTTATTTTTATTTATTACTATTATTTATATTATTATTATTATTATTATTATTAATATTTAAATTTATTAGTTAAATTTCAATTTTGTTTTTAAAAAAATATAATTTTTTTTAAGAAATTAAAATAAAATGCGCTAATTAAAAATTTTTTTTTTTAAATTGTCTTTATAGAAAATTTAAAGGAGCATTTAATGGAATCTCAACTACCAGAATTGTGGAAGGAATTGATAAAATCCCGTGAGTCAGATTTGGAAATTCCAAAAGATAAAATGAAAATTCTTTGTGTTGAACTAAATATTCCTCTTGACTGAAAAGAAAAAAGAAAAAAAAAAAAACAAAAAAAAAACAATTTCTTCCTAAAAATAATAATAATTGTGACTGCCTCTTGAATGCCATGGAAAAAAAACACGCACTGAAATATTCCATTTCAGCGTTGGAAATTGCTGAAAAGTTTACATTACAATATATATTATATATTTTAGATACAAAAATGCGCGTATACAATATTTTGTTTTCCGTGTTTGGAGATTTATCTCTCTTACTATATACATATATATATATATAATTATTATTGTTCTCTATTGAATGGAATTAATAATATAACCAATTCTAAATCTTCTGAGATGTTTACAACATATAATTATAATAATAATAATATTTGTCAACAGATTGAAAAAAAAAATATTTATTTATTGAAAATAAATTTTTGCTGAATGTAATTATTATTTTTCTCTGACTTTTCCGTGATTTTTTTAGTGAAAATTAAAATTTTTTTCCCCTGATCTTAATGAAAATATTTTTCAATAACTGGCATCGGATTTTTTTTTTTTTTTTAATTTTTTTAAATTTGAATTATTAAAAAAATATATTTAACTTTAATTTGTTTGGTAAATCAATTATTTTCAATTAATTTCAAAAAAAATTTCTTCGAAAATTACATGATTTTAGACAATTTTTAATTGAAAATTCAAATTATTGTCTAAAAATTTTTGAAAAAAAATTTTGACCAATTCAAAATGAGTTTCAATTAAATCACCTGAAATTGAATTATTATTTCTAAAAATTTTAACTCAAACTCTTTCAAGTTCAATTATTTTAAACATTTTTAATTAAAAATCTTTTTAAAATTCAATTATTTCGCAAATATTTATTTGAAATTAATTTTTTTTTTTCAATATTTTAATCAAATTCTTTGAAAATTCAAGTGTTTAAAACATTTTTTAATTCAAAATTCTTTAAAGTTCAATTATTGTTTAGAGCTTCTAAAAAATCTACAGAAATTTTAATTGACGATAATTTTAATAACAAATCTCCTGAAATTCAATTAGTTCTAAAAATTTTAACTATTGCTCTTCCAAAACTCAATTATTATTTCTATAATTTATATCTTCAATTTCTTTTTGAATTTATTATTTTTAATAATTTTCATCAAGTTTTTCAAAAATTCAATTCACATAAAACGTTTTGTTAATTATGAATTTTTTAATTTTTCAATTATTGTCTAAAATTTGTAAAAGAAATCGATAAATTCAAATTTATAAAAGTTTCATTAGAAAATCTCCCCAAAATTCAATAATTATTTCTCTTTTTAAAATAAAACTCTTTCAAATTCAATTAGTAATTAAATAATTAATTAAATGTTAATTCAATTATAATTTTTCCAACAAATTTTTATCTATATAATTTTTTGTTTCATTTAATTATTTCAACGGTTTTTTAATCCAATTTTTCAAAAAATCAATTATTTAAATTATTAACACAAATTTATAAAAATTTCAATTCAAAATCATATAAAATTTAATTATTTTCAAAAATTTCAATTCAAAACAAACTAAAACTGAATAATTTTCAATTAAAAATCAAATAAAATTCAATAATTTTCAAAAATTTTAATTGAGATTCAATTATTTTCAAATTATTCAATTCAACATCAACTAAAATGAGATTATTTTCAGTAATTCAATTCCAAATCATTTAAAATTCAATTGTTTTCCAAAATAACAATTCAAAATCAACTAAAATTCAATTACTTTCCAAAATTTCAATTCATACATTTAATTCAAAATCATTAAAATTAATTTATTTCCCAACATTTCAATTCAAAAGCATTTAAAATTCAATTATTTTTCAAAATTTTAATTCAAAATCAACTAAAATTTAATTACTTTCCAAAATTTTCAATTCAAAATAAAAAAAATTTAATTATTTTCCATAATTTCAACTCAGCATCAATTAAAATTCAATTATTTTAAAAAATATAAATTCAAAATCAACTAAAACCCGATTATTTTCAAAAATTCAATTCAAAATCATATGAAATTCAATTATTTTCAAAAGTTTCAATTCAAAATAAACTAAAACTAAATGATTTTCAATTGAAAATGAAATAAAATTCAATTACTTTCAAAAATTTTAATTGAGATTTAATTATTTTTAAATTATTCAATTCAACATCAACTAAAATTCAATTATTCTCAAAAATTTCAATTTAAAATTCAATTATTTTCAAATTTTTCAATTCAAAATCAACTAAAACCGGATTATTTTTAAAAATTCAAATCAAAATCATTGAAAATTCAATTATTTTCCAAAATTTTAAATCAAAATCAACTAAAACTCGATTATTTTCAAAAATTCAATTCAATTCAAAATCAAATGAAATTCAATTATTTTCAAAATTTTCAATTTAAAATCCACTAAAATTTAATTACTTTCAAAAATTTCATTTCAAAATCAACTAAAATTCAATTACATTTCAAAGTTACAATTCCAAATCAATTGAAAATCAATTATTTTGAAATTTGTCAATTTAAAATCCACATAAAATTAAATATTTTTTAAAATTTCAATCAAAGTCATTTAAAATTCAATTATTTTGAAAAATTTTAATTTAAAATCAATTATTTTCAAATTTTTCGATTCAAATCAACTAAAATTATATTATTTTCCAAAATTACATTTCAAAATAAACTAAAATTCTATTGTTTTTAGAAATTTCAATTCAAAGTCAACAAAAATTCAATTATTTTCCAAAATTACAATTTAAAATCAACTTATACCCCATTATGTTCAAAAATTCAATTCAAAATCATTTAAAATTCAATTATTTTTCTAAATATTAATTCAAAATCAACTAAAATTCAATTACATTTCAAAGTTACAATTCCAAATCAATTGAAAATCAATTATTTTCAAAATATTTAAATTAAAATCAACTAAAATTTAATTATTTTTACAATTTTCAATTCAAAATCAACTAAATTTTAATTATTTACAAAACTTCGATTCAATATTAATAATTTTCAAAATTTTCAATTCAAAATGAACTAAATTTAATTATTTTCAAAAATTTCAACTTAGCATCAATTAAAATTTAATTATTTTCCAAAATTACAAATCAAAATCAACCAAAATTAAATTATTTTCCAAAATGTCAATAAAAATTCAATTATTTTTCAAATTTTCAATTTAAAATCAACTAAAATTGAATTATTTACAAAATTTCGATTCAAAATTAATAATTTAAAAAATTTTCAATTCAAAATGAATTGAAATTCAATTATTTTCAAAATTTTTAATTTAAAATCCACTTAAAACTAAATATTTTCTAAAATTTCAATTTAAAATCATTTAAAATTCAATAATTTTTCAAAATTACAATTCAAAATCAACTAAAATTCTATTATTTTCCAAAATTTCAATTCAAAATCAACTAAAATTCAATTATTTTCCAAAATTACAATTTAAAATCAATTAATATTTAATTATTTCTAAAAATTCTAAATCAAACTCTTCGAAATTAAATTATTTTTAAAAAATTTTAATTAAAAAATCGTCTTATATAATAATAAAATATTTATCAACTAATTAAATTTATTGAAAACAAAAGAAAATGGAGTTTTTAGACTTTTCTTGTTATAAATTGAATAAGAGGACAATTATAAAAATGTAAGATAATAATTTTTAGAAGCAAAAATTTGAATTAAAAAAATTTCAAAAATGATAATTTTTAGTAGCATTTTTAGAAATTTGATATTTTTCCAGTACTTTTTTTTATAATAAATTCCCTGATTTTTCTTAATCAATCTCACCTTTTTTTGTTTGGCCTTTTCCATGAATTCCCCGATTTCACTGATACGTGAAAACTCTGCCTAGTTTATTATATTATAAATATTTACTATATACATAAATATTTACGATATTACAAAAAGGAATAATGAAAAAAAAATAACAATTTACAATTGAAAAAGTATTTAATTCATTATACATATACATATATGAGACAACACTCTAAAAACTAATTGAATGAGAATATTTAAATAAAAAAAAAAAAACCCTCCCGTCTTAAAAACCCCCATAATCCGTATCAGAATCACTTCGATCGAATGATTCCTCATAATCAGTTTCCTTGGTACCAATTCTTTTTGATCTTAAACCACGTCTTGTTAAACCCCAAAATGATTTTGGTCGTAAATTATTATTCTCAGCGGTAAATAACCATCCCATATGATTTTGACATTGTTGACATGTAACAATTGTCCATGCATAACCAGGAAACCATGAATATTCCGATGATGGTTCATTACCACTCAATATTAAACCCTGTGCCTTATAAAGTGTCACTGTTTCATAAAGAAATCCACCTAAATTACAATATGTACCCTGTGGACCCTCACGATTCATTGGAAACATATCCGATTGTTTACCAATAAATAAATTACATTTATTACAAACAAAACAACGATCCTTGATAAGATAATTTAATTCTTTTTGTAAACGTGGTATTGCACAATCATAATTTAATAATGCAATTCTTTTATTATCAACTAATGGTAAATTTTGTCCAACCCAAAATGATAATTCAATAGGATCATTTGGTATATGACTTCCTTTTTTTTCAATAAAATCTAAATTCATATGAATTTTTTCTGTTAATTTATTGATATTATAACGTTTTATTAACCACGATGGCCATTGTGTTGATATTGAATCGTAACGTTCAATTTTTTCCCTTATTATTGATTGTTGACGTAAATTATCTAATGAACGATTACGCGCCTCCCATAATGGTAAACCTAAATTAATTTCGGGTACTATTTTTACATTTGCTGAATATTTACCATAGCCTTGTGTAATGTGTAAAATTTTAAAACGTTGACGACCCTTTGCTTTTATACGAAAACCCTCCATTGGCGAACCTTCAATGTATTCATAAATTTCAGCTGTTGTACCAATTGATATTAAATTATCATAACCACGGCAAACAACGCCAAATATACGATTTTTATTAATACATTGCTGTAGCATTTCTATTGTTTGTCTATCGAATACAGTTAATGGAAGTGTTTGACCGGGAAATAAAACAACTGATTGTTTTATTAATAGTGGTAAATTCATATAAATCCCCTCATCAAGAAGTGTACGACCACGTAATTCTTCGAGATTATTGCCAAGATATGAATGTGTTGATGATAATGTAATATCAAATGTATTATTGTCATTTGATTGTTGAACATCGTTTTCTGCCTCAGTATTTTCCATGTTTTTTTTTTTTTTTGCTGCTTTTCTTTTACTTTTAAGGAAAATTAGACCTTTTTTTATTTTTCTTTTTTTTATTTTCCTTGACAAATTTTCTATTTTTTTTTTTTGAAAATTATACTCGAGAATCTGAAATTATTTTTGTTTTTATTTTAATTGACTTAATTTGATATTATATTAAAATTTTTACTAAATAAATAAATCAATGTTTACTAAATTATAATATTCTTGTAATATTGACAATTGCAAGGAAATTAAATACAAAATAAAAGATTTCAATGAGAGAAATTTTTTCAAATTTTTCGACAAATTTTATTTATTATTAAATTTTTTTCAATGAATTAAAATAAAATTCTAAAAATTAATAATTAAAAAAAACTGTGATTTATCTATTTTAAAACTGTTTAAATTTTAATTCAATTACAAAATTTCATTTTTAATTCAATTTTTTTCGAAAATTTTAATTGATTGAATTTTCATAATTCCAAAATTTTAAATTATTATTTATTTATTTACACGAGCAATAAAAAAATTATTTTTTTTTTATTATTATTAGTTTTTAATTTTAATAATTATTTTTTTAAATTGATTTAAATTTAAAAATTATTCGAATTTAAATTAAATGTAAAAATTTTAATTAATTTAATGTTTCAATTATTATTTTTTGAATTTTAATTGATTTAGATTTGATATTATTCAAATTTTAATTGTCATATTTTTTAATTTCTCCAGAAATTTTTTTAAATTATTTTATTAATAAATTTATTACATTATTTATTTAAATTTCATTTTAATTAAATTTTTTTTTTTTGAAATTTATTTAACGTTAAAATTATTCTAATCTAAATTTGTCTAAATTTTAATTGATTAAAATTTTAAATTTTATTGAATTTAAATTGTTTTAAAATTCCAAATTATATACGAATTTTAATACTTTCGAAATTTTATTGATTTAAATTTCAAAATTATTAAAATATATAATAAATTTATAATTCATAATTCTTTGAAAATAATAAAAAAAAAAAATTTCAATTTTTACAAATTTTAATTGAAATATGTTTATAATTATCAAAATTTCAATTAATTTAAGTTTCAAATAATCAATTTTTAATTTGTCAAAATTTAAAGTTAATTTAAATTAAATGAAATTTAAATTTCATAAGACTATTTAAAATTTTGAATAAATATTAAATTTAAGTCAATTGAAATTTTGGAAAAAATTGTAATTCAAGTTATTTGAAACTTAAATAAATCGAAATTTAGATAATTTTAAATATAAATCAATTGAAATTTAATTATTTTCAAAATCTTCAATTTAAAATCCACTTAAAACTAAATATTTTCTAAAATTTCAATTTAAAATCCATTATTATCAAATTTTTCAATTCAAAATTAACTGAAACCGGATTATTTTTAAAAATTCAATTCAAAATCATTTAAAATTCAATTATCTATTTTAAATCTGTTTAAATTTTAATTCAATTACAAATTTCATTTAAAATTCAATTATTTTTCAAAATTTTAATTCAAAATCAATGGAAATTCAATTATATTTAAGATTTTCAATTTGAAATCCGCTTAAAATGAAATATTTTCCAAAATTTCAATTATTTTCAAAAATTTCAATTTAAAATAAATTATTTTCAAATTTTTCAATTCAAAATCAACTAAAACCGGATTTTTTTCAAAAATTCAATTCAAAATCATTTAAAATTCAATTATTTTTCAAAATTTTTAATTCAAAATCAACTAAAATTCAATTATTTTTCAAAGTTACAATTGAAATTCAATTATTTTCAAAAAATCAATTCAAAATCATTTAAAATTTAATTATTTCCTGAAATTTTAATTCAAAATCAACTAAAATTCAATTACTTTCCAAAATTTCAATTCAAAATAAACTAAAATTCAATTATTGTTAAAAGTTACAATTCAAAATCAATTGAAAATCAATTATTTTCAAAATCTTCAATTTAAAATCCACTTAAAACTAAATATTTTCTAAAATTTAAATTTAAAATCATTTAAAATTCAATAATTTTCAAAAATTTTAATTTAAAATCCATTATTATAAAATTTTTCAGTTCAACATGAACTAAAACCGGATTATTATAAAAAATTTAATTCAAAATCATTTAAAATTTAATTATTTTCAAAAATTTCAATTTAAAATCAATTTTTTTCCAAATTTTCAGTTCAAAATAAACTAAATTCAAATATTCTTTAAAGTTACAATTCAAAATCAATTGAAATTCAATTATTTTGAAAATTGTCAATTTAAAATCCACATAAAATTAAATATTTTTTAAAATTTCAATTTAAAGTCATTTAAAATTCAATTATTTTGAAAAATTTTAATTTAAAATCAATTATTTTCAAATTTTTCGATTCAAATCAACTAAAATTATATTATTTTCCAAAATTACATTTCAAAATAAACTAAAATTCTATTGTTTTTAGAAATTTCAATTCAAAGTCAACAAAAATTCAATTATTTTCCAAAATTACAATTTAAAATCAACTTATACCCGATTATGTTCAAAAATTCAATTCAAAATCATTTAAAATTCAATTATTTTTCTAAATATGAATTCAAAATCAACTAAAATTTAATTACTTTTCAAAGTTGTAATTCAAAATCAATTGAAATTCAATTATTTTCAAAAATTTCAATTTAAAATCCACTTAAAATCAGATATTTTCTAAAATTTCAATTTAAAATCAACTAAAACTCAATTATTTTCAAAAATTAAATTCAAAATCATTTAAAATTCAATTATTTTTCTAAATATTAATTCAAAATCAACTAATATTCAATTATTTTCCAAAATTACAATTTAAAATCAATTAAAATTCAATTATTTCTAAAAATTCTAAATTAAAAAAAATGTCAAATAAAATTTTGAATAATTAAAAATTATAATAATTTGGAAAATAAATTAAAATTCAGATTAAATTGAAAATCAAAAAACATTAAAAATTTGGATAATTTAAAATTTAAATAAAAATTTTGGTTAAATTTAAGTTTTAGAATAATTAAATTAATTTAAATCAATTTAAATTCAAATAATTTAAAACTTTAAACAATTAAAATTTGGACAAATTTAGGTTAAAAAAATTTTTAACGTAAAATAAATTTCAAAAAAAAAATTCAATTAAAATGAAAACTAAATAAATAATGTAATAATTATTAATAAAATAATTAAAAAAATTTAGAGCTAAATTAAAAAAATATGTTAATTAAAATTTTGGATAATATAAAAATTAAATCAGTGAAAATTAAAATAATAATTGACACATTAAAGTAATTAAAATTTTTACAAAAAATTTAAATTCGAATAATTTTAAACTTAAATCAATTGAAAAAAAAAATTAAAATTAAAACTAAATTACTAAATAAATAACTAATAATAATTCAGAAAAAAATAATGAAAAATTTTGGAAAATTGAAAATTCAATCAAATAAAATTTGGAAAAATGAATTATTATTATTAGTTTTTTTTTCGCCGTTTTTTCTCTAAAATAGTTTTTGTATATTCATCTTTTAAAAAAGTTTAGAGACGTAATAAAATTACTATATTATTACATTACGAAAAATGTATAATTTTAAGGTTATGAAAATAATAACATAACGAATATAATCAATTAAAAATTAATTTAATTTAATAAAAATAAAAAAAAACGACAATAAACATACCTTTTCACCAAAAAAAAAGGATCAAAATTTTCTTCAAAACATTATAAAATCCTATGGACTTTTGACAGTATTCCTTGTACCAATTCAATATTCCATTGTTTTTTTTTCTCACATTTTTATCATCGATTTTTGTAGTTGGATTTCGCTAATTTATAATATAATTCACTTTGATTTCCTTTTTTTTATGAAGATTTGACAATAAAAATCGTGAATAAATATCAAACAGAGCAATTATTTATTGTTTATTGCTGTATGTTACCCAAAGGTAATAATTGCGCAAATATTATTAAAAATGGAGGGGATTATATACGTAACATACGTCGTTAATCTCAAGTTACGTAATAAATGCGTATAATAAATCTAAATTTTTAAATTTTCGCGCCATACAATTTTTGCAAAAATATTTTTAACCTCTTATTTACATAGAGTTTTGCGAATTAGGGAAATTCGACTTTTTAAGTTTTGGGGAAAAAGAATTCATTTCTAAAAATCGAATTCTATAACAAAAAAAAATTCCAATTAAAGTAAAGTTAATTAATTATATTTTATATTTAAATGATTTAAATTTATGAATTCTAGTAGCGCAAGCGCAGTTTGTATTTTTGATTCGAGTCGCTTTTATCAATTGAGAAGAAAACGGCGGGAAAAATTTTGTTTTTTAACAAAAACCAATTTTATTTGTAAAATAAAAAAATTATTTAACAACAATATAAATTTGTAAAAACTAAAATATTATTAAACAATAATATAAATTTGTTTTTAAAAAAATCATTTTTATTTGCAAATAAAAAAAATTATTAACAATATAAATTCGTTTTCAAAAAAAATCATTTTTATTTGCAAATAAAAAAAAAAATGATTAACAATATATAAATTCGTTTTTAAAAAATCAACTTTATTTATAAATAAAAAAGAAAATAACAAGAACAATGTGTGTATATAAATATAAAAATAAATTTTTGATAACAATTAATAAATTAAAAATAAATTTTTGATAACAATTATTAAATTAAAAATAAAATTTAAAAATTAATTAAAACAAAATTTAAAAAAAAATATAATAAAGAAAATTTAAAAATTAAAGAAAAATTTACAATAATACAATTAAAAATTAAACAATTTTTTTTTTTTTTTTGAAAACATTAAATTAAATTGAATTAATATATTATAATTAATTATGATAGACGACATTATATTTACTGTAATTATTGCATTCAATGTGAAATAATGATGTATTGGCATCGTTCACCAAAAAGTAAACATCATTATCGACTTTAAACAAATGATTATCTGTTGAAAATAAACTCACGGCATACAATGGATCTTTGATATTGCCAAAAATCTCATCAATTTGACCCAAAGCAATCCAATTTTCTTCAGTGAGTATAAATAAATTACTTCCAATATTTAAAAGTTCATTTTCATTTTGTAATGGTTTCACTAAAATTACTGAGATTTTCTGCAAAATAAAATTTTAAAAATAAAAAATTAATGAATAAAAAATTCAAAAAAATTCAAAAAATTGAAAAATTTTTTAATAAATTTAATATTTTAATAAAAAAAAAATTTTTTTTAAAGAAAAAACAAAATACTTTAATAAATTAATTTAAAAAAAAATCGATTAATTCAAGAAAAATATTTTAATAACAATTTTTGAATAATTGAATAAAAAAAAATAAAAAATAAAAATAAAAATTGAATAAATAAATAAGAATAAATCGAAAAAATGATAAATTAAAAAAAATATATTATAATAAACAATTTTAATAAACAAATCGAAAAAAAATGATAAATTGACAATTTATTTTAATAATAATTAATGAATAAAAAATTCAAAAAATTTTTAATAAATTTAACATTTTCATAGAAAAAAAAATTTTTTAAAAGAAAAAACAAAATACTTTAATAAATTAATTTAAAAAAAAAATCGATTAATTCAAGAAAAATATTTTAATAAAAATTTTTGAATAAACAAATTAAAAAAAAAATTAAATAAATAAATCGAAAAAATGATAAATTAAAAAAAATATATATTTTATAATAAATAATTTTAATAAACAAATCGAAAAAAAATGATAAATTGACAAATATTTTAATAATAAATTTTAAATAATAAATTTTTAATAATAAATTTTTAATAAAATAAATCAAGAAATAAAAATAAATTGAAAAAAAAAATAATTATAAAATTAAATACCTCGAGATAAGAAATTATTTTTCCAGCAATACAAAATTGTTTATCCTTTGCTTCAGCTATTGGAATTTTAGGAATTTCTTTTAATTGAGAGAGCTCACTTTTCTCCAATTCTGTTGCATCATTTAATTTCATATTCACAAATAATTTACTCATTTTTTTTCTAATTCACCATATGGAAAATAAGTTTTAAAAATTATTATTTTTTTTTTATAAAAAATATTATTTTAATAATAATAATAATATATTTATATTATAAAATATTAATGTTATTCAATAAAAAAAAGTCGAAAACTTATTTTTCTTAAATTTATATAACAATTATTATTATTATTATTATTATTATTATTATTATTATTTTATTATGATATATTATTATTAATTAATATAATAATAATAATAATTAATATTATTCAATAAATTTGATAAAAAAAAAGTTTCCAAATTGAAACGAAATTTTTAAATATTTTAAATAGAAAAAGAAAATGTAAAAAAAATGTTAATTAGTTGTTATATGATAATAATAATAATAATTATTATTATATAAGTTTGATAAAAATAAGTTTTGAAATTTTTTTTTTTTTTCAAATCAAAACGAAATTTTTGAATATATTTTAATAGAAATGGAAAATATTAAAAATAAATTCATAAAAATTAATAAAAAAAACAAAAAAAAAAAAAACTTACAAATTTGTAGGACGTCCCGTGTATTCTTTATTTTCATTTGATGAAAAAGACATTTCTCCGGAACTTTCGGCCATGATTTTCAAAAAGAAATTTTTATATTTCGGTTTTTGCTAAATATTTTAAACTATGCTCTCTGCTCCAAAGCTGAAAGACAACTATATATATAATAATAATTTCGTTAAATTTTTGTCTTCAATTTCAATTTTCTGTCGCACTTTATGTTTATCAAATAATGTCCAAAGTTTTGTTTATTCAACCTTCAAAATAAGGTTCACCAAAATATTTATTTTACTCTTTACTGTCTAAATGGAAATTTTATTTTTTTATTTACTATTTTATTTAAGTATTTTAATTATTATTATTATTTAATATTTAGGAAATAAATTTCAATATAAAATAATACGAATTTAAATTAATTGTAAAAATTTTAATTAATTTAATTTTTCAATTATTATTTTTGAATTTTAATTGATTTAATTTTTATATTATTTAAATTTTAATTGTCATATTTTTTAATTTCTCCAAAAATTTTTTAAAATTATTTTATTAATAATTTTATTACATTATTTATTTAGTTTTCATTTTAATTAATTTTTTTTTATTTGAAATTTATTTAACGTTAAAATTATTCCAATCTAAATTTATCTAAATTTTAATTGATTAATAAATTTTAAATTTTATTGAATTTAAATTGATTTAAAATTCCAAATTATATACGAATTTTAATACTTTCAAATTTTCATTGATTTAAATTTCAAAATTATTAAAATTTATAATAAATTCATAATTCTTTGAAAATAAAAAAAAAAAAAATTTCAATTTTTCCAAATTTTCATTGAAATACGTTTAAAATTATCCAAATTTCAATATTAATTTAAGTTTCAAATAATCGATTTTTAATTTGTCAAAATTTAAAGTTAATTTAAATTAAATGAAATTTAAATTTCATAAGTCTATTTAAAATTTTGAATAAATATTAAATTTAAGTCAATTGAAATTTTGGAAAAATTGTAATTCAAATTATTTGAAACTTAAATTAAATAAATAAATTTAATTTTGACCCCTTTTTATTTTTTATTTAATTATTTTAATTATTATTATTATTTTTATTTAATATTTAGGAAATAAATTTCAATAAATAAATTTAATTTTGCCCCCTTTTTATTTTTTATTTAATTATTTTAATTATTATTAATATTATTTAATATTTAGGAAATAAATTTCAATAAATAACTTTAATTTTGCCCCCTTTTTATTTTTTATTAATTTTTTTTTATTTATTATTATTTTGTTATTTTTTGGAAATAAATTTAAATAAATAAATTTTGAAAATTTAATATTTTGCCACCTTTTTTTTTTTTTATTATTAACTATTATTCATTTTGTTTATTATTATTTTGTTATTTTTTTGGAAAAAAATTTGAAAATTTAAAAAAAAAATTAATTTTGCCCCTATTTATTTATTTTTCTCTTGTTCATTTGCAAAAAAAAAAAAAAGGAAAAAAATGTTAAAAAATATATTATAACTTTAATTGTTTATAAATATTAGTATATTATTTATTGGAGTTAAAAATTAAATTTTTGAAAAAAAGAAAATATAAAAATATTTAAATAAATCTGTAACGATAAAGGAGTTATTTTTTTTTTTAAATATCCCCCCTACTCTCACGGATATATAACAAAACGCACGTGCTTCGTGCTGCCCCAGTAAAAAATATTGATATGAGAAAATTTTGTTATTTTTAATTAACTATTAATTATAAAAATTATAAATAACATGATGCTTAGAAAAATAATAAGCAGTGGATCATATCAAAAGAGAATAAAATTAAAAGCATTTTTTAACGTGATAAGGAAAAATTCTTCCAAGGTATGTTTTTTTTAAGGTTATGTTTTAACATAATAAACAATATACATGTAAAGAAAAAGTATTTTTAAATAAAAACAACGAAAGAGGCGCCGTAAAAACTTATAATCATTTGTTTTAAAAACTACAATTGTCCGAAAAATAATAAACCAATAATGATTATAAGTTTTTAGAATTTCATTTTATCATATAATCAATAGTTGACAAATTTTTGACATAACCCTCAATGAAAAAAAAAATTAAAAATGCAAAACTTATTACAGTATTTTTTATTTGTAATTATTCTTATTCAGCGTAATATTTATTTCTTTCAATTTACAATCCGCGTAATATTTACTTTTATAAAAAGGCAATAATTATATTTTTTATTTATCAAAAACTGTTATTTCTTGTAAGTTTAAATATTGAGTGACAAAATATTTACATTATCGAATTGACAGTCGATATAAAATTTATTTTTTAATTTGATTTCTCTTTAACTAAAAATTTATAAAGTTGAATTAAAAACTAATAAAAATTTGTATTAAATCTAAATGTAAAATGATGTAAGTTGCGTCCTAAGGAACTTACGGAATTTCAGAGTTGGGAAATTACGACGATAAAAAAATTTCTGTTTTTTTTTTTGTTTTTTTAAATTTGATTTATTTATTTAGAGTACAGAAATTTCCTATGAAAAAAGAATATTTTCTGGCATTCAACCAACGGGAAATGTACATTTGGGTAATTATTTAGGAGCAATTCAAAATTGGATTGATTTACAAAATTCCGGGCAAAATGTCATTTGGAGTATTGTCGATTTACATGCCATCACTTTACCACAGGTAATAGAAAAAAAAAAATTTGAAAAACTTTAATTAATTAAAAATGTGGAATTTTAATTTTTCAAAATTTTAATTGATTTCAATTTAAATTTACCAAAATATATTTATCAATTTATATATTCATTTTTCAAATTTATCCGAATTTAACATTAATCCAAATTTTATTTTATTTATTATTATTTTATTTTATTTTTTCAAATTTCAATATAAGTTTCATTTTTTTCTTATTATTCGAATTTAAAATTTGTCCAAATTTCAATTTATTTATAATTAAAATTTGTCCAAATTTCAAATTATTCGAATTTAAAATTTGTCCAAATTTCAATTTATTTATATTTAAAATTTGTCCAAATTTCAATTTATTTATAATTAAAATTTGTCCAAATTTCAATTTATTCGAATTTAAAATTTGTCCAAATTTCGATTTATTCGAATTTAAAATTTGTCCAAATTTCAATTTATTCGAATTTAAAATTTGTCCAAATTTCAATTTATTCGAATTTATTTATTTATTTAGAAAACATATACGGGCAAGCCCTTTTAATTAATACAGGTAATTTAAAATTTTTTTGTCAACAGTGCTTTTACAAACTAATTTATTTTTAAGATTAAATTTACAATTTGTCCAAATTTCAATTTATTCGAATTTACAATTTGTCCAAATTTCAATTTATTTATATTTAAAATTTGTCCAAATTTTAATTGATTTATATTTAATATTTGTCCAAATATCAATTTATTTATATTTAAAATTTGTCCAAATTTCAATTGATTTAAATATTTTCAAAATACCTACTTTTCAAATTTTAATTTTTCCGAATTTTTAATTTGACTTTAATTTAATATATTATTCAAATTTAAATAAGATTTATCAAAATTTAAATTTAATTTAAGTCAATTTAAATTTTTAAACATATTTTGAATGAAAAGAATTTTTGACAAATTGCGAAATTTTAATAATTTTTGAAACTTCAATTAATATTGAAAATGTAGATAAATAAAAAATTTCTAATAATTTTTTTTAACTTTAAATTAAAAATTAAAATTTTTGACAAATTTGAAATTCGAATAATATGAAATTTTGAAAATTTTAAACAAATTGAAATTCGGAAAATTTGGAAATTTTAAATCAATTAAAATTCTAATAATTTTTAACTTTAAATTAAAAATTAAAATTTTGGACAAATTTTAAATTCGAATAAATTGAAATTTGGACAAATTTTAAATATAAATCAATTAAAATTTGGACAAATTTTAAGTATAAACAAATTGAAATTTGTGAAAATTTGGAAATTTTAAATCAATTAAAATTTTAATAATTTTTAACTTTAAATTAAAAATTAAAATTTTGGACAAATTTTAAATTCGAATAAATTGAAATTTGGACAAATTTTAAATATAAATCAATTAAAATTTGGAAAAATTTTAAATATAAACAAATTGAAATTTGGAAAATTTGGAGATTTTAAATCAATTAAAATTCTACTAATTTTTAACTTTAAATTAAAAATTAAAATTTTTGATTAATTTTAAATTCAAATAATTTGAAACTTGAAAATTTTTTCAACGAATTGAAATTTAAAATTTTAAATCAATTAAAAATTTCAATAATTTAAAACTTAAATCGTCTAATTTTTAGTTAGATTGAAAATTTTGCTAATTTTTAACTTTCGTTCAATTTAATTTGCATTTTATAAAAATTTTAATATAATTTAATTTTTCATCAAATAAAAATTAAAAAATAATTGAAAATTGAATAAATTGACAAGTAAAATTTTTTTATTAAATTGAAATTTAGTTCGATTAAAAAATTGTTATTGTAAATAAAATGTAATTAAATTGTAATTTTGGAATTATGAATTAAATTTTTAAACAGATTCAAAGGATAAATTATTGAATTTTGTGAATTGTAAAAAAATTTAATTGAAATTTCTAAATTAAATCAATTTATTTTTGAACGAATAAAAATTAGAATTCATTGAAATTTGTAAATTAATTAATTAATATTATTATTTATTAATTAAGCTTCAGCCTTTCGGCCCAGAAGTAGACTTGGTTTAATACAAAATAATTAATTAATTAATTAATTAATAATAATAATAATAATAATAATAATAATTGGGTATTATTAAAAAAAAGGTAAAATTAATAATTTAGGATCCAAAAGAATTGGAAAAGAGTATTTTTTCAATGGCAGCAACATTATTGGCATGTGGTGTTGATCCTGAAAAAAGTATATTATTCCAACAATCAACAGTTCCATTGCACACGGAATTAAGTTGGATTTTATCATCGATTACAACAATGGCAAAACTCAGTCGTTTACCACAATTTAAAGAGAAAAGTAAAACAATTAAAGAAATACCCGTTGCATTATTTAATTATCCGGTGTTGCAAGCGGCCGATATTTTAATTTACAAGTGAGAAATTTCTATTTTTATTTAATAATATTTAATTAATAAAAATTATTTTTTGCTATTAGTTATACATAGGACAAATTATTTTAAAGAAAATTTTTTTAAAATTTAACAATATTTTAAATTATTTTAGAGCAACACACGTTCCAGTTGGTGAAGATCAAATTCAACATTTACAATTAGCTCAAGATTTATCGAGGTTATTTAATCAAAAATTCGGCGATACTTTCCCGGTTCCACAAACAATTATAAATGGTATTTTTTATATTAGAATTAATTATAATATTAATTAAAATATTTTGATTTTGATTAATTAAAATACTTTAATTATGATTAATTAAAATATTTTGATTTTGCTTAATTAAAATACTTTAATTTTGATTTTTGATTAATTAAAATATTTTAATTGAATTTATTTTCTTATTTTAATAAATTTTATTAATTTTTCTTTTTTTTTTTTTTTATTTTAAGACGACGCTAAACGTATAAAATCTCTACGTGATCCAACAAGTAAAATGTCAAAATCTTGCCCTGATTCAAAAAGTCGATTGGACTTAATTGACAGTCCAGATATTTTATTAAATAAAATAAAAAAGTCAATAACTGATTTTACATCGCAAGTGACATATGATCCAGATAATCGTCCGGGAGTTGCAAATTTAATAAAAATTCATTCATTAATCACGGGAAAATCATTTGAAGAAATTTGCAACGAAGCAGAAGGAATCGATACTGGAAGGTATTTTTTTTTCTTCAATTTTTTTAATTCAATTTTTAAAAAATTCTCTTTAAATTATTAAATTTGAATTTATAATTTATTGCAATTAAAAATTATTTTAATTTCATAAAATTCTCTTTCACTTATTGAATTTGAATTCAATTATTGAAATTATTAAAATTATTAATTGAAATTATTTTAATTTTTTTTTTCTTTAAATTCTCTTGAATTAAATATAAAATTTGAATTTTATTCATTTAAATTGAAATCATTTTAATTTCGTAAAATTCTCTAATAAATTTTGTTAATATGGAAAAATTATTTTTTTTTTTTCACAGATATAAATTAATGCTCGCCGATGTTATAATTGAGAAATTAAATCCAATTAGAGAAAAAATTCAACAATTAAATGCCGAACCACAATATATTGAAGAAATATTACGTGCCGGTGCAGAAAAAGCATCGTCAATTGCAATTCCAAATTTTTACGATGTACGACAAAAAATTGGATTTAGCAATAAATTCAAATTTCAAATGATTTATTTTTAAATGATAATTTTTAGTTTAAAAAAAAAATGTATATATTTTTAATATAATAATAATAATAATAATAATAATGATAATAAAAAAATATAAATAATATAATATATTGATAACGAAAAACTTATCTCATGTCGATAACTAATTTTCCTCGAAGATGTCCTTGTGCTGCACGTTCATAGGCCCGAGGTAATTCTTGAAATGGATAAACCTTCTTCACAACGGAAATAAGCTGCAATGTTTTTTGTTTTTTTAATTTAAAAATTCAAAAAAAAAAAAAATAGAGAAATAGAATAGTAAAAAGAAATGAAAAGCATAAAATAAAGTAAATTATAAATTATAATAATTGAATTTGAAATTTTCTATTATAAACTATTTACCTGGCCGTTTTCAACGAATTTTTGAATTGCATCGAGTCCAGATTTACAAGGTGTAAAAAATCCCCATTTAACAAATCCTTTATTATCCTGCGATGGAATATTGTATTTAACAAAATCGCCAACATTTTTAACAGTACCGGCAATAAATCCACGTTCATCGATATTTTTCAACAATGGAGAATTTAATGTTATATAAGTATAATGTGGATATCCTTTCGCTTTTACTGCACCCGGTCCTTGATTTGCACAATCGAGAATAATGTCATAACTAAAAAAAATACAAAATTATATTTTATTTTTTAATTTTTCACTCAAAATTACTAAAAACGGATCATCTAAAATTTAATTTTCTTTACTCTCTTTCTTTTGTTTACTCCAACTGTGATTGAGAGATAATTTTTTGAAAATATTTAACAAAAATAATTTTAAAAAAATAATAATTAAAAATAAAATTAAAATAATTTTAAATAAAAAATAAATATTATTATTATTAAATAAAAAAATGTTTTTTCTCCAAATTTGACAAAATTAATATATAAATTCCTCTATGAGGAAGGAAAATTAATTTTATTAGAACTGTTTTTTTTTTTTTTTTTTTTTTTTTTAATTTTTTTAATTAAACTCACGGTCCTTCGCAAATAATTTTTTCGTCAGCATTATTTTCTTTATAATCAATAACAACATCGGCTCCCAATTTTTCTAAAACATTCACCGCATCACTGCTGCAAGTTGTTATCACCTTTTTTTTTTTTTGTAATTAAAAAAAAAGAGATTATTTAATTTTTCACTTAGAATTAAATTTTGAAATTCTTCTTTCAAAATTAAAATAAATAATTAATACATTTTTTTTTTTTTTTGAAAATTAATGTAATTAAATAATTATTAATTATACTTTTTTTTGGAAGTATTATTATTTTTTTTTTTTTTGAAGCTAATTTTTTTTTTTTTATACTAACGTGCATATTCCAAATTTTCAACATTTGAATCGCTAATGTTCCAACACCTCCAGCGCCTCCAATAACCAATACTCTTTTATTTCGTCGAGTGGCAATTCCCGTTTTATAATATAAACCACCGGAAAACCAAAGTGCCGACCATGCGGTTAATCCCGCATAAGGAATACTTGCTGCTTCAATGTAGGAAATATTTTGCGGCCTAAGATTAACCTGAACATATATAATAATAATTATTATTTACTGTACTTACTGTAAAATTTAATTAAATTCAAAAAAAAAAAATTCTTTTTTATCATTGTTGCCACAAGAATGAATTCTTCAATTTTCCAGATAGAAAAAAATTTTCCCTAAACTTGTTTGCCAAAAAAGTATATTTTTATTTATAAAATAAACTTTATTTTTTATTTATTTATTTTTTTTTTTGAGAAAAAATTGCAATAAAACAAAAAGCAAAAGAAAAGGGGCCACATGATTATCCCATAAAAAATTTCTCTTACCAAAGAAGAATTGGCGACAACATATTCGGCGTGACATCCCTGTTGTTCAACGGGAATAACACCCCAAACTTCATCACCCAATTGTAAACGTTCTCCAACTCCATGACCTTTTGATACAATTGTTCCTGAAAAATCTCTGCCCAAAGTCAATGGAAATTCAATATCGGACTCAATTTCAAAATTTTTTGCTTTTCGCATCAAATTTAATACTTTCGATCCATAGCCTTCTGAAATTTATTTTTTTTTTTAAATATTTTAATTATAAAATAATTTTTTTTACATAATAATAAAAATAATAATAATAAATTTAAACTTCGGTAAAGTTCACAACATTTACGATCAATGATTTATTTATTTTTTTCATTTGAAATGTAGGGAATTTGGAAGAAAAAATAATTTTTTATAAAAATATTTTTATTTATTTAAGAATTTACGAAACATTTAATAAAGAAAAAAAAAAAAAGAAAAGTATCTATATAAATTTAAACGCTAAACGTATGTAAATTTAATAAATTCTTGTCGGAAAGAAATTTTATGCAAACGTTACTTATTTTATTTTTTTTTTTATTTGTAAAATTTAATTTGTAAATGACAAATTTCAAAGCAACAAAATTTTATTATTGTCTGCGTAAAAAAATAAATTTTTGATTTTTAATCGTTATTCACACAAACATAAAATTAACCGATGTAAATTTAAATAAATTAACATAATTAATAATAATACAAAAAAAAAAAAGAAAATACTAATGGAGATTTAATTTTTATACCAATTCCATATTTTAAATATTTAATGTTCTCCAAGTTCTGAACGTTCAAATAAAGAACATTTTTTTTATTTTTAACTGCTTCTTTAAACTCAATTAATTGAATTAAAAATTTTTTAAAGGAAAAAAGTTTTTAGATAATTGAAATTTCAAAGAATATTATAATAAAACTCATTAAAAATAATTGAAATTTTTGAAAATAATTAAATTTTAATTGATTTCAAATTGAATTTTTTGAAAATAATTGAACGATTTATTAGAAATTACAAACAAAAATTAAACATGAAATTTTTTTAAATTGCAAAATGCTTTCAGATAATTGAATTTTCAAAGTATTTTGAAAATATTTAAATTTTAAACAATTTTGAAATGAAATTTTGGAAAAGAATTGAATTTTAGTTGATTTTGGATTAAAATTTTTGAAAATAATTGACTTTCTATTGAAATTTTGGAAAAGAATTGAATTTTACTTGATTTTAAATTGAAATTTTTGAAAATAATTGATTTTTAATTAATTCATAATTAAAAATTTTTAAAATAATTAAATTTTAATTAATTTGGAATTTTAAATTGCGGAAAATAATTTTATTTTATGTGATTTTGAATTGTAATTTTGGAAAATAATTGAATTTCAATTGAACTTTTGGAGAATAATTAAATTTTAGTTGATTTTGAATTATAATTATGGAAAATAATTGAATTTTAGTTGATTTGAATTTGAAAATATTGAAAATAATTTTCAAAGAATATTATAAAAATCATTTTAAAAAAATTTTAATTTTGTTTTCAAATAATTAAATTTCAAGTGATTTCGAATTAAAAAAATTTTTGGTCATTTTATTTGCTAATTTTTTTTTTTTTTTTTATTATAAAAAATTATTAAATTTTATAAGAATTTAAATTTGAAAATTAATTTAAGATAATAATTTGAATTGAAATTATAAATTTTCATAAAAATTTTAGATGGAAAATTTTAAAAATAATTAAATTTTAGAAGCAATTAATTTGAAATATTGGAAAAAAATTAAATTTTAGTTATTTTGAATTAAAAATTTTAAAAATAATTGAATTGCAATGAAATTTCAATTGAAAATTCGTAAAATAATTGAATTTTAGTTTATTTTGGTTTGAAAATAATTGAATTGTAGTTGATTTGAAATTTAAAAAAAAAATAATTGAAGTATTTATTTGAAAATTGAAGACAGAAATTGAAATTAAAATTTTTTTTTCATTTCAAATTGCTTTCAGATAATTGAATTTCCGAAGAATATTATAAAAATCATTCAAAATAATTGAATTTCATGAGAGAGAGAGAGAGTTATAATTGAAATTATTAAATTTTGAAAACAAATTTAAGATTAGTTGATTTTGTATTGAAATTTGGGAAAATAATTGAATTTTGATTGATTTTGTTATTGAAATTTGGGAAAATAATTGAATTGTCGTTGAATTTGAACTTTTTTTTTGAAAATAATTGAATTGTAGTTGATTTGAAGTTTTAATAAAAAATAATTGAATTATTTATTTAAAAATTGCAGACAAAAATTGATATTAAAATTTTTTTAAATTGCAAATTGCTTTCAGATAATTGAATTTCCCAAGAATATTATAAAAATCATTCAAAATAATTGAATTTCATGAAAAAGAGAGTTATAATTGAAATTATTAAATTTTGAAAACAAATTTAAGATGAAAATTTTTTTGAAATAATTAAATTTTAAAAGTTTATAAATGGAAATTTTTTGAAAAAATTATTAAATTTCAAGTGATTTTGAATTGAAATTTTTTTGGTAATTTTATTTGCTAATTTTTTTTTTTAAATTATAAACAATTATTAAATTTCATAAAAAAAATAATTGAATTTCAATTGAAATTTTGGAAAAGAATTAAATTTTACTTGATTTTAAATTGAAATTTTTAAAAAATAATTGAATTTTAATTAATTCAGAATTTGAAATTTTTGAAAATAATTGAATTTCAATTGAACTTTTGGAGAATAATTAAATTTTAGTTGATTTTGAATTATAATCATGGAAAATAATTGAATTTTAGTTGATTTTGAATTGAAAATTTTGAAAATAATTGACTTTCAATTGAAATTTTGGAAAATAATTGAATTTTAGTTGATTTTGGATTGAAATTTGGGAAAATAATTGAATTGTCGTTGAAGTTGAATTGCATTTTTTGAAAATAATTGAATTTTATTTTATTAGAAATTTAATAAAAAAATAATTGAATTATTTCTTTAAAAATTGCAGACAAAAATTGAAATTAAATTTTTTTTTAATTGCAAATTGCTTTGAGATAATTGAATTTCCGAAGAATATTATAAAAATCATTCAAAATAATTGAATTTCATGAGAGAGAGAGAGAGAGAGAGACAGTTATAATTGAAATTATTAAATTTTGAAAACAAATTTAAGATGAAAAATTTTTTAAAATAATTGAATTTGTAAAAAAAATTTCATTTTAAATTATAAAAAAATAATTAATTTAGTGACGAATTTTAGTTAAAAAAATTTTGTTAAATAATTGAAATAAAGAAGATCTGCATTGTGTACTAAAAAAAAGGTATTTTATTTAAAAATTTTGTTAAAAAAAATATTTTAAAAAGTCGAGAGAGTTGCATTTTATTAAAATAAATCGAAAAAAGTCGTATTTTTGAAAATATTTCGGAAAAAATCGAAAAACTCGTAAAATACGAGGCCTGACATATAAATCAAAAAAAAAAAAATAAATAATAATAATAATAATAACAATAACTAATAAATAATAATATTAATAATAATTAATAAATGGTAATAATTATAAACGCTTTCGTAATTATAATAACTAATAAATAATAATAATAATTAATAAATAGTAATAATAAATAAATGGTGGTAATAATAATAATAATAATAATAATAATAACTAATAAATAATTTTATATAACTTACTGGTTAAAGCCAAATCAAAAGGATTAACACTAGAAGCATCGACCTTAACAAGAACATCGTTAGGTCTTGAAATAACCGGCATTCTTGTTGTAAATAATTTCACTTCATCAATGCCTCCATAGCAATGAATTTGCCATGCTTGCATTTTATCATCCAATTTTTCTTTATGTTTTGTTGCAACTTTACTCAAAAATCGAAATTGACCACAACAAACCGGTCTAAACATTGCCAAACTTTTCTTTAACATTTTTTTTTTTTTATTCTTTTCCTTTTTTTTAAAGTAATTAACTTTTTCCCCTTATTAAACGATTTTCCCGTTAACCAAAAATTTAATAAATTACATTTATTCTTTTCTTTTTAAGAAACAAAAGAATTTTAAAATATTGACCGTGACCGAAGCGCGGGGGCAAATGTCAAATTTCGAGGTTATGTTTTTGTTTTGGAGTTTATACGTTGCAGACGACTTTGAATTTTTCGCGCGGCTTATTTGAATTGAAATTTTATTTTTCACAAAAAACAAAAATAAATAAAATATATTAATTTATAAACAAATGTAAAAAAATTGAATAAAAAATCAAAATTATATATATATATATATATATTTTAAACGATAATAAAAAGAAATTATATTTCAATTTTTCAAAATAATAATTTGTGTATTAGAAAAATTTTTGTTTTTATCTTTCAATTCTTTTTCTGCAAAATAAGTTGAATCCCAAATAATAATTCCAATCATAATTAAAAATAACAATAGTGATCCAGTTTTTTTTAACATTGACATTATTATTTTTGTTTTTTTATCTGCAAATATAGAAAAAGACAATAGAATATTTTTATATAATTCAATACCTATTGAATAAAAAAGTAAATAAAAAGTAAAATAAATATAAAAACAGAAAGGTAAAAGATAATTAGAATAAAAAAAAAAAAATATTTACTAATTCAAATTTCGTTACGCCATGTTCGAACAAAAAAAGAAGCCTTCAAGGCACATTTACAATATTGCAAATGTTGCATTAATTCGCACACAAGTATATTTTCACTAAAAATTACTATCAAAATAAATAAATAGAATGCAAAGAAAGAAAGAGAAAAAAGTTACTTGTTTTATTCGCAATGATTGATGTCAATTAATAATTCCACTCTGGCTTGAATTGGTGAGTGAATTCAAGTAAACAAATATTTTCCACATAACCTCACTTTTTAAGAAATGTCACTTTGACGCGCATGTAAATGCGTTTTTTTTTCTAAATCTAATATTATTTATAAAATATTAATAATTATTTATAAGTTTTTAAATATATTTAAGTTATAATTATATAAGTTGCAAAAAAAATCGAACTATTTTAAATATACAGCAAACAGGTGTGTTTCTCAAATTGGAAAGCAATTTTATAAATGGATTGAAAAAAAAACAAACAAAAAAATGAAAATGAAATGCACATATTGTCAAAATCAAAAATTGTGTTAATTAAATTACTTGGATTTGAAAAAGCATGCCAATTTGGACAAGTTTAATCAGGCTTCTAAGAAGGCGAATTGTGCTTGGCCTGATTTTTGGTTTATCACTTACTTATTGCGCTGTTTCTCTTCTTCGTCAAGAAGTGAGCATAATTTTTTTTGCAATAATTTTCGTTTTTGTTTTATATATTTTTAGATTTTTTGATTTTCATAAAAGGTTAGCCACAAGTGAGAGAAATTTTTTTTTTTTTTTTTTTTTTGTCCGAGACAATTAAGCAGGCCTCGAATTATATGACGATTTTTTTTTTCAACAATACGACTTTTTCGATTTATTTTAAGAAAATGCGATTTTTTTTTATTATTTTTTAAACAAAATACGTTTTTTTTTTAGTATAAAATGCAGATATTCTTTTCAGATATTTTTTTATTTCAATTATTTAACAAAAAATTCGTCACTAAATTAATTATTTTTTTTTTAATAATTTCAAATGAAATTTTTTTTACAAATTCAATTATTTTAAACTATTTTTTTAATTCAAATTTTTATGAAATTTAATAATTGTTTATAATTAAAAAAAAATTAGTAAATAAAATTATCAAAAAAATTTTTAATTCAAAATCACTTGAAATTTAAATTATTTTCTCAAAAAAAATTTCCATTTATAAACTTTTAAATTTTTAATTATTTCAAAAAAATTGTTCATCTTAAATTTGTTTTCAAAATTTAATAATTTCAATTATAACTCTCATGAAATTCAATTATTTTGAATGATTTTTATATTATTCTTCGGAAATTCAATTATCTAAAAGCAATTTGCAATTAAAAAAAAATTTAATTTCAATTTTTGTCTGCAATTTTTAAAGAAATAATTCAATTATTTTTTTATTAAATTTCTAATAAAATAAAATTCAATTATTTTCAAAAAATACAATTCAAATTCAACGACAATTCAATTATTTTCCCAAATTTCAATACAAAATCAATCAAAATTCAATTATTTTCCCAAATTTCAATACAAAATCAACTAAAAATTTTAATCTTTTACAAAATTTCAGTTGAAATTCAATTATTTTCAACATTTTCAATTCAAAATCAACTAAAATTCAATTTCTTTCAAAAATTTCAACTTAATTACTTCTAAAATGTAATTATTTATAAAATTTTCCATATCTAAAATTTTTATGAAATTTAATAATTTTAATTAAAAAAAAAAGTATTAGAAATTCAATAATTACAAAAAATTTCAATTAAAAAAAAACTAAATTTCAATTATTTTTCAAAATTTCAATTGAAATTCAATTATTTTCAAACCAAAATAAATAAAAATTCAATTATTTTACGAATTTTAAATTGAAATTTCATGGCAATTAAATTATTTTCAAAATTTTCAATTTAAAATCAATTATTTTTTAAATTTTCAATTCAAAATCAATAATTTTCAAAATTTTCAATTCATAATCAACTAAAATTCAATTTTTTTCAAAAATTTCAACTTAATTACTTCTAAAATGTAATTATTTATAAAATTTTCCATATCTAAAATTTTTATGAAATTTAATAATTTTAATTAAAAAAAAAAAAAAAAAAAAATTAGAAATTAAATTATTATAAAAAATTTAGATTCAAAATTATATAAAATTTAATTATTTTCCCAAATTTCAATTAAAATTTAATTATTTAGAAAATTTTTAATTCAAAATAAACTAAAATTTAATTATTTTCGAAAAATTCAATTCCAAATCAATTAAAATTCAATTATTTTCCAAAATTTCAATTGAACTTCAATTCCAATTCAATTATTTAAAAAAATTTTAATTCAAAATCATCTAAAATTCATTTATTTTCCCAAATTTCAATTTCAAATCAATTACTTATAAAATTTTAATTCAAAATCAACTAAAAATTTAATTCTTTTACAAAATTTTAATTAAAATTCAATTATTTTCAAAAATTTTAATTCAAAATCAAATAAAATTTAATTACTTTAAAATATTTCAATTAAAATTTAATTATTCAAAAAAATTTTAATTCAAAATCAACTAAAATTTAATTTTTTCAAAAATTTCAAGTTAAATGCATCTAAAATTTAATTATTTCTTAATTTTTCCAACTAAAAGTTTTATGAAATTTAATAATTTCAATTAAAAAAAAAAAAAATTGAAATTCAATTATTTTCTATTATTTTCAAACCAAAATAAACTAAAATTCAATTATTTAACGAATTTTCAATTGAAATTTCATTGCAATTCAATTATTTTCAAAATTTTCAATTTAAAATCAATTATTTTAAAAATTTTCAATTCATAATCAATTAAAATTCGATTTTTTTTAAAAATTTCAATTGAAATGCTTCTAAAATTTAATTATTTCTAAAAAATTTTTATCTAAAATTTTTTTAAAATTTTATAATTTCAATTATAACTTTTTCTTCTGAAATTCAATTATTTTTAATGATTTTTTGTTTATAATATTCTTCGAAAATTCCACTATCTGAAACCATTTTTCGCTGAAAATTTTTTTTAAATTATTGTATTTTTTCTGCAATTTCTAATAAAATTTTTTATGTAAAATCATTTTAAAAAATTTTAATTTAAAAATCACTTAATGTTCAATTAATTTCAAAAATAAAAATTGTAAAATCTTTGAAAATTCAATTACTTTTAAAAAAATGTTATCTAAAATTATAATTATAAATTATTTTTAGTTTTGTAAAATTTAATTATTGTCTGAAAATTAACAAAAATCTTTTGAAATTCAATTATTTCTAAAAATTTCAATTTTAACTCTTTCAAAATTATTATTATTTAAAAAAAATTTTTTTTTATTTAAAAATCCATAAAACTTGATTAAGTATTGCCTGATTTTTTTTTTTACCATCAAAACTAAAAACTGTAACAAAATTTTTAATTCTAAATTGCTTAAATCAAACTTGAAAAAATAATAAAAATGGAACTTTAAGAATTTTTTCTTAGAAATTTATCCTATTTAAATTAAATTAAAATAATATTCATTAGAGAATTATTCTCATTATAGAATTAATAAAATGAATTTAATATCTATTAACATTAGTTATTTAAAGTAAAATATTTATTAACCAATTAAATTTTGTTAAAATAAAAAAAAATCGACTTTTTCGTATTATAAATCGACTAAAACGATATTTTTTGTGCCTTAAAGTCGATCCGATGTCTAAATAAGGGAAAAACTATTTTTTATCAGGGAAATTTTTTAAATTTCTAAAATTCTTTAAAATTGAAAAATTTATTCTTGTGGCAATCCTATAAATATCAAAAAAAAAATTGATTTAATATTTATTAATATTTCTTGATACTTTTTTTTATTAATTTTTGAATATTTTTTATTAAATATTTTCCGTTATTTATGATTATTAATTTTTTTTCAATTAGGGAAAGAGTATATCATTCGAAAATGATTTTGAAGATATTGATGATAATACATTCCTTAATGAAAATGAGGACAATAGCGATGAACAAGTTTCAATGAAATCATCACTTTGGGAAATGGATGTTTTAGATGATAATATTGTTGATTCATTGGAACCAATTGGTGGTCAAGAAAATAATAATGATTCATCTATTCATTGTCGCAATTCTATTCAGGTATTAAAAATTCTTTTTTTTGAAAATTATTTTATAGTTTTTTCTTTTTTTTCTCTCTCTTTTTTTTATTACTAATAATTTTTTTTCATTACTATAATGTTTTAATTATTTATTTTTTGAATTTTAAATTTATTTCTTTTTAATAAATAATTTATTTTTATAATTAAATAAATTTTTCTTTTTAATAAATAATTTATTTTTAATTATAAATAAATTTTTCTTTTTAATAAATAATTTATTTTTAATTATAAATAAATTTTTCTTTTTAATAAATAATTTAAGTTTTAATTAAATTATTTCTTTTTTGAATTGAATTTTTAAAAAAAATTTGTTCAATTCAATTAGAAGTGGAAAGTTTTTTTGTAATATTAATTAATATTTTTTTTTTCTTCTTCTTTTTAGGGGAAAGTTTTAATTGTTGATGAAAAGGGTTACGTTTGTTTACGAAGAGATATTTTGGCTAGTGGCTGTTGCAATCCAGAATTACCAAAGAATTCACAGGATGATCAATTAGCGATTTCAAAAAAAAGGGAAAAATTCAGTTGCGAGACATGCAATTCACAGGGATGTTGCGCTATTTACGAATATTGCGTTTCCTGTTGTCTACATCCTGGAAAAGTAAATAAATCATTTTTTTATAATACTAAAAACTTAATTAACAAATTATTATTATTATTATTATTTATCACTCTATAATAATAATAATTAATAATAATTATATAATAATAAAATGCTTGGTCTGTCCTTCTGTGCTAACTTGAAGTTGGCCTTTTCTGATTTCACGTGTTTTTTTGAATAGTAATCTTATGAGGTGTCAAATTTGGACAATTCTTTTTCTCATTTTTGGTCAAAGTTGTCTATTTGTGTTTCCAAATTTCGGAATAAGTTTCTTTAAAATTCCAAATTCGAAAATTCAATTCACGAAGCTGAAGTACATAACGTTTATCAACGAAATTTTTTTTAAAGTTGTATATTGATTCAAAAATTGTATACAAATACAAAAAATTTATGATGAGAAAAAAGATGCGCCAAGAAATTTCGTACAAGATAGTAATTTGAAAAAAATTTATTTTTAAAAATTAATTTTTAAGTTACCAGGGGCCAACGAATATCTATTAAATATTAATTATAAAAACACAGGCCTCGAATCAACTTAAAGACACAAAAAAGTCGTTTTAGTCGATTTATATTCCAAAAAAAAGTGGATTTGTTTTTTATTTTAACAAAAATATTTTACAGATTTTTAAATAAAAATTTCTTTTTTTTAATAATAATCATTTTCGAAGGGTTAAAGTTGAAATTTTTAGAAATAATTAAATTTCAAAAGATATTATTAATTTTCAAACAATTATTAAATTTTACAGAACTAAAAATAATTTATCATACAATTTTTGGAAAACAATTTTTAAATTTAATTGAATTTTTTCAAAGATTTAAAATTGAAATTTTTGAAATTAATTGAAACTTTAAGTGTTTTGTAATTAAAATTTTAGATGATTTCACTAAAAATTTATTAGAAAATGCGGACAAAATATAATAATTTGAAAATCATTTTTAATTGAAAAATGGTTTCAGATAGTTGAATTTTCAAAGAATATTATTAAAATAGTTAAAAATAATTGAATTTGAGTTATAATTGAAATTATTAAATTTAAAAAAAAAAAAATTTCGATGGAAAATTATAGAAATAATTAAATTTTAGATGCTTTTAAATTCAAATTATTGGAAATTCAATTAATTTTGAATTCAAACTTTTTGAGAATAATGAAATTTAATTTTCATTTTAAAATTGGAAAATAATTGAATTTTAGTTCATTTTGAATTGAAAATTTTTGGGAAATAATTGAATTTTACTTGAAATTTTGGATAATAATTTAATTTAAGTTCATTTTTAATTGAAAATTTGGATAATTAATTTTGAATAGAAATTTTAGAAAATAATTGAATTTTATTTGATTTTGGATTGAAAAATTTGAAAATAATTGAATTGTCGTTGAATTTGAATTGTATTTTTTTGAAAATAATTGAATTGTAGTTGATTTGAAATTAAAAAAAATAATTGAAGTAGTTATTTAAAAATTGTAGACAGAAATTTAAATTAAATTTTTTTTTTCATTGCAAATTGCTTTCAGATAATTGAATTTCCGAAGAATATTATAAAAATCATTCACCTAATTGAATTTCATGAGAGAGAGTTATAATTGTAATTATTAAATTTTGAAAACAAATTTAAGATGAAAATTTTTTTTAAATAATTAAATTTTAAAAGTTTATAAATGGAAATTGTAGACAGAAATTGAAATTAAATTTTTTTTGTTCATTCAAAATTGCTTTCAGATAGTTGAATTTTCAAAGAATATTATTAAAATAATGAAAAATAATTGAATTTCATTAGAGTTATAATTGAAATTATTAAATTTCAAAAAAAAAATTTCGATGGAAAATTTTAGAAATAATTAAATTTTAGATGCTTTTAAATTCAAATTTTTGAAAATAATTGAATTTTCTTTGATGTTGAATAGAAATTTTGGGAAATAATTGAATTTTAATTGAAAATTTTGATAATAATTGAATAATTATTGAATTTTAATTGATTTTGAATTGAAGTTTTGGGTAATAATTAAATTTTATTTAATTTTAAATTGAAAATTTGGAAAATAATTGAATTTTAAAAGATTTTGAATTGAAATTTTGAAAAATAATTGAATTATAATTGAAATTTTTGATAATAATTCAATTTTAGTTGATTTTGAATTATAATTATGGAAAATAATTGAATTTTATTTGATTTTAAATTAAAGATTTGGAAAATAATTGAATTTTAAAAGAATTTGAATTGAAATTTTTGATAATAATTCAATTTTAGTTGATTTTTGATTCAATATTTTGATAATATTTGAATAATTGAATAATTATTGAATTTTAATTGATTTCGAATTGAAATTTTGGGTAATAATTGAATTTTATTTCATTTTAAATTGAAAACTTGGTAAATAATAAAATTTTAAATTGAAAATTTTTGATAATTATTGGATTTTTAATTGATTTTGAATTAAAATTTCGGGTAATAATTGAATTTTAGTTTATTTTCAATTGCAATTTTTAAAAAATAATTCAATTTTATTGTGATATTTTTTTTGTTTTAAATTATAAACAATTGTTAAATTTCATGTAAATTTTAATTGAAAAAATAATTTTGATATATAATTGAATTTGTGATGTATTTCATTAAAATTATTAAAAATAATTAATTTAGTGAAGAATCATTTTAGTTGAAAATTTGTTTAATAATTGAATTGAAGAAGATCTGAAGAAGATCTACATTTTATACTAAAAAAAATGTATTTTATTTACATTTTTTTTTCAAGTGTAAAAAAAAAATTTCGCATTTTATTAAAAGAAGTCGATAAAAGTCGTATTTTTGAAAAAAGTCGGAAAAAGTCGTATAATCCGAGGCCTGTATATAATTTTCATTATTATCATTTAATATGTAATAATATTCTAATAAATTAAATTATTATTGATAATATTCATCTTTAATTTCTTTATAACAAACAATTAAATAATCAATTTGGCGCGCTTGCGCGCGTTTAATTTTTCTAGTTGTAATAATAATATTGTTGTTATTATTATTTTTAGTTTCCTTTATTTTGATACCAAAATGGAAATGAAATACTTTGTTTTTTTTTTGTTAATTTTTTTTTTTTTTTATTTCTCTTTTCTAAGTTGATGTGTTTTTATTTATGTTTCAGCATCGTGTAAAGAGTAAAAAATCATCTGATAATCGTGAAATAAAAGCACAGAGAGGCGAGGATGTATTAAAAAATCGTCTTCGTGGATTAGATCGTTTTCAATTTTGTCTTGCTGCATGTCGTACATCAAGCGCAAGTGTTCGCCATGAAAATACTTATAAAAATCCACATTCTAAACATTGTTATAATCCATATACTTTAAATTCACATCGTCGTTCACAAAGAGATTTGGAGTCGATTAATAGTAATAATAACAACGTTTTTACATCTTCTTCTGACTAAAAAAAAAATTTTACCTAAATATATATTGAATCCACTTTTTTTTTTTTCACTGACGGAGAAAGAGAGAAAGAGAGAGAAATTTTTTTTCTCAATTTAATATCGAGAAGAAATATTGTTCAGTAAGTTATTTTTATATTTTTTCTCGTATTTTGATTTTTCTTGTTAATACAAAAGGGAAGAAAAAACAGTTTTTTTTTTTTTTTAAATAAAATATTTGCAATTTTTTTTTTTTATTGCACAAGTGATTATAATTTTTATAATCTGTTATATAAACTATTATAATTATAATCTATTTATATATTAAAATAATATATATATTAATAAATTTATAATTTTCTATTATTTAATATATTATAATTTGAGATTAATTAATATATTATAATTTGCAATTATTTAATATTTTATAATAATTATTTAATAATATTTATTATTTAATATATTAATTACATATATATATTATTTATAGATATGGAATTGTTTTTTTTTATTTTTATTTTTGTGGCAGGAATATAAAATTTTTCTTTCAGTTGTAATTCAGTTTTTTTTTTTTTTTTTAGAGTGAGGATCGTATTCCTCGCACTATATTTGATTTGTAACGCCAAACATCTGTGAAACTAATATCCATACCTGGATATTTACGTTTGGCAACTTCAAGAACTTCGTCTTGTATTTTTTCCTGTATGGTTCCTTTAACCTGAAATTTTATATCAATTTTTGTATATTTAAATGACAATATTTTACAAAAAAAATTTTTTGACGAAAAAAAAATTAATGATTATAAATAATTCAATAATTTAAATAAATAATTATAATAAATTCAAAGAAATATATTTGAAAATAAAAAAAAAGGACAATCAGAAAAAAGAAATAGTAAACATTTTTAAAATTAAAAGTTTATTTATTTATTTATTTTTTTTTTTGAAGTACAAAAATAGTAAAATAAAATAAAAATATGGAAATATCAAAATAAAAATAAAGAAAAATAAAAAATAAAATTTGTCAAAGTAAAATACAAAAATGATGAAAATTAATTAATAAGGAAAAAATTGAGAGAAAAAAAAATAGTAAAAATGAATTAATGTAAAAAAAAATTAACTATAGTAAAAATGAAAAACGAAATACCTCAATATAGTGACAATCACTAGATGCATAGTGGGCAGAAATTGCTTTCCTTGTACCTTTTGAATTATTAACACCAGATCCGTGAATGAGTTTAGGATGAAAGAAAACCGTATCACCAGGATCCATTTTCAGATAAACCCAATTTAAGGGTTCCTTTAAATTCTATTTAAAATAATAAATTAAATTATTTTTATTTTTTTTCCACAAAATCGAATTGAAAATAGAAAAAATTGGAATTCTTTTTGATTTTAGCTTTCAATTTGAAAAAAAAAAAATCTTCAATTAAAGTAATCTAATTATTTTCTAAATTTTTTTTTTTACGTCTCGTTTTTTTAGATGCATTTTTTTTAAAGAGAAATAACCTGAATGCCATGATAAAGTTTATTCACAGATCCAGGAGGATAAACGTGAGGAAGCAATGGATATTTTTTATGAGAACCTGGCAAAACATAAAGACAACCATTTTCAATATTACATTCTTCAATCGCCGTCCAAGCAGCTACAACTTTTTCTTCCGGTCGAAATGGAAAATAATACAAGTCCTGATGTGGTGGATGTCTTAAGAAATAAGTTTTTTTTTAAATTTTTCTAATTTATTCAGTATTTCTTTTTTAATATAGGTAAATTATTTTAAATATTAGAGAAATTATTAATTTTTAATTATTATCCAATAGAAAAAAAATTATAGAATTTTAATTAAAGTGTAGAAATTACAATATAAAAAGTAGAAATTAAAATATAAAAATTACATTTAAATTTAAATTTAAATTCAAATTAATTTAAAATTAAAATTCTAAAATTAAATAAAATTGAAATTTAAAAATTAACAGGCCTCGGATTATACGACTTTTTCGACTTTTTCCGACTTTTTTTTTTTTTTTACAAAATTTTGAAACAAAATATCTTTTTTTTTAGTATAGAAAGTAGATCTTCTTCAAATCTTCTTTATTTCAATTATTTAACTCAAAAATTTAATTATCTAAAAGCATTTTTCAAATAAAAAAAAATTGGAATTTAATTTTTTTATGTGATTTCTGATAAATTTTTCATCAATAGAAATCACTAAAAATTTCTCTTATTATAATTATTGTCTGAAATTTAATACAATCTTTTAAAATTCAATTATTTTATAAAATTTCAATTAAAATTCAATTAAATTCTCAAATTTCAATTGAACTTCAATTCCAATTCAATTATTTTAAAAAATTTCAATTCAAAATTATATAAAATTCAATTATTCATAAAAATTTTAATTCAAATTCAACTAAAATTTAATTCTTTTCAAAAATTTCAATTCAAACTCAACGACAAACAATTATTTTCAAATTTTTCAATCCAAAATCAACCAAAATTCAATTATTTTCCCAAATTTCAATCCAAAATCAACTAAAATTAAATTCTTTTCCAAAATTTTAATTGAAATTCAATTATTTTCAAAAATTTAAATTCAAAATCAACTGAAATTCACATATTTTCAAAAAATTAATTATTTCAAAAATTTTTCATCTAAAATTTATTGAAATTTTAGAATTTAATTATTTTCTAAAATTTAAATTTAAAAACTTCTAAAACTTTCCATCTAAAATTTTTTAAAATCAATTAAAAATTTAATTCTTTTCCAAAATTTTAATTGAAATTCAATTATTTTCCAAAATTTCAATTGAAATTCAATTATTTTAAAAAATTTCAATTCAAAATAAACTAAAATACAAATCTGAAACCATTTTTCACTCAAAAATTTATTTAGAAATTATTTTTTTTTGTCTTCAATTTCTAATAAATTTTTTATTGAAATCATCAAAAATTTTTAATTAAAAATCAAATAAAATTCAATTATTTTAAAAAATTTCAATTAAAATTCAATTACTTTCCAAAATTTAAATTCAAAATTAACTAAAATTTAATTACTTTAAAAAATTTCAATTAAAATTTAATTATTTATAAAACTTTTAATTCAAAATTAACTAAAATTTAATTATTTTCGAAAAATTTCAATTCAATATCAAGTAAAATTCAATTCTTTTCCAAAATTTCAATTGAAATTTAATTATTTATAAAACTTTTAATTCAAAATCAACTAAAATTTAATTATTTTCGAAAAATTTCAATTCAAAATCAACTAAAATTCAATTCTTTTCAAAAATATCAATTGAAATTCAATTATTTTCAATTCAAAATCAACTAAAATGCATTTTTTTCAAAAATTTTAATTCAAAATTAAAGAAAATTCAATTATTTTTAAAAATTTCAATTAAAATTTAATTATTTTCAAAAATTTTAATTCAAAACTAACTAAAATTCAGTTATTTTCCGAAATTTCAATTAAAATTGAATTATTTTCAAAAAATTTTATTTAAAAGCTTCTAAAATTTCTTTCTATTTTTGTCTGCAATTTGTAATAAATTTTTTAGTGAAATCAGCCAAAAATTTTATATTAAAAATCAATTGAAGTTCAATTAATTTCAAAAATATTCTAAATCTTTGAAAATTTAATTACTTTTAAAAAATTTTATCTAAAATTATAATGATAAATTATTTTTAGTTCTGTAAAATTTAATTATTATCTGAAAATTAACAAAAATCTTTTGAAATTCAATTATTTTAAAAAATTTTAATTTTAACTCTTTTAAAATTATTATTATTTAAAAAAAAAAATTTTATTTAAAAATTTGTAAAACTTGATTAAGTATTGCCTGAAATTTTTTTTCACCATCAAAACTAAAAACTATGACAAAATTTTTAATTCGAATAAATTGCTTAAATTAGACTTGAAAAAATTATAAAAATGAAAGTTTAAGATTTTTTTTTATAAATTTATCCTACTTAAATGAAATTTTGAAAATTTATCTTTTAGTTTGATTATGAAATAGAAATAAATTTTCTTGATAATATTCATTAGAGAATTATTCTCATTACAAAATTAATAAAATGAATTTAATATCTATTAACATTAGTTATTTAAAGTAAAATATTTATTAGCCAATTTTAAATTTTGTTAAAATAAAAAAAATCGACTTTTTCGTATTATAAATCGACAAAAAAGACTTCTTTTTTTTTTGTTTTGGAAAATAAATCGACTAAAAAGACTATTATTTTTGTGACTTAAAGTCAATTCGTGGCCTGAAAGTAAAAATTAAAATAATACAAATTGCATTTAAATGTAATTAAAATTAAACTTTTAAATTAATTTCAATTAAAATCAAATTTAAATATTTATTGAATTAATATTTGAGTGAAAATTATATTTTTCCTTTTTTTTTTGTTTGGAAAATTTACCTTGAACTACCAAAACCAATATCAGGTGGTTTGGCAATTAACATTGTGTGCATTGCCATAATATTTGGTCCAGTGAATGATTCAACAATGTCTAAAATATCTTTATGTTCAATATATTCCCTTAGAACATCATCAAAAACAAAATCTTGAATTTTGTTAACTGACTTTCGATCATTAACATCTTTCATTACTACCATTGTTCCCTTTGGTAATTTACCAGAAGCAATTTCTTCAAATCTATACAAAGAAAAAAACCATACAAATAATTTCATTAATAATAATAATAATAATAATAATAATAATAATAATAATAATAATAATTTTTACCTCTCATCACATCTTTTCAAGACATCCATAGGCATTAAACGGGGAAATAAAATAAAACCATTTTCTTCGTAAAAAATTCTCTGACCCAAACTGAGTTTTCCAGTGTCATGTGTCAATGTAAAGGGGATTTTTGACGAATTCATGATTTAAATCTGCAAACACAAAATTTACGTATGTTTTTATTATTATTTTTTAATTTTATTTGTTTATTATTATTATTAGCAAAATTAAACGCACGCAAGCGCGCCAAATTGAGTATTTAATTGTTTGTTATAAAGAAATTAAAGATTAATATTATCAATAATAATTTAATTTATTAGAATATTATTACATATTAAATGATAATAATGAAAATTATATACAGGCCTCGGATTATACGACTTTTTTAGACTTTTTTCAAAAATACGACTTTTATCGACTTATTTTAATAAAATGCGACATTTTTTTTTTACATTTGAAAAAAAATGTAAATAAAATACATTTTTTAGTATAAAATGTAGATCTTAAGATCTTCTTCAATTCAATTATTTAACAAATTTTGAACTAAAATGATTCTTCATTAAATTAATTATTTTTAATAATTTTAATGAAATACATCACAAATTCAATTATATATCAAAATTATTTTTCAAATTAAAATTTTTATGAAATTTAACAATTGTTTATAATTTAAAAAAAAAATATCACAATAAAATTGAATTATTTTTTAAAAATTTCAATTCAAAATAAACTAAAATTCAATTATTATCCGAAATTTTAATTCAAAATCAATTAAAAATCCAATAATTATCCAAAATTTTCAATTTAAAATTTAATTATTTACCAAGTTTTCAATTTAAATTGAAATAAAATTCAATTATTTTCTAAAATTTCTATTTAAAATTAATTATCCAAATTTTCAATCAAAAATAAAATTCAATTAAATTATTATCAAAAATTTCAATTAAAATTCAATTATTTCCAAAAAAAATTTCATTTCAAAATGAACTGAAATTCAATTATTTTCCAAATTTAAAATCAAAATTAAATTTCATTATTCTCAAATATTTGAATTCAAAATTAATTGAATTTTCAATAATTTGAATTTTAAAGCATCTAAAATTTAATTATTTCTAAAATTTTCCATCAAAAATTTTTTTTTTTGAAATTTAATAATTTCAATTATAACTCTAAGGAAATTCAATTATTTTCAACTATTTTAATAATATTCTTTGAAAATTCAACTATCTGAAAGCAATTTGCAATGAAAAAAAAATTTAATTTCAATTTCTGTTTACAATTTTTAAATAAATACTTCAATTATTTTTGTTAATTTCAAATAAAATAAAATTCAATTATTTTCAAAAAATACAATTCAAATTCAACGACAATTCAATTATTTTCAAATTTTTTAATCCAAAATCAAACAAAATTCAATTATTTTCCCAAATTTCAATCCAAAATCAACTAAAATTCAATTAATCTCCAAAATTACAATTCAAAATCAATTAAAATTAAATTATTTTCCGAAATTTAAAATTCCCAAATTAATTAAAATTCAATTATTTTAAAAATTTTTAATTCTGAATTAATTAAAATTCAATTATTTTTCAAAAATTTCAATTTAAAATCAAGTAAAATTCAATTCTTTTCCAAAATTTCAATTGAAATTCAATTATTTTTTTATGAAATTTAATAATTGTTTATAATTAAAAAAAAAAAATTAGCAAATAAAATTACCAAAAAAATTTCAATTCAAAATCACTTGAAATTTAATTATTTTCTCAAAAAATTTCCATTTATAAACTTTTAAAATTTAATTATTTCAAAAAAATTTTCATCTTAAATTTGTTTTCAAAATTTAATAATTTCAATTATAACTCTCTCTCTCTCTCATGAAATTCAATTATTTTGAATGATTTTTATAATATTCTTCGGAAATTCAATTATCTGAAAGCAATTTGCAATGAAAAAAAAATTTTAATTTCAATTTCTGTCTACAATTTTTAAATAAATACTTCAATTATTTTTGTTAATTTCAAATAAAATAAAATTCAATTATATTCAAAAAACACAATTCAAATTCAACGACAATTCAATTATTTTCAAATTTTTCAATCCAAAATCAAATAAAATTCAATTATTTTCTAAAATTTTTATTGAAAATTAATTATCCAAATTTTCAATCAAAAATAAACTTAAATTCAATTATTAACCAAAATTTCAATTAAAATTCAATTATTTCCCAAAATTTTCAATTCAAAATGAACTGCAATTCAATTATTTTCCAAATTTAAAATCAAAATTAAATTTCAATATTCTGAAAAATTTCAATTCAAAATTAATTGAATTGTCAATAATTTGAATTTAAAAGCATCTAAAATTTAATTATTTCTATAATTTTCCATCGAAATTTTTTTTTTTTAAATTTAATAATTTCAATTATAACTCAAATTCAATTATTTTTAACTATTTTAATAATATTCTTTGAAAATTCAACTATCTGAAACCATTTTTCAATTAAAAATGATTTTCAAATTATTATATTTTGTCCGCATTTTCTAATAAATTTTTAGTGAAATCATCTAAAATTTTAATTACAAAACACTTAAAGTTTCAATTAATTTCAAAAATCTCAATTTTTAATCATTGAAAAAATTCAATTAAATTTAAAAAATGTTTTCCAAAAATTGTTTGATAAATTATTTTTAGTTCTGTAAAATTTAATAATTGTTTGAAAATTAATAATATCTTTTGAAATTTAATTATTTCTAAAAATTTCAACTTTATCCCTGCGAAAAGGATTATTATTAAAAAAAAATTTTTTTATTTAAAAATCTGTAAAATATTTTTGTTAAAATAAAAAACAAATTCACTTTTTTTTGGAATATAAATCGACTAAAACGACTTTTTTGTGTCTTTAAGTTGATTCGAGGCTTGTGTTTTTATAATTAATATTTAATAGATATTCGTTGGCCCCTGGTAACTTAAAAATTAATTTTTAAAAATTAATTTTTTTTCAAATTACTATCTTGTACAAAATTTCCTGGCGCATCTTTTTTCTCATCATAAATTTTTTGTATTTGTATACAATTTTTGAATCAATATACAAGTTTAAAAAAAATTTCGTTGGTAAACGTTGTGTACTTCAGCTTCGTGAATTGAATTTTCGAATTTGGAATTTTAAAGAAACTTATTCCTAAATTTGGAAACACAATTATACAACTTTGGCAAAAATGAGAAAAAGAATTGTCAAAAATTTGACACGTCATAAGATTACTATTTAAAAAAACACGTGAAATCAGAAAAGGCCAATTTCAAGTTAGGACAGAAGGACAGACCAAGCATTTTATTATTATATAATAATAATTTTTTTATTATTATTTTTATTACTATAAAAAAATTTGATCGTAAATTTAAAAATTGAATTTTAAAAACAAATGAAAATTATAAATGCCTCGAAAATTGTGAATGGTCAAATTTTTGAATTTTTGCTCTTAAATATTCTGTAAAACGAAATTTCTGTTAAATAATAATAATAATAATAATAATAATAATAATAATAATAATAATAATAATAATAATAATAATAATAATTCAATAAAATAAAAAATACAAAATTCAACTAAAAATAAATTCTAATTAAAGTCTATAAATTAAATTAATTTTGTAGCTTTTCGAATTTTCGTCTCGAATTTTCAAATAATATTAAAATAAATAAAAATTAATAAAAATGCCCAAAAAAATTCAAAAGACATTTTCAAATTAAATAAATAAAAAATAATTAGGTGTATTTTTGCGATTTTTACTAATTTATAAATTTTTGCATGAAACTGAAACTGGCACCCAGTTATCAACTTCAAGTTAATTTTTGAAAAAATTTATGTTGGTAAGAACTTTTAAACAAATGAATGAAACATCAAACAGTTTGACAGTACTTGCGCAAGTTACGCAAATCCTTAGGTTATAATTTGAAAACAAAAGAATTAAATTCAAAAACATTCAAACCACGTCATCAAACACTGAACAGAAATATATGATTAACAAAAATAATAATAATAATAATAATAATTATAATAATAATAAAAAAACAAAAATAATCTTCTGTCATACAAAATAAACTAAATTTGAGAATTTCAAAAATATAAAAAATACGACAACTCAAAAAGTGTTTTTTTCCGGAAAATTGCAAAAAAAATTCGAAAAAAATTCATAACTTTCGCCTTGACGAAAATTAAAATATGAATTATTTTTTTTCAGCTTCCCCTTACTCCTAGAAAGTACGAAAAAAACATTAGAAGACGGTACGCGGACATCAACCCCTTCAAAAAATGTTTTTTTCCGGAAAATGGCAAAAAAATTTCGAAAAAAATTCATAACTTTCGCCTGGACGAAAATTAAAATATGAATTATTTTTTTTAGCTTCCCCTTACTTCTATAAAGTACAAAAAAAATATAAGAAGTCGGTACGCGGACATCAACCCCATCAAAAAAAGTTTTTATCCGGAAAATTTCAAAAAAAATTCATAACTTTTGCCTTGACGAAATCTAAAACATAAAATAATTTTTTTTAGCTTCCCCTTACTCCTAGAAAGTACGAAAAAAACATTAGAAGACGGTACGCGGACATCAACCCCTTCAAAACATGTTTTTTTCCGGAAAATTGCAAAAAAAATTCTAAAAAAATTTATAACTTTAGCCTTGACGAAATCTTGAACATAAAATAATTTTTTTTAGCTTCCACTTACTCCTACAAAGTACGAAAAAAACATTAGAAGACGGTACGCGGACATCAACCCCTTCAAAAAATGTTTTTTTCCGGAAAATTGCAAAAAAAATTCGAAAAAAATTTATAACTTTCGCCTTGACGAAAATTAAAATATGAATTATTTTTTTTTAGCTTCCCCTTACTCCTACAAGTACATAAAAAATATAAGAAGACGGTACGCGGACATCAGCCCCATCAAAAAAACGTTTTTATCCGGAAAATTTCAAAAAAAATTCATAACTTTTGCCTTGACGAAATCTAAAACATAAAATAATTTTTTTTAGCTTCCCCTTACTCCTAGAAAGTACGAAAAAACATTCGAAGACGGTACGCGGACATCAACCCCTTCAAAAAATGTTTTTTTCCAGAAAATTGCAAAAAAAATTCGAAAAAAATTTATAACTT